AGCCCAATCTAGGGTTTCCTATATGTACTCAACTGCTTGCTAGTGCAAATCTCTTCTTCTATTCTCATTCCTGCTTCCTCATTTCTTAACAACCACTTATTGGCGTAACCTCCAACGTGGTGTCTTCCAAATTCAAGCATTAAGCGTTGATTCAGGAGTGATCTATGTCTTCTTATTTTCCCTTACTCTTGGTATTTCTCTACTGTTTAATGTGGAATGTACATTTTGGAAGACAGCCCTGAAGCACGGTATATTCTTATGTATGATCGTGTAGTTCGGACTACAGTTGTTTATAAAGCAGAAAACCAAGTCGAACATAGAAAAAAATTGGGGAAAAATATGTCACAAGTAACCAACTTGGGACTCGATAACGTGAATGGTAAAAAAAAAGCGCGTAGGGTCACTGTATCGGGTTTCCTTACGGGTTTGGTAAGCGGGATCACGGATTCAGTCACTAACAACAGGTAAGAAATCACGCGAATGGTCACACAAGTAACTTCCGAATTTTTTTTTTTGAAACTCTAACAAAACTCCCTCTCGCGCCCAACCAATCTGCGAACTTGTAAAAAAAAGTGAAACCCAATCAGAATCGGATGCGGTTTGGGAACGGATCAACGCTAAACACCTGACGAGATTCGTGTTTAGGGTTGACCATCCCAAAATGCATCCAGATTCTTTTTTAGTTTCATTTTGTTTTGGCGGGAGTTTCATCTGTGACCATTCGCGTTTTTTTTATACAAGTTGATTGGACTGATTACGTGAAACGCTTTATCAGTCGCGTGAAAACACCCGTTTAAGTGACCGTACCCTTTTTTACCAAAAATGTTTTTGAGTCCCATAATGGTTACGAATGGCATATTTTCCGAAAAAATCGATGTGAAACAGCCTGACCTGGGCCTTGGGTTTGGCCTTGGTCAACTGGCTTGGTTGGTACGGTATCCAGACCAGCATCCGCGGGTATCGTCATGCTGACGCAGTCGCAGGTATACTCCAGATGCTGTCCAGCGCGATTTCTGTTAGAGGGCCCTACAACAGCAAGGGCCCTCGATGACCTTTGACTTGGCAGGTCGACGCCTAGCGACTGAGTCTACTCGGCACCGACGAATGAGTTCGATGGAGGTCGCATGAAGAAGTGAGAGTCCGTGGGAGTTGTTGGTGCTTCCTTGAGAGTCGCACCACTCTTTGCTAGGTTGGTGGAGTGGTGTGCACGGAAGCGAGAAGTCGATGCTGAGTTGGGTTGAGAAATTGGCGAGGCGCGTTCGCTCACCCACACACCACTTTCGTGGGGTTGGGTTACTCGCAGCGCCCACGCAACCTCTTGTGAAACCCTCGCCTGCCTATATATGTTTGTGTTGCTTGTGTGTTTGATATATATTTTCTATGTTCCTAGTGAAGTCCAAAATGCTACTTCAATTCTCACCAAGTCCTTAGAGGCAAATGCTACCGAAACTCTACCAAGTTGCTGGCGCAACATCATTCCCATAGCAAAAACTCTCTCGTTATCGCTACGCTCTCTAATAGATTCCTTCATGGTGCGGTGAGCGTGGAACGAACACGCATAGATTTACGTCGTCGTTGATATTCGCGTTCGTATACTCGCCTTGGCGTGCGGCGTTAGTGAAGGGCGCTTATTAATCTAAGTTGAACCTCTCTTGATTTCCCTCCAGTTACGTTCTCGGACCCAAGGATAGGGCGTTTGGTAATTTATTACCACTCGTCTGAGGACCCTTGTGAGGTGACCCCGAGACGAGGGATTTAAGGAAGGGGCACTTTATTTTAATTTGTGGTACCTTATAGAGACGTCGTAGAGGATGAGTACTGAGGAGGCGAACGTGGAGGCCGGTAATTTGCGCACTCTAGAGGAGGATCTCGTGGCTCGTCATTCTCGTGGTGAGATTAGTGATATTGAATACGAGCTAATGTTGGAGGGATTGCGCTCGCGTCGGCGTCGTGAGCACCCTTCCCCACGTGTAGAGAATGTTGAGCAAGTTGCGGGAGGTACTAGTGCGTGGGATATGGCTGTCGATGGCGGAAATAGCGATGACGAGGAGTTTGATGGGTTGATGTCGCGTGGGGTCCTGCGAAGACCAGCTCGGTTTAGTACGGCTAGCGTCGGCGGTGTACAGGAGCGTGTTCATCGTGCAGCAGCGTCACGAGAGCATGTGAATGTAGGACGGCGAAGCGTTGCTGGAGGAGGAATTGCGGAAGAGTTCGATAGTGAGACTATGCCGGGCGTTACCCCGATTGGATCGATGTCGAGGGACGAGGGAATAGCCCCCAACTATGGCTACTTCAGATTCACTCCAGACAAGATCGTTGTCACTAGTCCGTTAGAAGGACGTCACGACCTGTCGACGTGGACAGAATCAATCGAGCCGCAGCTTGAGATCGCTCAGCTAAAGCGATTCATAGATGGCACCACCCCTATTCCACCAGCGCGTGCGCTTGCGCATCGCTCTCAGTTCCGCGCGATGTAGTTGCTGACATTCACCACCATTTCCCGATGCTGCTCCCCAAGCGTACAGATCGCCCTTAAGGCGTGTCGCATGAAGGTTGATGCCGGCTATCAGGCATGGCAGTTCATTATGCGCACGTACATGGCGAAGGACGATCTGTACATCGGTCAGTTAGAGCAGGCGCTCACTAACCTCGAGATGGGAGAGCACGAGTCCGCTACGTCCTATTGCAACCGTGCGCAGCAGATCCTAGTGAACCTGAGGATGGCCGGCGTAGATTACTCACAAGCGTCGTACATCACTCACGTGGTGAAGGGGTTGCCGCAGCAGTACAACCTCTTACGCAGGATGCTTAAGTTGCCGCAGGTGCGCAAGGAGTTGGACGAGAACACCCTCGCTAGCTACATCATCGAGGAGGAATGTACGCTGGCGTCAGAGGGACGAAAGGACCAATTCCTTCCCCAGGCTAACCAGGTCTTTACCAAGAAGGGTAAGCCCCAATTCCAGCAAAATTCGTTCCCTTCCCCTCCCACTACGGCACAGCAGCAACAACCTAAGAATGGGGGTGGGCTTAGTGGGGGAGGGGAGAAGTGGAAAGGGGGTAAGGATGGCCAGCCGAAGGGGGGGAAAGGGGGTTTCAAAGGGAAGTGCTATGTGTGTGGACAAATAGGGCATGTTGCTAAGTACTGTCAGCAGCGGGCGGATAAGGAGGCAGACACCGGTGGAGAGGGTTCTGGAGGAAGCAGCGGAAAGGGGGGTGATGGCTCTAAGGGGAGCGGGCAATCATCATGTGCGATGGTGAAGCCCGTTGTGGAGCAGACTCCTCTCGTTGTGCTAGAGCCTGAGGGCGGGGAGGCCTTACAGGCTGTTGCAGCTGCTGTAAAGGCGAACCCGAGCGTCGTGCTGCTTGATAGCGGATGCTCCCACCATCTCATGGGAGATTGTTCTGCCTTTGTGGAGATGAGCAGCGGCGGCAGTATTAAACAGGTTACTGGCTTCAACAGCGCGCTTCAGGAGGTGCAGGGGCGGGGCACAATCGCTCTTCTTGGAAAGGGGGGCACGCGTGTCTTGGTGCCGGACGTGCTGTACGTACCAGGAGTGCAGGAGAGTCTTCTCTCTGCTGGGCAGCTGCGTGATAGTGGTGTGCAGCTGCTAGATGCCGGGGATGTGACTTTGCTGCGAGCACCAGATGGATCGCTTCTTGGTCGTGCGGAGTTCAAGGGGCGTGTTCTCTGCACGAACTTCCAGCCGTGTTCGACGCAGCAGCAGGAAGGCGAAACGGTGGCACTTCGTACCTTGGCGACGGGCGTGCGGTCTAAGGGGGACCTGTGGCATGCGCGTATGGCACACGTTGGTATTGATGCCATCGAGCGCACAGCGGCTCACGGGTCAGTGAAGGGCTTGGATTTGGAGAAGGGGGGCAAGTCAGGCATACCTTGTGTTTCCTGTGTTGGGGGAAAGATCACTCGTCATACCTTTCCTTCTGTGGGAGAGGAGGAGGATGAGTTGCTTGGGGTGGTGCATGCTGACCTGTGTGGCCCTTTCCGTGAAGCAGCTAAGGACGGCAGCCGCTACTTCTTGGTGCTGAAGGATCGAAAGACGCGATATGTCTGGGCCTACCCTTTGGCCCAGAAGAGTGATGCGCTGGCGGCGTTCCAGAAGTGGCTCCCGATGGCAGAGCGACAGTGCAAGACCACGGTGCAGGCGCTGCGCACTGATCGGGGTGGCGAGTTCCTGGGGCACGACTTCACGCTCTTCCTCGACGGTAAAGGCATCATCCATGACCTCACATGCCCGTACACGCCGGAGCAGAACGGGATGGCCGAGAGGGAGATGCGCAGCATTGTGGAGGCGGTGCGGACGATGTTGCTGCACATGGGTGTGCAGCATCACTGGTGGCACCTGGCGTTGGCTCAGGCCGTCTGGGTGCGCAACCGCGTAGAGCACGCCTCACTACCCTCTGGTGTGACGCCGTACGAGCTCGCCTTTCGACGCAAACCTGATGTCAGTATGGTGCGTGTTTGAGGCTGCATGCTGCAGTACATGGTACCACGGTCGCAGCGTGGGGGGAAGCTGGCACCTAAGGCTCGCTGGGGGCTGCACTTGGGTGTGTCAGCTGCGAGCAAAGGCTGGACCGTGCTGGACTTGGAGTCCAACCGCCTCATCACCACTGTGGAAGCTGTGTTCTATGAGACCATGTCCCTAGCAGGATGGAAGGCTTGGCATCAGCAGGAGCATGGGGGGCGTTCGATGCCCTATGAGCCCCTTCCCTCACTCTTCCCGATCACTCTCGAGGAGGCGGAGGAGGAGGAGGAGGTGGTCGCACCTCCTGCTATGCCCTATGTCCCTACCTCGGTCCCCACCCCACCTCCGCCTTCCGTCTACCCTCGTGTGATTCCCCCTGTCCCGCCTTCTTCCTCCTCACCCCCCTTGCCTTCCCCTCCTCCTCCTGTTATTCCATCTCCCCTTACACCCTCCATCCCTCCTGCACCTGCTCCGCCCTCCTCTTCGTCTTCCACGGCGCAGCCCGTTGGTGAGGGGGGGATGGAGGTGCCACCGTCTGTGGAGATCACCGACGGGCAGCGCCTTGAGACTGAGCAGCTGCAGGACGAGAGCAGTATGGATGGAGTACAGCAGACAGGGGAGCAGCAGATTGGGGAGCAGCAGACAGGGAAGCAGCAGAGTGGGGAGCAGCAAATAGGGGAGGAGCGGATTGAGGAGCAGCAGATGGTGGACCAGCAGCTCGGGGAGCAGCAGACAGGGGAGCCGCAGACAGGGGAGCAAGAGATGTGGGGAATTAGAGATGGTGGTCGTGTGTTGGTTTCTGGGACGACCACTGCACCAGTGCGTCGCTCCACTCGCATCACTCGTGGTGTCCCACCTGTTCGATACGCTTGGGCTGTAGTGGTTGAGCCAGCGGGCTTGGATGACGAGGAGGAGGACGAGGAGTGGACTGACCTGGACCCGGACGTTGCAGCTGATCCTGAGAGGCAGTGGGACATAGCGAAAATGACAGTGAAGGAGGCCTTGGGCTGCTGGAAGGGCGACAAGGTGAAGGAGGCGATGGATGAAGAGATGCGGAGCTTGATTGAGCAGGGGACGTAAGAGTTGGTTCCGCGTCCGCCAGGGGTGAATGTGATGAAGAACCGCTGGATTTTGAACACCAAGTTCCGACCTGATGGGATAGTGGAGCGTGAGAAGGCGAGGCTGGTGGTGAAGGGGTTCACACAGGTGGCAGGGGTGGACTATGAGGAGACGTACGCCCCTGTGGGAAGCTATGTGACGGCGCGTGTGCTTCTGGCGATTGCAGCTGCACTTGATTTGGACCTGATGCAGCTTGATGTAAAGAATGCGTTCCTCCATGGCGTGCTGGACCGAGACCTTTACATGGAGCAGCTGAGCTATTACGAGGATGGGACTCCTCGTGTCTGTAAGTTGGTGAAAAGTCTGTATGGGCTCAAGCAGAGCCCGATGCTATGGTATGAGGCCTTGGATGGGGTGCTGCTTGGGGCTGGATGGAAGAAGAGCAAGGTGGATGAGGCTCTGTACTTCAAAACTGATGCTGAGGGGGAGATGTGCTGGCTGCTGGTGTATGTGGATGACCTGCTTGCTGCCAGCCGCAGTCAGAGCATGCTTGGGGAGCTGCGTGAGCTGCTGCAGAGTGCGTTTCAGCTGCGGGAGATTAGCCCTGTGGAGAAGTATCTGGGGTTGCAACTGATTCGGGACAGGCCTACGAGGATGCTATGGCTGCACCAGAGGGCCTATGTGGACAAGGTTTTCATAGGCGCTTCTTTGACGGGGAGCAGCCGCTGCGAGTGCCTCGCACCCCTCTTTCCTCTGACCCTTTCAGTGTGCAGACCTTCGAGGATGTGGGATGGCAGTCTCGCCAGGGAGGAGGAGTACAGGCAGAAGGTGGGATCCTTGCAGTTCGCGGCCTGTACCACCCGTCCCGACATCCTCGTTCGCCTGCAGCAAGCTGGGGTCGGGCCAGACTGGTGCGGAGTGATCAGCACTGGAAGGAGTTGGAACCGGTGCTTGACGTACTTGGTGGGAGCAGGGATGTGGCGCTGGAGTTTGGAGGTGGGCCGGAGTCCTGGAGCTGGGTGGGCTACGCCGATGCTGATGATGCAGGGGACAAGCAGAACAGGACCAGCACAGGTGGCTATGTCTCGTGCTTGGGGGTGCTGCTGTCTCATGGGGCGAGCCAGAGGATTCGTTGCGCCACCCTCTCCTCCACTGAGTCTGAGTATGTTGCTGCTGTGGAGGCCGGGAAGGAGGCGCGCAGGCTGTGCTTCCTGCTGGCAGAGTTTCAAACTGCTGAGGAGTGAGGAGCCCACTACTCTCTTTGTGGACAACTCCTCCGCCATTTCAGTGGCAGGTGGCATGGGGCTCAAGGGGAGCCTCAAGCACATGTAGCGTCGCCACATGTGGCCTGCAGCACATGGTCAAGCGCAGGAAGCTGCAGTTGCAGTACATCCCTACGACGCGAGCAGCCTGCTGACTACCTCACGAAGGCATTGCATTCCCCGCCTTCAGTCGTTGCTTCGAGGCTGTGGGGCAGGTGAGGCTTTCGAGTGAGGGGGGTGAGACCTAAACGACTCCATGATGTGGATGGTGCCATGGCCTATCCATGGCTTGGTGCGGTGCGTGTTTGCACTTTGAGAGTGCTTCGTTTGTGTGTGTTTCCCTTTGTTTTGGCGTGTACGTGTGTATGCATGCCCTGTGGTTATAAAGGGCCTTGCTGTAGTATGGCAGGGGAGTGTTAGAGGGCCCTACAACAGCAAGGGCCCTCGATGACCTTTGACTTGGCAGGTCGACGCCTAGCGACTGAGTCTACTCGGCACCGACGAATGAGTTCGATGGAGGTCGCATGAAGAAGTGAGAGTCCGTGGGAGTTGTTGGTGCTTCCTTGAGAGTCGCACCACTCTTTGCTAGGTTGGTGGGAGTGGTGTGCATGGAAGCGAGAAGTCGATGCTGAGTTGGGTTGAGAAATTGGCGAGGCGCGTTCGCTCACCCACACACCACTTTCGTGGGGTTGGGTTACTCGCAGCGCCCACGCAACCTCTTGTGAAACCCTCGCCTGCCTATATATGTTTGTGTTGCTTGTGTGTTTGATATATATTTTCTATGTTCCTAGTGAAGTCCAAAATGCTACTTCAATTCTCACCAAGTCCTTAGAGGCAAATGCTACCGAAACTCTACCAAGTTGCTGGCGCAACATCATTCCCATAGCAGAAACTCTCTCGTTATCGCTACGCTCTCTAATAGATTCCTTCAATTTCAAGCAGAGACTATGAGTTTAGGATGGACGAGCTTAGTCGTTGATACCGAGGGAGAGCGAGGGAAAGTAGCAACGTCTGAAGCTTTTCATGATGGTTCACGGAGGGTGACACTTCAGAGGGTTATCCGTGTTTCGCTTTCCAGTCGCTGCTGCGGAGATGCTGTCACGAGGCAGCCCAACGCTCGCGTAGACTCGTAGCTTCTGACGATAACAGCAGCTCATTCCGCCTGATTTTTGTGTCGCTTCCTCGTTGTCGTTCTTAAACGCAGACATATGTAGCGAGCCGTAGTAACTAGCGGGTGAGAAGATCCATACTTTGTTTCCTAACGGTTTTTTAAAACCGTTCAGAAGAAGATTCATACGTATCCTCGTTACGTATCCACGCCAATCATGGAGTGCCAGCTGTCAGGCGAGCAGATCCGTGGATTGTGCCGAGCAGTTCAGTGCCTGGCCAAGGTGGCTCACAGCGATTACATCACCTTCCTTGCAGCTCCTGTGGAGGTACGACGTGAACGACTCCTGTGGATCCTGTGGAGGTACGACGTGAACGACTCCTGTGGAGGTACGACGTGAACGACTCCTGTGGATCCTGTGGAGGTACGACGTGAACGACTCCTGTGGAGGTACGACGTGAACGACTCCTGTGGATCCTGTGGAGGTACGACGTGAACGACTCCTGTGGATCCTGTGGAGGTACGACGTGAACGACTCCTGTGGAGGTACGACGTGAACGACTCCTGTGGATCCTGTGGAGTACGACGTGAAACGACGGTGGTTATTGAGTGGGAATGTGGAAGCCACTCATGGAAGCCACTCCTTTGTGTGAAGCTGCCGAACCTAGTCATGTATGGAAGTGGAAGCGAGGTACAGATGCAAGCTGAAATTAGCGCAAAAACTGCCGTGATCTGTCCAATATTGTGAGAAGCTTTACAGTCAGTGTTCGCCATTATCAGCCTGTTATTTTTTTTTTGTATCATAACCTAAGCCTTGTCCATCGTCGCAATTGTCTATGCGTGAAATCAAGACGGCTTACTTGAGATTGATTCAAATACACCTACAAAGGTGATCAGCCTCACTCCATTCAGCTCTTCCGGCCTGCCCTAATCCATTTCTCACAGTTGTCACTGCGAGGCATCAACACGGCCAAGACGGCCTACCTGGTGGTCAACTTCGCCACGGACTACTTTCAAACCTTCCACCTCTCCCATCCCACCTGCTCCTGCTCCGCGCTCGTCAAGGTGAGTCAAGCTTGTCAAGGCAGGCCAAGTTGGATAAAGCAACTCAAGTTGCTCTGCACCAAGCTGTCATTGGATGCAATGCAACCGAATGACTTTTTAAGTATTGTGTTGTATATTTTGTCCTGATTGCCTGTCTCTGTGTATTTATAACTCCTTTTTTACATCAAAGCTTCTGTGTGTGTTGGTGGGTGTGTTTGGGGGAGAGAGAGGAGGGTATTCGTATTCATATGTGTGCATATGGTTGCATGTGTTGTGCATATGGTTGCATGTGCATGCGAACATATGGGTTGCATGTGTGTGCAAGCATATGATTGCAAGTGGTGTGCATATGATTGCATGTGTGTGCGAGCATGTGATTGCATGTGGTGTGCGAACACATCTGCATGTGTTGTGCATGTGAATGCACGCGGGGTGGGGGGGGGAAGCAGTCAGTACTGGCGGTGTTCCGCACGGCGCCTGCAGCTATGCGGACCCTCACCATCACAGCGGACGGCAAGGAGCCCGACAACATTCGCTGGATCATCGACTGCCAAAACGGTATGCTGGGTGTTTACAGCGGGTAGCCCCACATCGTCAGACTGGATTGCCAAACGGGTATGCGGGGTGGCTGGAGAACCTCCGGCTTGATTGCCAGAACAGCATGCTGATCTGGGCGGCCAAAATGGTTTTGCCCTTGAAAAGCAAACTCCAGTGGTGAAATGGCGCATTGCATATGTCAAGTGACGGGGATCTGCTCTCTGTCCCCGTGCCACTTGAAATGAACTCCTTCTTGCCACTTCTCCCTTTCCCCTCCCTCCTTTCACACCCTCTGAGAAGGCATGCGCAAGACATACACCATGGCATGTGTGAATGAGAGAGAGGGAGGTGCTGTCAGCGTCCATCCAACTTCCAGTCAACTCAAGTGCACTTTTTCAAGTCCACTCCTTCCTTTCCTTCCTGCCCTTCCCCTCCTCTCTCACCCATCCCGCCAGGCATGCGCAAGACATACACCATCGCATGTGTGAACGATAGGGAGGTGCTATCAGCGTCCATCGACCCGTCCACGTACCCCTCCTCGCCTCGTCGCCCGCCCCAAGGCCCTTCTGCAGCTGCTCAACCACTTTCAATCCACGCTCTCATGAAATAACCATCATTGCTGCCGACCCTGAGGACGTGACAGGCTCGGGAACAGGCACGGGCGGAGGTGCGGCGGGGAGAGGAGGGGGGAGTGAGGCGAAGGCGGTTGAGATGAGGAGCTACGTGGAGCCGACTCTTGCTGGTGGGTGTGTTGAAACATAGGCGCATGCATGAGTGGGTATGTGTGGATGCATGGCAATGTCAAGCTCACTCTTGCTGATGGGTGTGACACATCGATGTGTGCATGTGGGGTGTCAAAGCATTGGAGCAGTGAGAAGCAGTTGCACCTCCTCCACTCCGTGCCTTCCCTGCCACTGCATCTTCCTCGTGCTAACAGACGGACGCCCACCAGCCAAGGTGACTTCAGTGACTGGCTCAAAGCGTTTCTGCCTCCTGCTCCTCTGCGCGCTGCCTTGCCCCCGTACAGGCTCTTCACATTCAGTGTACGGGTGCCTTACTCCCCGTGACACACCGACTGGCCTTGCTATTCAGTCAGCGGACGGGAGGCTGGAGGCGTTCCAGAAGCAGCGAAGCACCCGCAGCTGTGGGTGGGTGATACGGCCCCTTAATGTATCAGCCTGAAGCGATCTGTGCTTTTCCTCGTGCTCCTCCCTCGTCGTGCCTTGTGTCCCTGTGCAGGCTCGTCAGCAGACGGACGGCTGGAGGCGTCCCCGGAAGCAGCGATGCACACGCAGCTGTGGGTGGACCCTGGGGAGCACTTTGAGGCGTACTGCCACAGGGGGGACGCTGTGGACGTCACTTTCAGCGTGAAGGAGGTGAAGGTGAGACGGCCGTGTTGATTCGGAGTGTGGGGGATAGGGGTGAGGTGGATGGGAGTGTGGTGTGTGTGTGTGTGGTGTGTGGTGTGTAGTGTGTGGTGTGTGGTGTGTAGTGTGTGGTGTGTGGTGTGTGGTGTGTGGTTGTGTGGTGTGTAGTGTGTGGTGTGTGGTGTGTAGTGTGTGGTGTGTGGTGTGTGGTGTGTGGTGTGTGGTGTGTGGTGTGTAGTGTGTGGTGTGTGGTGTGTGGTGTGTGTGGTGTGGTGTGTAGTGTGTGGTGTGTGGTGTGTAGTGTGTGGTGTGTGGTGTGTGGGTGTGTGGTGTGTGGTGTGTAGTGTGTTGGTGGTTGGATTCAAGGGAGCACTTTGAGGCGTTCTGCCATGCCGGGGATGCAGTGGACGTTACTGTCGGTGTGAACGAGGTGAAGGTGAGGGGAGCGCGGGGGATGGGAGGGTGGCGGAAAAGAGAGGTGGATACGGGTGTTGTGTGGTGTGGTGCGTTGGGTGGGGTCGACCCTGGGAACAGTTTTAGGCGTTTTGCCACGGGGGGATCCGGTGGACGTTACTTTCAGCGCGAAGGAGGTGAAGGTGAGAGGAGCATGGGGGTGTGGGGAATGGGGTGTGGGGAATGGGAGGATGGTGTGGTGTGTTTGGGCGGGTGGAAGTGGAGTGGAGCGCTTTGATGTGTACAGCCACCCACATGGGCAATCGCCTTCCCTCCTAGCTTCACACCCACACTCCCCCCCACCCCACCCCTCCCCTCCCCCCACACTCCCCCCACCCCACCCTCCCCTCCCCCCACACTCCTCTTCGTTTTTCGATGGCCCCTTCCCACGCCACCAGGCGTTTGTGCAGTTCTGTGAGTCAGCAGCAGCAGACGTGGTGATGCTCTTCCATCGAGCCGGAGCGTGAGTGCTGCTCTAGAGTCATCAGGCCCAGGCCTTTCCACGTCCTCTTTCCTCGCCACCAGGCGTTTGTGCAGTTCTGTGAGTCAGCAGCAGCAGACGTGGTGATGCTCTTCCATCGAGCCGGAGCGTGATTGCTGCTCTAGAGTCATCAGGCCCAGGCCTTTCCACATCCTCTTTCCTCGCCACCAGGCGTTTGTGCAGTCCTGTGAGTCAGCAGCAGCAGACGTGGTGATGCTCTTCCATCGAGCCAGAGCATGAGTGCTGCTCTAGAGTCATCAGGCCCAGACCCGTGGCGGTGGATATCGTTGAACACGTTTCCTTGAGAGTTGTTGATTTACTGTAGGTATTGTGAGATATTCCCCCCTGCTCGCCCTTCCAAACCCCACTGTCCCAATTCACTTGTGTAACCCTTATTCAGTTCACCTCTATCCTCCCCCACTCGCCCCTCCCTCCCCGCTGCCATCACTGGATACTGTGTGTCCTGCAGCCCTCTCATGCTCATGCCAAGATTTCCCAACCCGCACACCACCCCCACTCGCAACCCCCGCCATGCACATGCACCACTCGCGTCTGACTTTGACTCACGCCTTGTGATCGCCACAATGCTCGAATCCCAGCTCCCCACTCCCCCCCCCTTCCGACCCTTCCGTTCACCGAGCCTCCGCCCAACCTGGCACACCTGCCACTCCTGCTCACCAAGCCGCAGCTACTTTCCAAGCATCTGCCGAAGCTGGCGCTCCTGTTCACAAGGGCTTGGCTTCCCGAACCTCAGCCGAAGCCGGAACTCCTACAGTTGCAGCTTCAGGCTCCCAGCGATCCTGTCATGCAGGTTCGGGAGCAGATCCTCACCAAGCCTATCCAATTGGTTCGGGCTGCAGAGAAGATCCAGGAGGAGGAGGGCTGGGTGAAGGCGAAGAAGAGGGAGCGGATGAGATGAGGGGCGAGGAAGGTGCTGAGAAGGTTCCGTTGAAGGATCCAGGTGCAGGAGCAAGGCTGGAAGCAGGCTGGGCGCATGGAAAGCGATGGTCAGACCTCTCAGGTATGGTCAGACCTCTCAGGTATTGTGAGCCAAGATCTCTGATGTTTGCCAAAACAATGCGATCAATGTATCTTGCGAATGGTCTTCTGGGCATACGCTGCTAATTCACGTGCTTTTTCCTTACACACCTAAAACTAAAACCTTTTTTTTTTCAATCGCCATGCATTTCCACCCGTGCATTACGCAAAATGCTCCTCAATTCTCCCTGTGTGGGTTCATAGCAGGGGCGAAAGGCACAGCACACAGGCCTGGTGCGGATTCAGCAGGTCTGGTGGAGGAGAGGGGAGTGGCAGAGGGCGAAGAGGAAGCAGCACGTGGCCCAGGGAGCAGCAACAACCACTTCCAGGCCATGCGCAGCAGGATCAACGGCAGCAACAGCACGATCAGTACCAACAAAAGCTGGCAGCCAATCAGGTTCCAGACAGCGAGGACGCCACCGAGGGAGCTTCCCATTGGTCGGCTGGCAGCGGCATCACGAGGCGGTAAGTGGCGGTGGCGGTGGCGGTGTTGCTGGTGGATGCAACACTGGGGGTAGTGTGGATGGGAATGGCATGGTGACTGGCGGTGCTGCTGATGTGTCTGCTGCCCGATTCATGCCCACGGAGGCATCCACCCCTGGGAGGCTAGCAGCACCACATCAACGTGAGTCATCTTTTGTACCCTTTTCCTTCCCCTTGATAATCAAATTCCCCCATGCCGCCGCTGCCGGTTTCAGCGCTGGAGGTTTGGAGTTTCGTTATTCAACTGCTGCACCTCACCTCTCATGCCGGCGCTCCAGTTTTCCAGAAGTGCCTCATCATTTCCAGCTTTCCTTTTGTGTTATACATCCACAAACTCTTTTCATGGATTATTGGGCACGGCGCAGAAGCACCTCCACTTCAGAGAGATCCGGATCGCTGGATCGAAAATACAGAGGATGACGAAATGGAGGATAGGGCAGGGGGGTGTGTTCGAGGGCGTTTGGGTGAGGATATGTGTGAAGGTATTGGTGATGAAGATGAGTATGTGGATGCCACTCCACCTGAGAGGAGGATGTATGACGACGAGGATGAAACCATGGACTAACATGTTTGGTTTGGACTGCGGTAAAAGTTATCGCTATGTGATGTGAAGGCAATGTTTTGTACTTGGTAAATAAATGTGATGAATGCAATGTTTGAGAAATTTGTAGCCGCATTCATCAAACACTGTAAGCTGTCACATTATGGAGGTTTTGGTTGAGGTTTTTTGCGCGCCGTTCTTGGGAATCGCGTCTCACTGCTGACGGAGAAGCTCATGTCGGCCTTCCAGATGGACACAGATCCTTCCACACGTGCCCATGTCGCACAAATCATTTCCTCGACGATGGCACTGCGACTGGCTGTGCGACCACGCGTGACGATGACAGTGCGATGCACATGCCTCGTCAGTCAAGCGCTAGTGTGCGACGCGCAGCACAGCAACTCCCAGTCCAAAGCGACTATATTCAAGGTCACATCAGCCCTACACACTCAAAACTGCCCAGACTACGTCGCACGCAGCTTTCAAGGCTACCACCAGGCAAGGAAAGGATGATATCAGTGTGTATCACAGCTTCCCTTCTACGCTTGATCGCAGTGTGCCGGACTTTGTCGCACGCAGTTCCCTAGGTTTGTTGTGCATCCCTCCACTCACTCCCACCTCCTGCCCCCCTGTGAGCTTTGCCTCACCCATTCCCACCACCAACCCCATCATCCCATACATTCCTTGCGACAGACGGACCCTTCTCTTCGCTGATTCCATTCTAGGGTTTCACTCCATTCCATGGCTCCAACAGCCGCTCAGGCTCTGGCTGCTTCCAACAGGTTTTGTGTGTGATTGTGGGGAACAGTGGTGCGATTGCGTCAACAGCTAAAACGAGATTTCGAGACCCACTTGGGACCGTGTGATCACGGAGGGTCCGTTGGTAGCTGGAGACGGTCACGGCACGGAAGGGAAGCTACAAAGCTTCTGGGATGTTCTTTCAATGCATTTCCTCGCTGTTGCTAGCTGTAGAATAAAATCAGCAGGATAGTTTCCGAGAGCATAGGAACGATGCTGGAAAGAACGGGGTCGCTGAATCCTCAGCGGCCGTCGAAGCGCGAAATGCCGAACCCTTACCATGACGTGCTGTCGACGCCGCGAGGGACGAGTCGGAACCGCGAGAGGGAGAGGGACGTGAGTCCGCTACTGAGACCAGACAGAGCACGGGAGCTTAACCCTAGTCTGGAAGCCAGCTTTGAGGCCTTGCGACTGGATAAGTCGAGGGAGGGTAGCGGATTGGCTCATTCGCGCGAGAGCAACGGAATGTCCATGGCCGATCCCGGTTCGAGAGCGGAATCGCTAAGAATGGGTCACAACGGCCTCTCCCAGATGCATCCTCTCTCCGCAGGCCTCTCCGATGTGCGTTCCTAACCTCGTTCCCATCCCCGTTATAATCCTCCTCCGTGTGTTTTTTTTTTAGATTTATCTTAGTCCATCATCGTCTGTCCGTTTCGAGAACGTTTTGCCGTTCCCCGATTTGCACGCTCGTCGAATCCGTGTACTCGGTCGCGTGTTACTTTCGCCGACGTCGCCTAGGGCTCCTTATCACCTGTTCGCATCCTCTCCATCTCATTACCACCACTGAGGCTTTCCAAAGTGTTTCCGTTTTGTGCAATTGTTTCGACCCTTGAAATCAATTCCAGGTAATGACGGGCATGCCGTTGAGCATGGACTTTAGCATGCTCGAGAGCATCAGCTCGTTGAACCGCACGACCGGCGGGCACAAGCACATGACGCCGGGCAAGGCGCACCCCATGGCGATGTCGTCGCAACGGCCCAGCATTCGTGTGTCGCACCTCGACGTCAGCGTAAGGCGCATTGCTGCTTGGTTGGTTCTCTCGTCGAGGGTTGTGCCAGGTTGCTTGCTGCTTTGTCCCTGCCTTTGCTTGCTCTTTCCATCCACACGCCTCCAGGCTCCTTCAACTGGCTCACATGGTTGTGAGTTTTGTGTGTCTCTCCGCGTGCTTGGCTCTCGTTTTGCTCCATGTCACCTCCCGCGAGGCTCCGTGTCCTTTCCTCCCCGTTGCTCCGTGTCCTTTCCTCCCGCGTTGCTCCATTTTCTTTCCTCCCGCGTTGCTCCATTTCCTTCCCCCTGGCGTTGCTCCGCGAGGCAGGACGGGTCAATGAGCAATCTCGAACGAGCACTCGAATACGCGAAGAAAAAAGTCGACGACGAGCTTCGCGTGTTCATCAGCGACATCGCCAAGCGGCTGAACCTCCCAGGCGCCGCGCCGCCCAGAACGCCTCCCAAGTCGCCTGTCTCTCCCACTAACGCCTACCCGTCAACGTTCACGTCGTTTTTGATGTCGCCGGAATCGTCCAGATGGGAACAAGGGGCGCTCTATCTTAAAGACCTAGCTGAGAAATGCCTACGCATGCACGCAGACGAGTTCGGATCGGCGTGCGAAGACATCGTGCACGATCTGAACATGGCCCGGCAGCAGCTTCCCATGGGAACCCTAAAGCAGCTGCACATGAAAATGCTCTTCATTCTCACGCGCTGCACGCGCCTGTTGCAGTCGCAGAAGGAAGCGGAGGCGGAGATGCCGTACGGGGGAGTGTATGGGGGGCCGTATAGGGGCGCGGAGGTGTTAGCCACGCCGATGGTTCGCAACCGCCCGCCTGGCTTGCCGTCGACGCTGCGATCGCAAGCGTCGATGGCGGCGACTCACTTCTCTTCGTTTACTAAATCGAAGCCGTTGGAGCGTCCCGCGGAGCTCCCCGCGGAGCACTCCGCGAAGCACTCCGCGGAGCACTCCGCGGAGCAGCCGGCGGAGAAGACGCGGCTGCAGCGGCAGCAGCAGCAGCCGCAGCAGCCGCCGCAGCGGTCGATCATCCGGTGGGACTCGTGCCCCGCGCCGGCAGACTGGCGGGTGCGCGACCCCAAGGCGGAACAGAAGGGGGGCGCGGGGTTGGGGTTGGGCGCGCGGAAGGATGAGGGGAAGCAGCGGAGCAAGAGCAAGTCGAATATGATGGACGACTGGAGTGCCGCGGTAGCGGAGATGAGAGGGGCTCTAGACGACGGTACCTACGTGCCCGGCGGGGATTTTAACCAAGAGGATAGCGCTGGCGCGAGTGCGAGTGCGAGCGCGAGTACTGGGTTCGGAACAGGTTTTGGGTCCGGGCTTGGTGCAGGGTCGAGTGCTGATGGAGGTTCGGGATTAGGTTCGGTATCAGGTTTGGTCTCGAGCTCGTCCAGCCAACTTGCGCCTTCTGGCTCGTCGGGCCTGGGATTAAGCTCAAGTTCAGGTTCGGGGCTTGGTTCGACAAAGAAGAAGCTGTCCGGTGGGTTGATTGGCGGAGTGACGAGTTTGGTTCGGATGGTTAGTGGGAAACTAGAGGAGCTGTTGGCGTCGGTGAAGGAGGAGGAAGCAGCAGAGATGGAGGAGGCGAGGAAGGATAGGGTGGAAAAGGGAAAGGAGAAGGAGAAAGGGAAGGAGAAGGAAAAGGGGAAGGAGAAGGAAAAAGGGAAGGAGAAGATGGATAAGGGCAAGGAGAAGGCTGAGAAGGGAAGGGACAAGAGTGCGGGAAGGAAGGGCAGCAGTGCGACCATGTCCCCATCGCCTATGCAGAGTAAACGGTTGTCGGATGATGGACGGGAGGAAGGAGACGTGTCTCTGGCGAGCACGAGTGGGGAACAGGGATGGCTGCAGCAGTTGTTCCAGCCGCAGCCGCAGCAGCAGCAGCAGCAGTATTCCCAGCAGCAGGAGGATCAGGTGCAATCCGTGGTGCCCCAGCAGCACGTGCAGGAGTTGCAGCAACAGCAGCTGCAGCCGCAGGGGCAGGCGCTGATGGATGCGCAGATGCTCGCCCCGGGCGCGGACACGCTCATGCGGGAGCAGGAAGCGCACGCGGCGGGACCGCCCGCTCCGCCAGCTGACGCGGAGGTGCACGGGTCCACGAGCGCACGGGGGCTGCTGTGGGGGCGGGTGGCGGAGATCCGCAAGGAGGAGGAGATTCAGCGCGCCTTCCGCAGCCAGTCCGCGCGGGACAAGTCCTCCGCCTCCAGGTCGGGCGACTCTGCCACGTCGCTGGCGCCGGCAGAAGAGGCGGTAGCACCAGCGGGAACAGCGGTTCGGGAGATGGGCCCAGCGGCAGACGCAGAGGTGGCGGCGGCGCTAGGTGTGGCGTTAGGCGCTGCGGGAGGAGCGGAGCCTGGGATTGCAGCCGCCCTTTCCGCGGGAGCTGGCGCTGGGGCAACAGGGACCGGCGGAGCTTGGGGTGAGACGGGGGACACAAGCATGGCGGGCGGGAGCATGGCGGCTGCGCAGGAGGGGATTAAGGGGAGTGAGGGAGTTGAGGGGAGGAAGGGAGGGGCGCGGCAGGGGCAGGGGGACGTGCGGCGGGAGGGGGAGTCGGAGAAGGCGCACAGACGAGGCGAGGGGCGCAGCAGCAGAGCGTGGGACGTGCGGATTCCAAGCGGGGAGGACGAGCGGATGGAGAGCCGGAGGCATGGAGGGGCTAGAGAGCCGCCTTCCCCCTCGGGTAACCTTGCAGAGGACTTTGACGATCTGCATGAGAAAGCGATGATGAGATCCGTGTCCGGGCGAAGAGTGCAGTATAAGTATGGGTACTGGGGCAAGGGAGAGAACGAGGAGGAGGAGGGCATGGATGGGATGGTGCCAAACGAGGGCGAGCAGGAGTGTGTGGTGATCTGTCGGATTTGTGAAGAGGAGGTGAATGTTACGCAGTTACAGGAGCACTCGCGGCTGTGCGCGCTCGCGAATCGGTGCGACTCGGCGCAGTTTTCGATTGACGATCGGCTGAGGCGGCTAGCGGACGGCCTGGATCACATCTCCAACGAGCAGGTGTCGCGGCTGGGCGCCATGTCGTTCCAACGAGTGCCGTCCAACTCGTCATCTGCTGCTGGCGGGCCGGCGTCGTCTGGAGTACCTGCAGGGCTGGATTCGCATTCCCAGCAGGTGGGTTTGATGGGGGTAGGGGGAGGTGCAGGGGCGAAGCAGGGCGGTGGCAGGTTTTTGTCTCCCTTGGGCAGCAGTATGGTGTCTCATGCAGACATGCGCGAAGGGGACGAAGGCGGCGCAGCCGAGGGAAAAGGAGACGGAGGAGGGGAGGGGGCGGATGGGTATGAAGGAGAGGAGCAGCAGATGCGCGAGCAAGACGCAGTGGAGCAGTGTAGCAGAGAAAACGGGTCGTTGCACCCGGGCGTTCCGATAAGCCCCACAGAAGATCACCCAGAGCATCAACATCACCCAGAACACCCAGAGCATCAAGGCGCAGGGGGCAGCAGCAGCAACAACGTGTCTAACTGGTCGTACGTGAGCCACCACCTGCAGCAGCAGCAGCAGCAGCAGCAGCACAAGCTGCAGCAGCAGCAGCAGCAGCTGCAGGCAGCGGGCGAGGAGGGCTCCCAGTACGAGCCGTCCATGAGCGCCGTGACGAGCATGAGCGGCGCTACTTCCACCAGCGGGTTCCTATCCGCGGGGACCGCGTCCCCCATGCCCACGTCGCCGGCAGGGTCGGTGGGCACGAGAGGGGACGGCCATGGGGGGTATGGGAGCCCCGGGTCGTCGCTGCTGAAGAGTGCTCTGGCGGGAGGCGGGAGGGAGCTGATGGAGGAGCACATCCACATGGTGGCTCAAGAGGAGATCGCTCTGGTGAGTCCCGGGTTGGCCTGGAGGGAGGACGTGTGAGTCGACTTCAAGTCACTTACTTGTGCTCTGTGCCTTCGCGCCTGCACTCCGTGGCTTCTTACTCCCTCACCCTCCCCAACACCCCACCCCCCCCCCCCCCCCCCCTCAGATGGACGATCTGGCGCACATAGCCCAGGACGTGGCAGATGTGTCACTGGAGGACGAGAAGCCCGAGGAGCTGCTGACGGGCGTGCGCGACCTCACACCCCCCACCTTCCCCCCATATTTCCCCCCACCCAACCCCCCCCCGCCCCTTCTATCAGATGGACGATTTGGCGGACATAGCACAGGACGTGGCGGACGTGTCACTGGAGGACGAGAAGCCCGAGGAGCTGCTGCTGACAGACATGCGGGACCTCACGGACCTGCTTCGCACCAACAATGCGCGCTTCCTCACCATTGATGTGTTCGGCCGCCGCATCACCAAGCTGCTGCAGTGAGTGTGCTTGCTTGTCCGTGCATGCATGTGACCTTTGAGTCGACTCAAAAGTCAGCTGACCTGACCTGCTGCGCACCAACGACGCGCGCTTCCTCACCATTGATGTGTTCGGCCAAGCTGCTGCAGTGAGTGTGCTCGCTTGCGTGCTTGACGCCTGGCTTGAGGTGCTCTAGGCTCAGTTCATCGTTGCTCGATTTCTGTTTCCGCCTCTTCTCTGCACGCGCGCCCCTCTCCTCACTCCCCTCTCTTCTTTGCACGCCCCTCTCCTCACTCCCCTCTCTTCTCTGCACGCCCCTCTCCTCACTCCCCTCTCTTCTCTGCACGCCCCTCTCCTCACTCCCCTCTCTTCTCTGCACGCCCCTCTCCTCACTCCCCTCTCTTCTCTGCACGCCCCTCTCCTCACTCCCCTCTCTTCTCTGCACGCCCCTCTCCTCACTCCCCTCTCTTCTCTGCACGCCCCTCTCCTCACTCCCCTCCTTTTTCTGCTCGCCCCTCTCCTCACTCCCGTCTCTTCTCTGCCCCCCCGTCGCCTCACACCTGTCACGTCACTCCCGTTTCCCCATGTCGCGTCGCTACTCCCCTGTGGGATGGGCAGGGAGAAGTACTACCGCCTGAGAGACATTCTGGACCACCAGATGGGCGCGGCAGCGAGTCCGCTCAATAATCCTCTTCTCCCTCCGTTGTACGCCTCCCCCCCCTTCCCCCTCTCTGCGTGCACAGAGAGAAGTACCACCGCCTGAGGGACATCCTGGACCACCAGATGGGCGCGGCAGCAGGCAGTGGGTCAACTCAATTTTTCTGTCCTTCCTCCCATCTCTCCCCCGCACACCTCCCTGACCCCCCCCTTCCTGCGTGCCTACCATGTTGCCAGGGAGAAGTACTACCGCCTAAGGGACATCCTGGACCACCAGATGTGCGCGGCAGCAAACAGTGCTCTGCAGGGCTATGGGGGGGCGGATGGGGGCGATGCAATGCAGTATGCGGACGAGGACGGGGAGGACGTCTTGAACCTCTCCCGCAGCGCCCGCAGCACCCCGCCCAACGCCTCTATGGGCGGCGGCAGCAGCATCGGTGGCGGTGGCATTGGTGGTTTTGCCGGTGGTGCTGGTGGCCCTGGTGGTGGTGGTGGCGGCGGCGGTGGTGGTGTGGCTGCGTCGTCGTCGTCGGCTTCGGCGGCGGGGCGGGATCGCACGACGATAGACGACTTTGAGCTGATCAAGCCCATCAGCAAGGGCGCGTATGGGCGTGTGTTCCTGGCCAAGAAGAAGACCACGGGGGACCTCTTTGCCATCAAGGTGCGTGCGTGGGTGGGCGGGTGCTGGGTGCATGGCTGGGCGCATGGCTGGGTGCATGGGTGGGTGCATGGCTGGGTGCATGGCTGGGTGCATGGGTGGGTGCATGGCTGGGTGCATGGCTGGGTGCATGGGTGGGTGCATGGGTGGGTGCATGGGTGGGTGCATGGGTGGGTGCATGGCTGGGTGCATGGCTGGGTGCATGGCTGGGTGCATGGCTGGGTGTTGGCCGTCTGGCACCACTGTCCATGTGTCAGCTGGTGAGGCAGGGAGTGAACAGAGGGGATGAAGGGATAAGGGGTTCCCTAGGCGCGCGCTGAAATCTTAAGTTCTGTTTGCACTCCTTGTTTGAATTGTTCGTGGCAGGTGCTGCGCAAGGCGGACATGGTGCGCAAGAACGCGGTGGAGAGTGTGCAGGCAGAGTCAAAAGCGTCTTTCCGAGGTTAATATCTGACTCCCCTGTGCTGCCCCTGTGCCTCCCCTGTCCCATTCCGTGTGTGTGCACACCAGGTGTTGCGCAAGGCAAACATGGTGCGCAAGAACGTGGTGGAGAGTGTGCAGGCAGAGTCAAAAGCGTCTTTCCGAGGCTAATATGTGACTCCCCTGTGCTGCCTCTGTGCCTCCCCTGTCCCATTCCGTGTGTGTGCACACCAGGTGCTGCGCAAGGCGGACATGGTGCGCAAGAACGCGGTGGAGAGTGTGCAGGCGGAGAGAAACATCCTCGCTTCCGTGCGCAGCCCCTTCGTGGTACGCTACGCATGCCTTGCATGGCAGCCCCTTCGTGTTTCTACTCGTTCACTTGCCAGGAAAATCTTTACCTGGTCATGGAGACCTCACTGCATTTCCCCCCTGTTTCTCACTCACTCGCTCACTCACTCACTCATCCTCTCTCTCACTCCTGCCCCCAGGTGCGGTGCTTCTACTCGTTCACGTGTCGGGAGAACCTCTATCTGGTGATGGAGTATCTCAACGGGGGCGACCTCTTCTCGCTGCTGCAGAACCTCGGCTGCCTCGAGGAGCCCATGGCCCGCGCCTACATTGCTGAACTCGTATGTGCCCTGCCCTGCCCTGCCCTGCCCTGCCCTGCCCTGCCCTGCCCTGCCCTGCCCTGCCCTGCCCTGCCCTGCCCTGCCCTGCCCTGCCCTGCCCTGCCCTGCCCTGCCCTGCCCTGCCCTGCCCTGCCCTGCCCTGCCCTGCCCTGCCCTGCCCTGCTCTGCCCTGTCCTGCCTGGTATGCGTGGTTTGGCTCCCTTTTGGGGCGTCCCACTGCCCCCTGACCCCACATGCCACGCCATTCCATCCCTCACACCATGCCCTGCCTCTCTCCCTCATCCCACCACCACTACCGCTATCAGGTGTTGGCGTTGGAGCATCTGCATGCGAGTGGCATCATCCACCGTGACCTCAAGCCTGACAACCTCCTCATTGCATACGATGGCCACATCAAGGTGAGCATGCCGCCATGCCAATGCCACCCATGCCTGCCGCTCGCTGATTATTCTGCCCCCGTCAGCACGTGCCGTCCCTTCTCTCAACCTCCATTCTTTGGTGCACGAGCACTGGTTCTGTCCCATTCATCCCTATCCCCCTGTTGCCCACCTCTTCCCCTCTTCTCCGCACCTTCTTCTTTCCACAGTTAACGGACTTTGGGCTTTCTCAGATGGGTCTATTCAACAGCACCGGTGACTTTGCCATCGGCCCTCTCACCACCACAGGACCCTCTGAGCCCCCCTCACCCAACGTCACCGCCGCCGCCGCCGCCGCTGCAGCCTCTGCTTCCGCCTCCGCTGCTGCCGCTGCAGCTGCCCTCTCCGCCTCCTCCCACCCCCCAGCCGCCCTCGGCTTCCCCAAATCCGGGTCGATAGATTCCGGCGCGTCTGTCTCGGCGTCTATCCCCACATCGCCTCTCTGGGCGGCGGACCGGGCGGCAGACTTCCCGCCCGCGCCGTCCGGTGCATCGTCCCGCCCGTCGTCCTCTTCCGGCCGCACGTCGCCGTTTTCGGGGGTTCCGGGCGGCGTGGGGATGGTGGGCGGCGGAGGGGGAGGGGGAGGTGCGGGAGGGATGGGGGGCGGATCGGCGTCGCCAGCGTGGAAGGCTGAGGTGGAGTCGTTGCAGGGTGCCGGGCGGAGTGCGTCGGCGGATGTGGAGAAGAAGAAGGAGCAGACGGTGGGCACTCCGGACTATCTCGCTCCGGAGATTCTGCTTGGCACGGGCCATGGTGCGTGGGGACGGGATGGGCATTATGGGTATGGTGAGGCATGGCAGGAATGCGCCATGTTGACGCGGTGGAGGGACGGTGCCAGATGTGGATATGGGGGTTTAGGGGCCATGGTGAGTCCGTAGGACTGGGACTTCCACGCAGTGGCGTCGCATCCCATTCCCCCCGCTCCTGCTGCATTGCTCATCTCTATCCCTCTGTTCCGCACCTTTGCTCCGTTCCACCTCCCTCCCCGGGTCATCCATGGTGCTGCAGGCGCCACAGCGGATTGGTGGGCGGTGGGAGTGATGCTCTTTGAGCTGCTCTGCGGTGTTCCCCCCTTCAATGCTCCCTCCCCTGAGGTGAGTGACAGTGCAAAGTGGCCATGTCCTTTTGTGCACATCTGGTTTCTAGGTGTCTCCTGCACCAGCGCACACACACGCACTCATGCTCTCCCTCCAACCATCCCTCCCGTCTCAACGCGTGCAGATCATATTTGACAACATTCTGAACCGGGACATTCCATGGCCGGAGGTGCCTGAGGAGATGTCCTACGAGGCCATGGACCTCATTGACAAGTACGTGCGCTTGCCCTCCGCTGTATGTCCTTGTGTGAGTGAGAGAGAAAGCAAAGCACACGCGCATGCGCATTCACCTTGTTGAGGGGCCCTGGAGGTGCCTGAGGAGATGTCGTACGAGGCCATGGACCTCATTGATAAGTACGTATGCTTGCTTCTTAAAGCCTGTGTTTTTAAACGGGAGAGCGAGCGAGGCTGTTCGCACATTCTTCTGGCACGGCAGGTACATTTCTGTTTAGGTTCATCATGTATGCGTAGAGTGGAACATGCGTCATCGACTCCTTCCTCGCACTGTCCGGCTCTCACCCGTCAACCCCTCCCCCCCCCCTCTCTTTGAGCCCCCTGCCAGGCTGCTGCATCCGGAGCCGTCACTGCGGCTGGGAGCGAGGGGAGCAGAGGAGGTGAAGGCGCACCCCTTTTTTGACGGCATCCGCTGGGAGACGCTCGCGCAGGAGCAGGTGGGGCTGGGGCTGCGTGGGAGCCTGTGCGTGCGCTACGTGCCGTGTGCCATGTGCCATGTGCAAATGCTATGTCTCTTCTTCCTCTCTGCTTGCGCTTTGCTACAGAGGCGTTTGTACGTCCCTCTTGACCCTCTCCCTCCCTCATTCCCATTGCATCCCGCCCCTGGCCACTCGCCCCTCTCCCTGTCGCCACCACTCATCCTCCAGGCGGTGTTTGTGCCGAGTCCCGACAATCCGCACGACACGGGCTACTTTTTGACGCGCGGGTGGCAGCAGGAGCCGGGCGGCATGGACGGGGGGAACATGGCGATGGGCATGGGCGAGAGCGAGAGCGCCAGCAGCGACGCCTGCAGCAGCACATCTGCAGACGACTTTTACCAGGGCGAGCAGGTGAGGCGGTGACCGGGAGTCGGTGAGGCCATGAGGCGAGGGAGCAGGTGAGAGCGCTAGAGCGCTAGGTGAGGGAGGCTGTGGGAAAAGCAGGTGACGCCTGCAGCAGCTCATTGGCGGATGAAGGGTGTACAGGTGAGGGCAGGGGGGGGGGGAGCGAGCAGGTGAGGGCGAGCGAGAGTGAGAACGAGAGTAGAGGGGGGATGACCGGAGTGGTAGAAAATGTTTCTCTGTGTGAAGGAGTGTGGGAGTGGATGGGGACTCACCTGTGTGCCCGTGTTTATGTCTCTCCCTGGGTTTGCATTCTTCTTGAAAGAAGGAGTGTTTTGAGACGTCTCAAATCACCTGTGTGCCCTTGTTTATGTCTCTCCCTGTGTGCCCGTGTTTATGTCTCTCCCTGGGTTTGCATTCTTCTGCTGTGCTGTGTGTGTTGTGCTGCATGGTGGTGGTGGTGGGTGGCAGGGGGACGAGCCCGGGGACATGAGGAACTTCTCAGACAATGTCGCTGCTGCCTTCACCAACTTCTCCTTCAAGGTCCGTGCTCATGCTCATGCTCATGGTGATGGTGGTGGTGATGGTGATGCTGATGCTGATGGTGACAGTGATGATGGTGGTGATGGTGATGCTAATGCCGGCGCTGCTGATGGCTTTTGAGACGTCTCAAAAGTCTGATGAGGATCCGGATGCTGATGCTGCTTCTGCTGCTGCTACTTTTGGGGCATGGGCTGGTTTACACTCGTGCCGTTTGAGTCGACTCAAAAGTCACCTCTGTTGCTACTTTTGGGGCATGGGCTGGTTTACACTCATGCCGTACGCGGGTGCATTGGTTTTTCTATGATTGTGTGTGTGTTGGCGCGTGGTGCCCCATGCCCTCTCTCACAGCCGTCTTTCCGAGTCTTGAGCCGTGTAGCAAGTTCTTTTCATCCCATGCCCTTTCTCACAGCCCTCCAAAGTACATGCTCTCGTCTCTCACTCTGCTCCTTACCCTCCCTCCCTTCCTCCCTATGCTCCCCCCCTTTCATATTCTCTTGCAGAACCTCTCCCAACTGGCTGAGATCAACTATGAGTTCCTGGGCCGGCAAAAGAGCCCTCCCAGCCATCTCAAGTGACAAATCCTTTTACTGAACCACGCCCTTTTTTTAACGAAGCAGCCTTTACAGGGGCAGCAGAGCAGGCACAGGAGCACCCACACCAGCACTACCCCCCACGGCAGCAGCACGTGGTTTTGACAAGCACACTGCACTGCAAACTGCACCCTGTTATGTTGCTCCCCCGGGAAGTTCATTTCACCACTCAGCACACTCCCACAGCACCACTCACACAGGGTGTTTTACTAGAGGCAGTAAGCAACCGTTTGAGCTTTCCTGTTTTGGCACCACCATTCATGTGGGCCGAGCAGAGTGTGTGCCGGCGTGCATGTGTGGTTGTGTGTGTGTGTGGTTGCATGCGCGTCTGTGTGCCTTTTGTTCTCGTCTCCCCGATTGTTCTCCGCTGCTTCCGGTCCAGCTGTAGCTGGCTGCTAGTGCCGAACCGGAGAAAGAGGGACAGAGGGCATATGAGATTGATGGAATACATATGGGGCTGAGTGCGGTAGAGATGGATTGCAGTAGAGATTGGGGAGAAGGGCAGTGGAGGGGAGGAGCGAAAGGGGCAGGAGACAAAGCTTCATGTGCCGGCCTGAGGCAATGCAGATTTCATCAGCACAGATCAATTTACGCAGGCCCATATCGGAAGCTTCTGTTGCCGGTGTGCCGCGCAAGGCCGTGTTGAGCATTGTGGTTTTTCTTTTTGCCTTGTCGGCATCCTTTTTTTTCTCTCCAATATTCCGATACGGTTGCTGCGCTGAAGGCCTTATGCAGCAGTCTTGGGCGAGCCATGTGTGGTGCATCCATCAAGTTAGCTATTCTTGCCAATGCTCGAAGCCTTTTTATTATTCTGTCTTTAGCCTTGAGGCTGTTTCTACAATAACAAATTTTCTCTGCTTCTGGTTGTAGTGAATACGAATTCATTACTGTAGAGGCTGCTCCTAGCGAGGACAACCCAGAGCATTTCGCGACAGTTTCGAGGTTCGGCCTACACTTCGGACCGAACCACTGCCGAGTCGCCCCGCACCAATCCCGACACTTCCAAACCAACCACGTCCCGAGGTCCTCGCCTACCACGGTTTCGACCCTATAAATGCATGCCTCTTTATCATTTTATAAAGTCTTCTGCGCACTCTTCTTAGTACAACTCATAACACTGGTGCTCGTGTGTAACTAAATGTGTACTACGGATGTCACTAAATAATTGTGCTTTGGCGGAAATATTTCTGATACAGAGCCAATCCAAAGCCTGGTGCCAACATTTGACGGGTCTGGTGCTATCCAGACCAGGATTGAGAGCTCCGAATTGCCGCCGCTCAACGCGCCTCTGCTGTCGGTACGGATGCGTTGCTAGGGAGAGTATGACACTCGTTGTTAGGTCTAGCGCCGGAATATTACGAGGCGGGTTTTTTTCTGTTCCTCTCTGAATCTCGAAGTCGCCCTTTATTTCTGTAAGAGAGTAATCTGAATCAGCGTGGGGCTTCTCCATCAGAACCATGAAGCGGCGCGGGGCTGGTCTCATCCTCGATCTCCCCGACGAGGTGCTGACGTCTATCGTACGTCAGCTCGAAAATCCCGCCGATCGACGAAACGTAGCTCTCGCATGTTCGCGATTTCGCGAACTCGAAAATTGTTCTCGCCGCAACCTGACCTACAAGGCCCGCCAGGGGACTCCCCATGCCCAGATTCTCGAATCGCTGCTTCGGCGATGCTCGGCTCTCGAGGATATCTCCGTGATCAACGATCGAGGGAAATCGACGGTTGGCGATGAGCTGCTGCTGGCCGTCGGATCGAGATGCTCGCAGCTGGAGCGGCTGAGCCTCGTGGGATGCGAGGGGGTGACGGATAATGGATGGAGGACGTTCAGTGCACAGTGCCGGTGAGTGCTCGGATTCATTTTGCTAGTTTTTGTTTAATATCTGTGTCTTGTTTAAGTAGATTCGCCCACATTCAAGCTTCGTCCTGTGCCTACTACATGTGAGATCGCCGTGGTTTCTGTTTCCACTCATCACAATTTTCGACCATTGTGTACCACACACCTATTCGCCTTTTTGAGAATTCTTAAAAAAAAACCTGCAACACCTCTTCACCTTTCTCCACATCATCTTTCCTCTGTGACCTCACCCCCCCCTCGCTCTCTCCCCCCTTTCGCCTTCTTCCCCCTTCCCCCTCCCACCTTTCCCCCCTCCCCCAACCCTACCAGCGCGCTCAAGGCGCTCGAGCTCCGCCTTGTTTCCGCCAAAGCAGTCTGCCCGCCCCTCTCTGCCTTCCCCTCGCTGCTCTCCCTCACACTTTACCGCCTAGACGGCCTCCCAGTGCAAATCTCCTCCCTCTCGCACTGCTCCTTCCTCACCTCCCTCTCCCTCTGGCACCTTACCGACCCGCTTCTCTCCTCCCTCTCCTCCTCCTCCCCCTCTCTCCCCGCCCTCCAATCCTTCACCCTCACATCAGCATCAGTCACAACTTCCCTGGGATCCCTCGGTGCTTTCCCTCTCCTCTCTTCACTCGCTCTCTGCCAATGCTCGCAAATTGGTCCCCCTGAAATGCACTCTCTCTCGTGCTCCCTCCACACACTCACCCACCTGACCATCCAAGACTGCCACATGATTCCCTCCTCTGCGGTGGCCGCTTTAACCGCTGCTAATTCATCTATTGTGTCTCTCTCCCTCCGGGGCAACAGGCGTCTCTTCAGCCATGTGGGGATTGAGGCGGCACTTAAATCCATCGCCGGCGCTTTAGAATCGCTGACGCTTAGTGGCATGCCGATGCTGATTCCGGACGCTCTTGCTGGGTGCACGCGATTGAAGTCACTAGGGTTGGAGTATGGAAAGGGGTCCGTGTGGGATATTGCAGGCATGCTGGGTGTAGGGAGCATTGAGCCGCCTCGAGGATCGTTGTTTGCTGTTGCTGGCATTGTGATTGATTGGCTGGGTGACGTGCAGCATGAAAGAGGAGGGAGGGGAGGAGGTGGTGGAGTGGGAGAAGGTGGGGAAGGAGGTGCAGGAATAGGACGAGGAGAGGGACTAGATGCAACTCTAGGCTTGAGCACGACTGCACCAGTGGACGCACCTGCTCCACCTTCATACGTGGAGGCAAAAGTTGTGCCTTTGGAGTCCCTCTCTCTCCACTGCTTTGAGTTTCGCTCGGATGTTTTTCTCTCCGTGGTTTCGACTTCCCCCTTCCCTCCACCTCCCTCACGCCACCCGTGTTTCCGTGCGTTTACGGAGCTGAGACGACTGTCCCTGCACGCTTGTTCGGGGCTTGAAGGAAGGGATTTCCATGAGATTTTCCAGTCCTGTCCTCGTTTAGAGCATCTCCTTGTGGACTACAATGACGCGTTCTCCGACCGGGTGATTTCGGAGTGTAGACTGGAAAGGCTCACACGTTTCAGTGTTGTAGCATGTCCCAAGGTGACAGCAGAGAGTATCGGGGGTATTCTAGGGAGTTTCCCGAAGCTACGGTGGTTGAAGGTGGAGAAGGTGAAAGTCACAGAGAGAGCTAGAAGGGTGTTCCTGAGGGCTGGCATGATTATACGAGTGTAATTTTGAGTAGAGTTTATGCACCCCATAAATGATAGATGTTCGATGCATTGGCTCTTGTGAGATCCTTGCTGCCGTCACCATTATTACCGTAACTGCGTGAAGACACTTGGTGAAGGCCTTCGCAGCGGTCTTGAGCTCCATCCAAGAAGATTATTCATGCCAAGCATGGTTCTTGTGTTCGTTCAATATAGCCGTTGGGGTGCCTGTACGTTTCATAGGAGTGTAGACATTATACAAATCGGACCGCTCATTCAGACACGCGTATCGCGACGCGAGCACCTCTCATTCAGAATGCTTCGTCGTTTGCGTCGCAAGCACCACGGCTTTTCGACCCTCCCGAACCGCGCGTAAGCCCGGATCTAGCATAGTCCCTCGTTCATAACCGTCTAGTGGATTGGAAGCTCCGAATAGCCGCAGCTTACCCGCCTCTGCCACAATGTGACTGTGTTCTTAGGGAGGGAGATTATGACTCCTCGTTGTAAGGTCTAGTGCTGAAATGTCAAGGCTGGGTTTGTTACCGTAAATCCGTTCTTTTTGTTAGCTTTGAGGTAGCATCTGGCGACGCATTTAATCATCATAGAGTAAGTTTCTTCGGAGCCATGAAGTGGATCGGGCCTGCTCGCATCTTTGATCTCCCAGACGAGGTGCTGACGTCGATAGTACGTCAGCTCCAGAACCCCACTGATCGGCGAAACGTCGCCCTCTCCTGCTCGCGATTTCGCGAACTCGAAAACCGTTCGCGCCGCACCCTGACCTACAAAGCACGCCAAGGGACCCCCCACGTCCAGATACTCGAATTGCTGCTTCGGCGATGCTCGGACCTTGAAGATCTCTCCGTGCGAGGGATATTGACGGTTGGTGATGAGCTGCTGCTGGCCGTCGGATCGAGATGCTCGCAGCTGGAGCGGCTGAGCCTCGTAGGATGCGAGGAGATAACGGATGATGGATGGAGGAGGTTCAGTGAGCAGTGCCAGTGCGTGTCCCGATACTCATTACTGGTTGTATTTCGAGTTTTCAAACCTAATTCTTAAAATTTTCGTAACCTATTTTTTAAACTAGTCAGGTAGATTCTCGTACCGGGCTTTCGAGGCGCCTCAAATCTCGTCCTGTGCGTGATTGCATCTCAAATCGCGTGGCTTCTGGTTTGACTCCTCAGATCATACTCACCGATTCTCGTCTATCTCTGCTTCTTCTCCTCACCCCCTCACCCTTGTCCTCCACTTCCACCCCTCCACACCCCCCCTCCCCCCCCCCCCCCCCCCCCGCCTCTCCCCTCTTCTCCTCCCCCTCCCCCCAACTCCACCAGCGCGCTCAAGGCGCTGGACCTCCGCCTGGTCTCCGCCAAAGCAGTCTGCCCGCCCCTCTCCGCCTTCCCCTCGCTGCTTTCCCTCACGTTCTACCGCATAGACGGCCTTCCAGTGCAAATCTCCTCCCTCTCGCTCTGCTCCTCCCTCACCTCCCTCTCCCTCTGGCACCTCACAGACCAGCTCCTATCCTCCCTCTCCCCCTCCTCCCCCTCTCTCTCCTCCCTCCAATCTCGTACCCTCAAATCAGCATCAGTCAAAACCTCCCTGGGATCCCTCGGTGCTTTCCCCCTTCTCTCCTCTCTCGCTCTCTGCACATGCTCGCAAATTGGTCCCCCTGAAATGCACCCTCTCTCGCGCTCTCTCCACACACTCACTCACCTCACCATACAAGACTGCCTCATGATTTCCTCCTCTGCACTGGCCGCTCTAACCGCTGCTAATCCATCTCTCGCGTCTCTTTCCCTCCAGGGCAGCTGGCGTCTCTTCATGCCTGGAGTGATTGAAGCGGCGCTTAAATCCGCCGCCGGCGCTTTAGAATCGCTGACGCTTAGCGGCGTGCCGATGCTGAGCCAGGGCATGCTTGAGGGGTGCACGCGATTGAAGGCGCTGAGGTTGGAATATGGAAAAGGGTCCGTGCTTGATGTTGCTGGTACGCTGTGTGGAGGAAGGCTTGAACCACGTCAGCGTTTGGTGATTGATATTTCTGATTTGTTTTTTGGAGGGGGGGGGTTGGGAATGGCGTGGAAGAGAAGGAAGGGAACAAAGTGTTGGAGAGGCAGCGGGTGGGGAAGGAGGAGCAGATGGAGGAGGAAGGGGAGAGGCAACTGTTGTGCCTCTGGAATCGCTCTGCCTCCACTGCTTCGCCTTTGCCCCGGATGCTCGAGTCTCCCTACTCTCCACCTTCCCTAGGCCTCCCCCGTCGCTCATCGCATTCAGGCAATTGAGCCGGCTGTCCCTGCACACTTGCACGGGGCTAAAAGAAAGTGATTTCTATGCGGTTTTGCAGCCCTGTCCTCGTGTAGAGCATCTCCTTGTGGACTATAACGACGCGTTCTCCGACCGGGTGATTTCGGAGAGTAGACTGGAAAGCCTCACGCGTTTCACTGGGGTAGCATGCCCCAAGGTGACTGTGGAGAGTATTGGGGGTATGCTTGGGAGTTTCCCAAAGCTACAGTGGCTGAAGGTGGAGAAGGGAAAAATCACAGAGAGAGCTAGAAGGTGTTCCTGAGGGCTGGTGTGATTCTACGAGGAGTGTGATTACGTGTGGAGTTCAGGTGCTGCAGAAATCATGGATGCTAAGTGCACTGGCCCGAGTGAGATCGTGTGAAATGTCACCACAGCGGGGCGCGTGACGGGTCAAAACTCATGCTCTAGGCCGAATGCGTTTCGATGTTTCTTCAGCGTGACAATGGGCACTTAGCGAGAGAGTTAGCATACAGTATGGCAACTCTGTCCTCCTGAAAGGGCTCAAATAGTTTCTTAAAACAGGCAATGCACGCAGAACTGCAGACACTTTCTTTCAACAGTAACCAGACAAGTCTGGTTGGACCGATGGTGGGGTCCAAAATAAGGGGTTCTGCTTAGGACGTAGGCACCCCAAAAAACCCCTACCACAATACATCTTATTTTCTGTGTTCGACAGGGTCGGAGTTTGGTGGTCAGGTTCTTTCAAGCAGAGGCTGCGTTATGCCAGAGTCTGTGGGGGCGCTCATGGCCCCTCCAGGGGGTGTGCGGGAGAGAGCTGAGAAGTCAGCAGCAGCGGCAGCAGCGTATGCTGAGTTGACATCTGGCGGGTTGGAGCGGGCATCTGGGCGCACCAAGCCTTGCAGGTTGTGTGAGGAATTGGCCTGGGGGGAGTGGAGGGAGAGGATGGGAAAGGAAATGGGGGAAAGTGAGGGGGAGATGGATTGGCAGGAAGAAGTGGGAATCGAACAAGGATAGTAGGGATGGGCCGAATGAAGGGACAGGCAGATTTGAGGGGATGGGCAAAATGCAACGATCCCTGAAAGCAACAAGATGGGGACGGCAAGGATGACAGCAGCACTTTTTTATGACTCGTAGCATGCTTATGCAGGCAGGCAGAGAGGGGTTGAGTTGAGCGGCTTACAAGCATGCGAGAGGACGAAGGGACTCGTCTAGGCATGATGTTGAGCCCCACTTTGGCTGCCACCCGGATGCTGCAGTATGTGGTAAGACGTGGTGACATGTGGTGACATGTGGTGACATGTGATGCGATATGGTGACATGGGGTGAGATATGGTGACACGTGGTGAGATATGGTGACATGGGGTGAGATATGGTGACACGTGGTGAGATATGGTGACATGTGGCGACATGTGGTGATCGGTGGTGATAAATATGCCGAAGACCAAAAGAGCACGAACAAATCATAAGTTCTGAAGGTCTAGGTAACCTTCAAGAAGACAAGGGCAGAAGGAGCACAAATGAGCAACAGGAATATACAGATGCTGGGCAGTGGCAGAGTGCATGAGTGAGTAAGTGCAAGCGAGTGTCTGAGTGAGAGAGTGAGCGAGCGAGTGAAAGAGTGAGAGTAAGTGAGTGCATGAGTGAAAGTGAGTGAATGAGTAGTGAGTGAGTGAGTGAGTGAGTGAGTGAGTGAGTGAGTGAGTGAGTGCAAGAGTGAGCAAGGGAGCATGCAACGCACCGTCGGTGCACGTCAATGTACTCATCGGTCTCATCCACTATCTCCTCCTGTCGGGCCACCAAAGGGGGAGAGCAACGCAAAGGAACGAGGATAGATGTTGTACAGGGCAGGGGAGCAAGCAACAGAAGGTGTCCCGTGGGTAAAAGTCAAAGTACTCATCGGTCTCATCCACTATCTCCTCCTGTGGGACCACCGAGGGGGGGAAGCAAGGATAGGTGTTGCACGGGGGAGAAACCAACAGAAGGTGGCAGGAAGGATGTGTGGGAAGGCGTCACCGTCAGTGCACGTGAATGCACTCATCGGTCTCATCCACTGTCTCCTCCTGTGGGACCACCTAGGAGGAAGGAGAACACAATGGAGAAACAAGGATAGGTGTTGTACAGGAGAGCGAGCATAGATGGGCCCTCAATGGCCTTCCCATCGCACACGACAGCATGCGAGGAACCAGCACACCTGCACTTATAAGAAACCAACGCAATTGCAGTTCTGAAAATCCAACGCAATTGCAGTTCTGAAAATCCAACGCAATTGCAGTTCTGAAAATCCAACGCAATTGCAGTTCTGAAAATCCAATGCAATTTGCAGATTTGAAAATCCAACGCAATTGCAGTTCTGAGAATCCAACGCAATTGCAGTTCTGAAAATCCAACGCAATTGCAGTTCTGAAAATCCAACGCAATTGCAGTTCTGAAAATCCAACGCAATTTGCAGTTCTGAAAATCCAACGCAATTGCAGTTCTGAAAATCCAACGCAATTGCAGTTCTGAAAATCCAAGGCAATTGCAGAGCAGCTCAACTAGCCAACGCACCTGCAATAGCTCCTCGATTAAAACTTTCCGTCTCACGACCGCACACAGCTGCACACAACTGCACACAACCGCAGTTGGCCTTTTACGCACCTGCAGCAGCTCCTCAATCACGTCTTCCAGTGTGATAATCCCCACCACCTCCTCCGTCTCATCCCTCCTCTCCCACCTCCACCCTCCCACTGCCCCTTCCCTCTCCTGCTCTCTCCTCTGCCCCTCCGCCCTCCCACTCCCTCCATGGCCCTCCCTCCTCCCCGCCCTTGCCTTCCGCTCCTTGGTAGTATACACCACATCTATACCCTCCTCCTCCCCTGCTCCCCCCGCTGCTGCACCCCCTGCTCCGCACCCTGCCCACCCTCCTGCTCCGCCCCCTGTTAGCCCACCTGCTGCTGCTGCTCCTACCGCCCCCCCTGCTGCACCTGCTGCATGAGTACGAGATACAGCGCCCACAGACAGGCCTGCACGAGGCATGCCTGGGTGCTCCTGCCACTGCACACGCTTGGGTGCATGTGCCTCCGTGTGGATTAGACCCAACCCTGCCTCTGCCACAGCAGGCGCGTGGGTATGCTCAAACCCAGCAGCAGCACCAGGAGCACCAGCGACCCCATGGGTGTGCTCGTATCCCGCACTGGCAGCAGCAGCAGCGAAGGCAGCAGCAGCAGCGAAGGCAGCGGCAGCGGAAGACCCTCCAGTCGCCAGAGCCGCTGTTTCTGCAGCCAGCAGCACAGGCGGGGGCGTCCTGGGGCGCTCAAACCGATAGTGCTGCTGCTGATGGTGAGACTCATGCGGATGGTGAGACGCATGCGGATGGTGAGACTCATGCGGATGGTGAGACGCATGCGGATGCTGATGGTAATGGCCAGGAGGAGGAGTGAGGGAGCGCTGCAAGGGTGAATCTCCAGTGGATGCTCCTCGGAACACAGTGCCTTGTGCGTGCCCCTGAGGGGGAGGCGTCCTGGGCTCCTGCTGCTGACTGTTCTGACTCCGTCCATACCCATACGCATTCCCACTCCCATACTCATACCCACCCCCATAGCCATAACCATGCTCGTGCAGGTCTTCTGAGTTGCGGCGGCTGTTGCCTCCCTGGTTGTGAGTCTCACAGTAGGTGGGGTCGTTGAAGAGTGCGTGCTGAGAGGACTCCGATGTGCTCGTGGGCATTGAGATCGTCAGCACATCTGCCTGCCCCACTTGCACTTCCCCTGCTTGCACCGCCCCCATACCCCCACCAGCAGCACCAGCAGAACCACCACCGGCGGCGGCGGCAGCAGCAGCAGCGGCAGCAGCGAGGGAAGCATGGGTGGGAGGGGGCGGGGTTTTCTTCTTGACGACCACGGCCATGTGCGAGCTGCCCTTTTGGAACTCGTTCAGCACACTGTACAGCGGCAAGCTCGCTGCCATCCTGGCAGCGCACAGGGAAGGAGGGGGGCGTCTCAGAAGGTTGTTGTTGACGTTTTCTTTTTTTTCTTTTCTTTTTTTTTTTCTTTTTTACAAGTATCAGATGGCTATAAAGACGTCTCGAAAGTGGCCTACCTGGGGACGCGGCGGATGGAGATGGAGCTGACAGGGGTCTCATCCTCGGGGCGCACGGTGAGGAGCGTCTTGGTGAGAAGCACGCCTATGATGTTGCTGGGATGGCCCCGATACACCGGCACCCGGCTGTGGCCCCTTGCTAGAATGCGCCCCATCGTGTCCCTGCCACGCACACGCTCGGAAAAGGCATGGGCTTGAGTTGGAAGAGGCGTGATGGGGGCACATGGTTAGCTGAAAGACTTGAGCAACTAAGGAATATAACCAGACCAGAAAAAAGGGACGAGAGGTTTACAGAACTCACCTCAGCAGAGGCCATTAGCACACTAGGCAGCACAAAGATACTTGATTGGAAGATGGGTTGTAGACACGCTGGTTGGAACATATTTTGAGAACTTCCAAACGCTCAGGCTACGGCATTAGCCAGACGTGTTTAGGCGCGCCTACCAGTCAAGGCGCGAGTTGACGCTGAGAGAAAAGGTCGACTCTATGGGGGTCATTGCCTCCTCTGCTGTCTACAGCCAAATGCAGGACAGGAGCATCATTACACAAGCAGAAGGGAGAGGAAAGGAAAGTTTTTAAGGGTGGCAAAGAGAAGCTAGTCTGCTTCACAATCATCTCCTTTGTGTTGATCACATTCAATTGAGGGTGCGAGCAGATTCAGGTTCTCTCTGTAAGGTCAACGCCTGCATTCCAAACTCTGCACTCTGCGCACCTCAGATTCACATTCTGCAGAGCGAACCTCCAGTCACCAACTCAGGTTCGGCTGATTGATTGTATGTAGGAGACCTTTGAGTTGACTTTTGAGTCGACTCAAAAGTCACCTATGTAGGAGACCGCAGGCTGAACCTCACCTTCTGTGTGAGATCAAGAGCGCCACTGATGATGGTGGTCTCACTGCGAGTCAGCTCCCCTCCCATGCCCGCCTGGTGGTGACATGAGAGGTGGGGGACGGCCATGGGGAGGGGGGGATTGGCAACTGAGAGTGGAAATTTGAGACGTCCCAAACGTCGCTGTGAGTCAGCTCGCCTCCCATGCCGCCTGGTGCATTGGGGGAGTGGGGGATTCGCCATGGGGAGTGGGGGATTCGCCATGGGGAGTGGGGCATTCGTGATAGGCATAGCATAGGGAGTGGGGCATTCGCCATGGAGAGTGGGGCATTCGTCATGAGATATGATATATGAGATATTCTCAACAGAGAGTGGAGACTTCGCAAGGTGGGGTACGGAAAAATAGCTTTAGGATGTGGGGAATCTGCAATTGGGTTGGGACGCACATGCATGGTAGGGAGGCGTTGCGAAGGAATGCAAGGGATTGGAGGGGTTGGAGCAAGGAGGAGGCGAGATGGGGAGAGGAAAAGGGATGGGGGGGAGGAAAAGGGATAGGGAGGGGCCATGAGACATGCAACGAGAGGAAGGGACAAGGACCCGTGGAGTGGAGGAATGTTGAGGACCCATGCCTATGCCCCATAGACGCGTGCAGCTGCCCCTGCTCGCCCACCCCAACTCTTACCCTTCTCGCACCCCACTCCTTTCCCTCACCCCACCTCTGCAACTGCTCGCCCCCCACCGCACCTCTGCACCGTGGATGCTGACGAGTGCCTTGAGCTGCTGGCGCCTGAAGAGCGGGTCATCGTGCCCCAGCAGATAGTCCAACACCTGGGGGGAGGGTGTGGGTGGGGGAAGTGGGGGGGTAGAGGTGGTATGGGTGGGTGGATCGTCATGCCCCATATCTCTTTGCCTGCTGGCTCCCCACCACACCTCTGTGCCTTGAGCTGCTGGCGCCAGTAGATAGTCCAGCACCTGGGGGGGGGGTAGGGGGGGGGGGAAGAGGGGGGGACGGGTGGGTATGAGGAGTGGTTTGTGCGTGTGGATGGGTGGGTGGGTGGGTGGGTGGGACATGCCCCAAGAGATAATCCAGCACTTGGGAGGGGAGGACGGGGGAAGTGAGAGGTCTGGTGGAGTGTGGGGCATGGGGTATGGGTATGGGCCATGGGTATGGGGTATGGAGCATGGGGTATGGGCCATAAGAATAATCCAGTACCTTCAGCAGTGGGAAAACATGTAGCTCAAAACAGTGGAGGGTCGCAAAACAGGAAGCTTCTGAGCAAGCGGGTGAGTGAAGAGAGAGGGGGGGCAGAGGCACCTTGGCGATGGGGAAGGCGATGGGCCAGCAGAGAAGCATGAGGCAGCGCACGAGGGGAATGAGATTGGCGCCCACTGCCAGCCCGTACCTCGAGCACACCGCTTGCGGAATCACCTGCGAGGGAGGATGGGATTCCGGTGGAGATGGAGGAGGGATGGATAGGGTCGTAAGGAGATAGACTGTGTATAAGGCGAGGTGAAAACAGACGGATTCGGATGTCTGAGACGCACAGACACACAGGCACGCATTGTGCGTGGAAGGATTGATTCGGTAGTATTGTGCCGTCAACCTTGCAGAAACAAGTGTACTACGCATTCAACTCCCATGCTGCACTCGCCTCTCCTCCGCATGCTGCTGCGCTCACCTCACCAAAGAGCAGCACGAAGGAGACGGAGAGTGCAATGGCGACAGCTGGAGGGACCAGGCGGTCGAGAAACACCGGCAGGGCCTGCGATGGTGGGATGGTGCAATGATGTGAGGATGTGATGATTCGAGGAGTAACGGACATGCAGCAACGAGCGAATCTCCCAGAGTTCACGGAATGCAACCGAGAGCACAGATGCTCTGGAGGAAAGCAACTCTAATAAAGGAATTTGGCTGAATGGATCTCTTTTGGCTGACACGTGGCACTGGCAGCGCCGCACCACACTGCCTCCCTGACCGACCACAGCATCACCGAGCAGGCGAGGGAGTGCAACTCGTGACTCGAGCTTCACGCGTACCTCCATCGCGGATCTGTGCTCATGAAGAAGGGCAGCAGTAGGCAAGCCTCAAAAGGCTTCACGCGTACCTCCATCGCGACGGCGTTGCAGAGAAGCAGCGTGACCAGCAGCTCGTGTTGTTTCTCCACTACAGGGATAATTGCCGCCGCCTGCCGCTGCTCGTCCGCCGTGCCGCTCTGAACCAGCACCTCCAAGTCTACGGGCTCAGCGACATGAGGCCGAGCGTCAGGCCCGCATTAGGCCCGCGAACAGACACCTGCTGTGAGTGACATCTAACCTGCTGTGAGTGACATCTAACCTGCTGTGAGTGACATCTAACCTGCTGTGAGTGACATCTAACCTGCTGTGAGTGACATCTAACCTGCTGTGAGTGACATCTAACCTGCTGTGAGTGACATCTAACCTGCTGTGAGTGACATCTAACCTGCTGTGAGTGACATCTAACCTGCTGTGAGTGACATCTAACCTGCTGTGAGTGACATCTAACCTGCTGTGCCGTGACATCTAACCTGCTGTGCCGTGAGCAACTCAGCACACGCCTTTTCAAGCTCACCTCCATCGCAACTGCGTTGCACAGCAGCAGCGTGACCAGCAGCTCGTGTTGTTTCTCCACTACAGGGATAATCGCGGCCGCCTGCCGCTGCTCGTCCGCCGTGCCGCTCTGCACCAGCACCTCCAAGTCCACGGGGCTCAGCGACATGAGGCCGAGCGTCAACCCGGACATTAGGCCCGCGAACACGACGAGAAACGCGGAGAGACCCGCGAAGAACCACCATTCCGCCTCGCTAATTGGCGGCTCGGAGAGAGTTAAGAGGCCGAGAAGGGGTTGGAAAGCCGTGAGAAGCATGGCGGCTGATGGTAACCGCTCGGATGGCGAATTTGGAATGTCGCCCGATGGAACTGGGCTTGCGCGAACGATTAGTGTTACGACGAACAACCAGCAAAGGGAGACATGGTTACAGGTGGAGAATTCGGAGCCTAGGAAGCTGGCGAATAATGTGCTTTGCTAGAAGGACGGAGAGCCGACGGGACGTCGAGGGGCGAGCAGCTTCAGGAATTCAGGCCAAGGAGGACAAGGCGGAAGAATTTGGAGCAGCAGACAGAACAGAGGTGTGCTGAAGAGGTTGGAGGGGGGAAATGGTCCTAAAAGTTGTCGTGAGCCTGGCAATGAAGGGGAGCGAGTGGAAGAGCTTCCAGAAGAGACGCAATTTATATTTCGAGTCCACTAAAGGATCATTCGTTAAAATCTCGCATGTTTCTTTTGGTACGAGTAGTAAGTACACACAAGTTCGGTAAAGCGGACCTGTCTGTCAACAGGATGACCTCGGTGCTGTGTATCGGGTGTTGATGGATGTGGGCCACGTGGGATTTGTCAATTTTGCTCGTTCAGAGGCCTGCGATTGGCTGGTAAACACGTTTCTTCGTCAACGCCAGACCAAATCCGTCTGGCCGATCCGTCAATTTCGTTCACTCCAGTTCGTCTCCGTCTGCTTTCCTCATCCATTCCTTATGATACTCGTGCTGGTCAAGTTCTTTCCATGGCTACCACTTTCTTATAAAGCAGGCCTTTATCACCAACGGGCCTTCGATTCTGGTCTTGCGATAGTAATAACATTAGCAGCGTTTCATGTTCGTTCAGTTCCCACGGTTTGCAAACCTCTCTAGGCGTCGCTGTTCCGCCTGATTCGCGCCTGGTCGGAATCCAAGATTCAGTTGCACGTCACAATTTTTTCTTACACTAGAATATTAAGTTGATAACGGATAGAAACGTTTTGCGAAACTTCCACGATGCGGGTTGACGTCATCATCGCCGCTTCTCTCTCAGCCGCTCTCACCTTCTTCCTCTCCCGTCGCCTCGCTCCATCCAAACCTGACTCAAAATCATCAAAAGCCGTCAACGCCGCTGTTGACGATGACGGAATTGACAGAACGCCGCCAGCCGAGCCCATCGCGTCCTTCTCATCGCCCGATATTGTCAACGTGAAATCTCTGCCACGTGTACGGTCGGAGATGGAGGTGGAGGACGAGCAGGACTATCAGTTCCTCACGGTCGCGGCGGAGGAGGCGGAGGCGGGCGCGCTGGAGAAGGACGGCGGGCCGTTCGGCGCGGTGATCGTGCGCAACGGGGAGATCGTGGCGCGCGCGCACAACGAGGTGCTGAAACACAAGGACCCCACGTGCCACGCCGAAATCATCGCCATCCAGAAGGTGCGCGACGAGCTGACCGCTTTTTCCGACAAGGTGACTGTGGTTGAGTCGACTTCTCAAACACAAGGGCCCCACGTGCCATGCGGAGATCATCGCCATTTGGAAGGTAAGGTAGCTGTTTTGAAGATCCGTCAGAAACAATCTCATGTACAATACCTGCATGTAACACACCGAAAATGGAAACGTCTCAGGAATGAAGCTCAAAGCACAAAGACTCCACGTGCCATGCCAGACTTGGTTTTCTAAAGTCCGTCCATCTTGCATCACACTCCTGTTCCCTTTCCTCCTCCTTGCACTACTTACCCTCATAAACCACTCTACACCGCTCCAAATGCCCTCCCCTCCACCCTCCGCTCTCCATTGCCGTGGCGTCCAGGCGTGCAAGGCGCTGGGGAAGATAGAGCTGTCGGACTGTGTCATCTACTCCTCCTGCGAGCCATGCCCCATGTCCTTCGCCGCCATGTACCTCGCCCGCCTCCCGGTCAGTCACCCTCTCCTGCTTCCTGTACCAATGCTCCCTGTCTCCAATGCCCCCCACTGCTTGCTTTGCTCCCAATGCCCCATGTCCTTCGCCGCCATGTACGTCGCCTGCCTCCCGGAGAGTGAGAACTGGCTTCCATACCCTCATGCCACCTCCATACCCTCGGTGCCCCACGCCCTCGTTCACATGCCCCATGTCCCTCATACCCTCAATGCCCCATGCCATCAAGGTGCGACCTCACCGAAGCTCACCTCTCTCTTTTTGCTCAAGGGTATGGAGCACGGTATCTAGCTTAGCTTAGGCCAAGGCAGCGCATGGCCTGGACCCAAAGCATCGCAGCACAGCACAGGTCTCTGCAGACATTTCCCATTCCACTCCACCCTTTTTCCCCCATGTCCCTTCACCCCGCGGCTGGTGTGCGGAGACCAGGCAGAGACACCAAACAATATGGGGCACCACGACCCTCTCTCCGTCACACCCCATCTGGGTGACAGCATGTGACTGTCAACCTCTCTCATTGTACTTCACCCTCCGTCCCTCCCTTCCTTCCCCCACCAGCGGCTGGTGTACGGGGCACAGGCAGAGGCGGCACACGACTTGGGGTACGACCCGTCACACGTGGCAGACGCTATAAGAGGCACGGCCACATTTCAGAAGAGCAGCTGCCGTGTCAAGCGCATCGTTCACCCCGAGGTGGCTCGCGTGTTCTGGAAGCACCGCAGCACTGTGCAGATCTACTAGGGAGCTTCTTTCTACAGTGCATGCTTACTAGAAGCTCTTGGTGATTCTACAGTACAGACAAATCTAGCAGAAAGCTCCAATTTATCCACAGTGTATTGTAAATCTACCGTATCAGTTAATCCCCCTCTATATAGCAGTAGGCGTAGCAAAATAGCAATACAGATTGGGGGGAAAGGGGGGCAGCGGCCAGGGCTCACATTATCAGAAATTTTTGGTCTGAATTTCTGGATTCTGGACACATTTTTACTGGTTCATCTGATGCCGTAGACATGCTGTTTAATTTCGTCTGATTTTTTTAGAGAAGCTTTTTCTATTCATCTGATTTCTCAGACAGCCTTATACAGTTCGTCTGAGATTGCAAATATCGAGTCTTTTTCGACTGAAGGCAAAAATCTCGAAAAAAGTAGACTGCAAGATACGATCTGGAAACCTAAGTTCTCACTGCTCGACACTCTACTACATAAACCACTAGGGCTTATTAATTTTAAAAAGACAATTGTTTGCTATTTTAATATCTTCTCAAACAAGTATTTAGGATTTGTCTGAAAAGCTAGACAAGGTTACAGTTTTCGTCTGACAATCAGACAAGGAGCCAGGACCCGTTCTTGACATCAGACGGGTCATTTTACTAAAGTTAACCCTGGCAGCGGCATGCTTTGGAAAACTTAAGGCGATGATGGTCTCTGTACCTATCTGTGTCAGTATGTTCTTTGTAAGCCATCCTTGCATGATGTTTTATACGCAGCATGAGGTACGACAAAACCAGCCAACCCGAGGTCAGCATGGTAATATATCAAGTTATGTAGGTTTGAACTGTTCGGCTGAAAAGGCCCTTAAGATCTTTGCAGGGCTGAACTTTGGGTAGAGTTGGTGTAGTAGCGGAAGCGTTAATAAAGAGTTGTGAACCACCTTGCGCTAGTATGTGAGGGCAGAGTAAGTTGATTAAAACAAAGAGATACAAGATTATATAAGGGTACATTCTACTGTGGACACTGTCCCGATCGATGTGTCCCAATCGAGTGTACCGCTCCGAACCGAACTAAACCGGAGACGCTAAAATTTCGAAACTAGGGTGCAATTCGGTGTAATACGATGCAGTGCGGTAGAAACGATTGAGACACTTTCGATTGGGACATGTCCAGCGCGGAATGTACCCTAAGAGTACAAGGAATATGAAAGGATACGATTATAAATGTTTTACTTGTTGCTGTTGCGATTCGATACAGTGACGACTCGGGCAACTGCTCTGTAGCGAGTCAGTTGTGTGTCCTTGCTGTCTCGCTGTACTTGTCAAGTCAAAGGTCGCTGACCTTTGACTTTCGCGTAACCTCCAGCGGTTACTTCAACCTCCGAGGGTTGACTCGCTAGTGCCTCGATATGCTTTGCTTCGCTTGTGCCTTAGTGTTTCGACACGACAGAGGTGCTTAGGACCGATTGTTTCCAACACTCCCCTTCGCTTCTGGAGTATCGCTGACGTGGCTCTGTCCAGTCAGCAGCATGCAGTATTCAAACTTATGCTTTCCGAGCTTCTTGGTCAGGTAGTCAGCTGCCATCTCGGACGTGGGGCAGTATGACAGCTCGAGCCTTCCCTTCCCGATCTCGTCGTTCACGAAAAAATATCGCAAGGCGATGTGTTTCGTCCTGTTCGCGAAGCCGTTCTTGTTGGCGATGCAAATTGCCGATTGGTTGTCGCAGAATAGGGTAAAGTTGGGTAACTCGGCTAACTTCGCTTCTTCCAGCAGCTCGCGAAGATAGAGTCCTTCCTTGGTGGCTGAGCACAGTGCAATATATTCTGCTTCAGCTGACGAGAGAGCAATTAATTCCTGCTTGCTCGATTGCCAGGAGATAGGTCCGATAGGCTCGAAGCAGTAGATGTAGCCGGTGCGCGATCGTCTGTTGTCGGAGTCGCCCGTGTGATCTGCGTCGACGTAACCGATTAGCTTAGGCGTTGTAGTTGCGTTCTTATGGTAAGTCGGGCCGACCGTCGGGGTACTGACAAGGTTGTGAAGAGCGCGGTCGAGCTCCGCCAGATGTTCCGCTTCAGGCTTCTTGAGGTGGGTGGCGAGCTGGCTTGCAGAGTAGGATAGATCTGGGCTGGTGACAGCTACGAAGAGAAGGCAGCCCAGCTTTCTCTGGTAGTCGCGTATGCCGACGGGCTTGAGTAGAGCGGAGCCTTCCTTGATGTTTGCTGTCGTGTAGCGGTACGGTGTGGAGATGACAGTCGGTGTGTGTGCGAAACGCTTGGCGATGGTGTCGGGGTATTTTGCGGCGCTGAGGTAGATAGCGTCTTCCTCTTCCCGGATGTTGAGGTCGAGGTACTGTGTGATGGTAGATGAGACCGTGAGTGTGAGGTCTTGCTGAATCTCCCCTTCAAACCAGGTTGTAATGCCGTCAGTTGAGCCGATGTAGAGCAGATCGTCCACATAGACAATTAGCAGGATGTAGTCGGTATCCTTCGTGAGCCGGTACATGCCCTGGTCGTGCGGCAATTGCTTGAAGCCGATGCGAATGAGGCGAGCGTGTGGGTATTGTTGCCATAGTCGCGGAGCTTGCTTGATGCCATAGAGCGACTTGAGTAGTAGACAGACGTGGTTCGAGTCCGTGCTGGAGCCGTGTGGTAGTTCGACGAAGATCTCTGCGTCAACAGGTGCGTCGAGGAATGCGTTAGCGACGTCGATTTGCCGCAGCTTCTTCTTCTTCATGGCGGCGATCGCGAGAAGGATGCGTAGCGAGGTGTGTCGGCTGACCGGAGTGAATGTTTCGGTGAAATCGCGTCTGTGCTCTTAGTCGAAGCCGCGTACGACCCAGCGTGCCTTAAATTTGTCGATGGTACCGTCAGCCTTTGTCTTCACACGGAAGACCCACTTCCCGGTGAGCACTGTCTTGTTCCGTGCCACGCCGATAGGAACCGATTTCCACGTGTTGCGTTCCTCCAGTGCCTTCACTTCCTTGTCCATGGCTTCGCGCCATTTTTCCTTATGTTCCCCCCCCAGAGCCTGTTGAACCGTCGCAGGCTCTTTAGGAGTGGCGGTGCCGTGGACTGCGATAACGAGTCCGAGAATCTGCATTCCACTCTGTGAGTAGCGGGGAAGATTTACGTCCTCGGGATAAGCTGCTTCATCTCCCGCCTCTGGATCAGGTATGAAGTTCGGTCCTACTCGTTCTGCTTCGTTGGTGTTGACTGTCGCACGTGTTACGTTACCGTTGTCGGTGAAATGGTAGAAGGTTCGGCGTTGGCACTTTTGCGAGGGTTGTCTTCGTCCATAGGAACGTCGACGGAGCGGAACGGAAGAGGTCCGGCTTCTTCTGATGCGCTGTCCACATTCTGCTTGTCCCAGTCAGCTTCGTCCGCTGCTGAGGCGAAGGCTCGGTCACCACAAAAACCACCTGTGGGATCCGGGTCTTCGTGCAGGTTGGCAAGGTATGTCTGAAGCGTGAGTCGTTCGTAGAAAATTACATCACGTGCTGCTACTGTTTCCTTGGAGTGGACGTCGAAGATTTTTCACGCGTTGTAGTTCTTTTCGATTCCCAAGTGTAGTCCCCACTGTGCTCGTTGAGAAAATCGGCCCGCTCGTGCTGCTGGGGGTCGGTACTGTACCATGCATCCGAATACTCGTAACAGTTTTGTGCTGCCCTATTTCCCTGTCCATAGCAGATGCGGTGATGCGTTGTTCGGAAGCGATGATGAGGACAGCAAGAGTGCAGCATGACGGCGTGGTCCATTGTTGCAGGCCACTGGTGGTTGGGTAGCCGCATGCCACGTAACAGTTTGCGCATGGTGTTCTGCAAGGTCCTGTTCATTCTTTCTGCTACACCCTGCTGCTGATGGGCGTAGGGAAGGGAGATGAGTCGCTTGATTCCCTTTTCCGCCAGGTACTGCTTGAATCGCTGAGAGGTGTATTCTCCTCCTCCGTCTGAATGGAAGCTTTTCAGCTTCACGCCCGATTCTCTCTCTACTATTGGTAGCCAGGCAACGAAGGCTGCGAATGCCATGTCGCGGCTAGGGAGGTTTAGGTGCCAGACGTAACGAGTGGCGGCGTCGATGAAGGTGATTGTATAGTTGTATGTTACTTGTCCTGGTTCCCGATTGAACAGGATGTCGCTATACACCTTCTCGAGTGGTGCGTATGCGGGTGAGCTTGGGTTGTGATGAGACGCAAACAGCCGATGTGGTAAGTCACCTTCAGGGCAGGTGAGGCACGTTCCGCGTACTCGTTGAAGTTCTCGTCCGTCGGTTAGTAGAAGTGAGTCCTTTTCAAGTACTCCTGCTCTTATCGTATTGTTTAATACTGTGTTGCTTGGGTGTCCCATCCTTGCGTGCCAGGTGCTTTCGTCGGTGCGATGTCCGGGTGATCGTCGGTACATATCGGAGTTGGAGTAGAAGTTGGCGGTGAAGTTGGCGCTACGATGAAGTTCTCTTGGTGCTGGGTGTAGTTGTTGCGCTGGTGTCGGTGGTGTGTCATCGATGAGGAGCGGTGTCGTTGAAGGACCAGCAATTGGTGTTGACGTTCCTGCTGCTGCCGTTGATGGTTCTGGAACTGCCGATGCTGTCTCTGCTGCTGCCGATGTTGTCTCTGTTGCTGCCGATGTTGTCTCTGTTGCTGCCGATGTTGTCTCTGTTGCCCTTGTTCTTTCTGCTTCAGGGATGGTGTGTGAGTACCAGAAGCCTTTTGGACTGAAGTCTGGATCAAGGTCTGGAGGGTGTGTCCAGTCGGTGAAGTTAACGATGGCGTCGCTGTCGGTGGTGCCAAGGTCAGGAACGAAGTCAAGAACGAAGACGTTGTTCTTGAGGACCGCCTTGCCGATGTAGAGTCCTCCTCTCCTGTGATACAGCTTGAATTCTTGGGTGGTGCTGTCTGCTTCGAGGTGAATCCCCTTCGCCATTAGCTGACTGACGCTTAGTAAGTTGTAGCCGAGTCACTCCGCGATTAGTACTTTTGATATCTGCAGTACAACGTTTGTTTCCCTTGACTGAAGTTGAACTACACCTTGTCGTTGTGTTTGCAGGTTCTGATTGTTGGCGACTGTAATGACAACTTCGCATTGAAGTTGGTGTTCTCGTTGAACGAAGCGTCCCGAGGAGCACATGTGCTGTCCGCAGGAACTGTCCAAGAACCATGTGTCCCTTCCGGATGGTTCGCTTTGGGCGATGGCGGCGTATGTCGGGTTCGGCTGAAGTGACTCGCGGCGGGGTGTGGTTTCGTCGAGTTGCTCTTCCGGTGAGTAGTGTGGTGGTGACTCGGTGATGCATGATTCACTCAGCTTTGCCATGCAGTTGACGATGTTTCTTGCTCCTTGTGCAGGTTGTCCTATTGAGGTCGTTGAAGCTTGAATCTGAGTCGTGGGATTTGCTTGCGTTGAAGCAATTTGGCTGCTTGAAGGTCGAAGTTGCCGCTGTGGAGTTGTTGACAGTTGACGATTCAGGCAGTGCATGCGCGGGTGACCTGAAGTTTTGCAGATGTGGCAGAACGGAGGTACTAGCTTCGGTTGTTGCTGCCGGTTGTTGTTGTTGTTGTAGCGTTGCTGAGTGTGGAACGCGAATTCCGGTGCTGATGTTTTCTTTTTGTGTCGTTCTTCTTGCAGGTCCATGTCTTGCTGCTCGGCGTGGATTTCGGCGCAGAGCGCTGCTTCGGAGATTCTTCCGTGAGCTCGGAGAATGGCCTTTGTGGCGCGCCACTGAGGACCGAGGCCGCCGATGATGACTGTCACGAAGGCATCTTCAGAAATTGACCCTTCGCATCGAAGAAGCTTGTCGCGCAACCCGCGGCATCGACTGATATACGCCATTCCTTTCTCCCCTGGTTTCATTTCAACCGTTGTCAGTTGCGCCATTAACCGACTTTGACTTACGCTGTCTGTTGCTTGATACAGGCTCTTCAGGTGGTTGTAGGCGAGCTCTGCGGAGTTGCCGTAACCTCGGTTAGTCCTTATGTTCTGCTGTTGAGTCGGGGTGATGTTCCTCAGTAGGATCGTGTACGCCATCATTGACTGATAGGTGTACCGCTGCTTCTCGTATTGTGTGCCGTTTGTTGGGTATGGAAGAGACCCGTCGAAGAACCCGAGTATCTGCGCGCCTTCCATCATCAGCTCGAACTCAAACGACCAGGTGAAGAATTCCTTTCCATCAAAGGGTCTTGACGTCTGCATCTTCAGAATGTGTGCGAACTGCGACTGAACTTGTAATGCGTCCAGTGGTTTTTCTTGTCCAGGTGAGGGGTGAGGGTGTGGCATGAAGCTGATGGACCTGCGCTCGTACGGAGCAAAGATGGGCTGCTGTTGCTGATTTCCTCGTGCATATGATGAGCCGTCGAGACTCATGGGTGTTGCAGCGTTGTTGTTGCTGTTGTGTGACTGCGCTGGTGCCGATTGCTGGTGTTGCTCGTAGAAGGACATGAAGGAGAAGAACTTCTCCATCATGCTCTAGTCGAAGTCTGCAGGTTGATTTGCGGGAGTCTCGGTAGGTGTTGCTCTGGGTCTTGTTGCCGTGCCCTCCTCTGTCTGTAGGCCAAAGGCAGAAGGTGGAGTAGGAGTAGTGCCCTGGGAGCCGTTGGAGTTGCTCCTTTCCTTTTGTGTAGCCATGGTGATTGATGTTGTCGGTATAGTAGTTGAATTCCCCTTGATTGTTCTCATACCATGTTGGGCTGAAAAGGCCCTTAGGATCTTTGTAGGGGTGAACTCTGAGTAGAGTTGGTTTAGTAGCGGAAGCGTTAATAAAGAGTTGTGAACCACCTTGCCCTAGTATGTGAGGGCAAAGTAAGTTGATTAAAACAAAGAGATACAAGATTATATAAGAGTACAAGGAATATGAAAGGATAGGGTTATAACTGTTTTACTTGTTGCTGTTGCGATTCGATACAGTGACGACTCGGGCAACTGCTCTGTAGCGAGTCAGTTGTGTGTCCTTGCTGTCGCGCTGTACTTGTCAGGTGAAAGGTCGCTGACCTTTGACTTTCGCGTAACCTCCAGCGGTTACTTCAACCTCCGAGGGTTGACTCGCTGGTGCCTCGATATGCTTTGCTTCGCTTATGCCTTAGTGTTTCGACACGACATATTCGCTTAGGACCGATTGTTTCCAACATGAACTAGTGTTGGCGAAACCTTGAGAACAAGAATTTCGGCAAAGTCAGTGTAGCGAGAAGGAGATGGGTTGACGAGAGGGAAAGGGTACTCGCCAAACGTGAAGTGATGGTGAACGATACTGTGCAGGGCGACTGGAAAGAGTGTCGCACGGGCTGGTTTTCAGCCAATCAGGTTCAAGTACACTAAGTCCTCGCTAACTTCACTAGGGCCAATTTCACCCCCCTGTGCAGTCATTTTACATTCAGCCCAATTTAAGGGTTGCTTCAAACAATTTGGCTTTAAGGAAACCAAAGACCTGGACTGCGCACGTGAGTCAGCGGAAAAACATAAGAAACATGGTCGCAGCGCAAGATTCAGTCTTTGCGTTGCAATCTCAACGTCAGAAGGGGCAAACATCGAAACGTCACAATGCCTCGGATAGCCTCTAGTTCGTGGTTGTCTTACCCCCTATAGCCAAATAAGGTCAGTTTGAATTTAAGGAAGAACTGACGGGGCGTGAAATTGGCGAGGACTGTGTGTACTGGAGAATACCCATGCACAATGCAACTACTAGCAAAATCGAAAATGGGAAGCAAAAACCACCTCAGAACGAGTAAGAAGAAAAAACGCCACGATCAACCAAGCTAGGTCTACGGTTTCAGGCGCCAATGGTCGTCTAGCAGCGCATCAACCCGCAAACTTCCTGCGCGCGCACTGGTCTGGTCGACGAGCAGCGCCCGTCTGACTTGAGCAGAGCGCGCTAGGCTTAGAGGACGACGAGCAGCGCGCGCCCCAGTCTGGTCGACGAGCAGCGCGCTTTTGGCTTGAAGAACGACGATCGGGTCCCCTCCCCTCGCCGCGCCTCCTGTCCCATCGTCACGCCTCCCCTAGTTTCTGGGAGCCTCCCCTCGTCGCGCCTCCGCTCGCCTCCCCGAGCCTCCGCTCGCCTCACCACGCCTCCGCTCGCCTCGCCGCGCCGCATCTCGGCTCACCTCCCCGCGCCTCCGCTCGCCTCGCCGCACCTCCCCTGCCATCAGCGCGCCAGCACCCTCGTCTCGGTGCCCCTCCTCGCGCCTCCAATCCCGCTGCCCTTCTCCCACCTGCCCATCCCTTGCCCTCGCTTCCCTGCCCTTCCATTCCCTCGTGTTACCTTCCCCTTTATTTTTCCCGTCTGCTTCCCCTCATTCCCCCCCCTCCTTCCCCTCATTACCCCTCCTTTTTCCCCTCACTTACCCCGCTGCCTCCCCTCGTTTCCCCCTCTACTCTCATCGTTTCCCCCCCTTGTTCTACTCATTCCCCCCCCTCCTTCCCCTAATTTCCCTCCCAGCTTCCCCTCATCTCTCCCCCTGCTCCCCCTCATATCCCCCCTTGCTTCCCCTCATATCCCCCCCTGCTTCCCCTCATATCCCCCCCTGCTTCCCCTCATATCCCCCCCTGCTTCCCCTCATATCCCCCCCTGCTTCCCCTCATATCCCCCTTCGCTTCCCCTCATTTCCCCCCCTGCTTCCCCTCATTTCCCCCCCGGCTTCCCCTCACCCCCCCCTCCCGGTTCCCCTCATTTCCCCCGCTGTGGCCCCTCATTTCCCTCCCTGCTACTCCTCTTTTCCCCCCCTGCTTCCCCTCATTCCCCCCCCTGCTTCCCCTCATTTCCCCCCCTGCTTTCCCTCTTTTCCCTCCCTACTTCCCCTCATTTCCCTCCGTGCTTCCCCTCATTTCCCCCCTGCTTCCACTAATATCCACTCCTCCTTCCCCTCGTTTCCCCCTCTTCTTCCCCTCGTTTCATCTTCCTATCTCTCGCTTTCCCTCTCTCCCTCTTCCCTATCCTCCATCTTCCTAATGTCCTTCGTTCCCTCTCACCCTCTTCCTATCTCCTCCTTTCCCTCACCCCCGCTCTTCCTATCCCCTTTCCCTCTCATCTCACATCGTCCTATCTCCCCCTTTCCCGTCCCCCCTGCTTCCCTCTTCCCTATCTCCCATATCTCCCCTGTTTGACTTTTCTCTTGTTCCCCCTCCCCATCCCTCGTATTCCCTCCCTCTCCCTGGCTATTGCAGTGACTACACTGAATTGTCTTCACTTAGGGTACATTCGTGCGGGGACACTTGTGTCTCAATCCCCGTTTTCCCGAGTCGCGCCTGTAAATTTGCCAAATGTTGTGTCACAAACAACCAATGTATCGCGACCCTGCGCGACAGATGGGCACAGCCAGGTGGGTGCGTACTATTGGTTGCGACCAATAGGATTGTGCCCACCCAGTTTTCCCGCCGAGCAGGGGGGCTAAACATATCGCACCACCTCGAGTATCGCGGTGGGCTTGCCACAGAAATGGAAGTTGCAATTTGGGCGAGTCGGGGCCGGTGTGAACCACCCCACACACAACAGCATGTATACAACCACGGCTCCAAGTACAAAAACGCAAGCATCACAGAGCTAAACTGCACCACTGTCTAGCAACCATGGCATCGCCCCGCGAGGTGCCATTCCTCATGCGACTACTTGTCGCATGGGTTACGTTCTACTACAGCATATTCATGGACGCCATCGCCAAGTCGGTCAGTAGCTTACTGGAGGCAAACGTCTTCAATGACGAGGTGTCCTCGTCATCCAGCTCTCGCGCCTCCAACCGTACCGCAGAGCGGAAAAGAAGGGCTGGGCTACGCCGGCGGAGATACCATTTGCTGCTAGAGGACCTGGAAGGCATGGGGGAGGATCAGTTCAGAGATATGTTTCGCATAAACCGTGGCATTCTTGAATACATTGTCGTCGAGATGACGCACTACAAGCAACCGTACGTGGACAGGTACCTAATCAGTCATGAAGTGGCATGCCTTGTCCCTATCAAATACCTCGCAAGTGGCATGTCTTTCGTAGACTTGTCCTCCGTGTTCGGGCTGTCCAAGACCCTGTGCCACATGCTTGTTGACGCGCTCCTCATGCATTTCCCGTCTGTCTTCAAGCAGCAGTGGGTCCACTTCCCGACCCGCGACGACCTCGACGAGATGGCCGCAGAGTTCCGCGCCATCAAGGGGTTACCTGCAGTAGTGGGGGCTATAGACGGCACACACATACCCATGAAGGGGATGGAGGGGCACAGGCAAGAGTACTACACGCGGAAGTCCTGTTACGCCGTCCAGTTGCAGATCACATGCGACGCGCGAGGCATCATATGGGACTATTTGATCGGATACCTGGGCAGTGCGCACGATCAGAGAGTGTTCATGAACAGCGCGTTACACGAAAGGTTGCACAACGGCGACATAGTGCCATACCAAATAGTGGGAGATGCTGCCTACCCACTCAGGGACTTCTGCCTGACCCCTTACATGCTCCCCGTGAAGGCCTAATGGAGGACTGGGAGCAGTGCTTTAACTATTGCCAAAGCGCAACGCGCATGGCAGTAGAGCGCTGCATCGGCGCCTTCAAAGGCCGGTGGCGTCTATTCGCGGGCCGCAATGACTGCAAGCTCTGGCGCAATCTTGCAGGGGCGTCTTGTGGCGTCATCCTGCACAACATGTGCGAAACGATGGGCGGAGTGAGGCGCGTCAATGCATCGTGGGCAAACTTGCCCCGAAACCGGGACCCATGGTGGACTCGTGTCGCGGTAGCAGAGTTCATGTGGGAGCCATGTGACCCATGCACGCAAGAGAATCTTCGTGAAAGGCGCAAGCGGCTGGGCGAGGCTCTAGAGTCGTCTTACCTTACTCGGCGGCGCCGCGAACCCACACCTCCTCACCCGCATCTGGGTTAGAGGGGTCTTCGCCCGCCTGCCCGCGACGAAGCGAGCCGTCGTCGCCGCCTTCGGCGGCGTGCGAGTCGGTCATGTTGTCCACATGGGCAGGGATGTCGTCGCGGACATGCGGGGAGGGTGCGGGCTGCTGCACGCGTTCGCGAGCAATACGCGCGTCCTGCTCCATCCACGCGCGGACGAGGCCTTCGAGCCTGCTCATGGCGTCTGAGTGGCAGCCTTTGATCGTCTCGCACACCAGCTTTGCAGCGGCCATCGTCGCCGTCTCTGCCACGCGTGGGCGCTTCGATGTAGGAGTTCCCGTGGCGGCGGAGCTGCACACACGGTGGATGCACACGAACAGTAGACGATGTGTTATGTACCCTAAACATTTTAATGATGCAATGTGTGCGTAAAATGTTGTCACAAGATGTGTCATTCAACAAACCTGCGAGTGCCACCGTTGATGCAACACATACATATTAGTGAATGTCGGCGTAGAGGTGCAGAGCGCCGAAGTGGACGGGACCGCGAACCCGCACGGCACGTTGACGTGTGCCGCACCGCCACCGTCGACGACGTAAGGGTTGCCCACCGCCTTGTTGTTCTGGAAAAGCGCCATGTACGGGTACCAGTGGGGCTTGCACACGGCACCCTTGCCGCTCGCCTTTTCCCCCTTCTTGATCTGCTTGTACATGTTGACAAGATTGCGCCACTGCTTCTGAAGCGCGTTCACACCGCGCACCCCTCCGGGATTCTCCTCGAGGTGACGCGCGAGGTGGGCCCAGTACTGAGAGCCCTGCTTCCCGAGGAGGGGTCCGAGCTCGTCCTCCATGAACCAACGCGCAGCCACGAAGATTGTGTTCTTGCGGGGGGACCACACGCTCCGCTTAACAGGATGCAAGTTACGGGTCTTGGCAGCGGCACGCGGAGGTTCCCCGCCCTTAGCAGCAGTCTTGGTTCCCGCAGCGGCAGACGCACGGCCGCAACGGGGAGCCGGGGACGCAGGCTGGGCCTCCTCGGGAGCGTCCTCGTCGTCATCAGCGTCCTCGTCAGCGTCAACTTCATCCTCGGAGGGGGACATGCCCTTGTCCTGCTCCTCGCCAGAGTCCGCGTCATCGTCGCATGCCTCGTCGCACTCGTTGTAATCAGAGTCCGCGGCGTCATCATCGTTATAGAAGGCAGCATCGTCGTTGACGCGGGATGAGGCAACCCAGTCGGCATGACGGCGTCCGCGGGTAGGGACATCGCGCGGGGCTTCGAACGAGGTGTCCCTCGCACCAGGCGCTCCTTCGGGCAAAGGGCCGGCGGGCTTGCGGCCGGCCGCGATTTGCTTGTTCATCCAAGCGATGTACGGGATCTCGTCGAGATCCCGCGGGCATAAGTCCACAGAACTAGCTACGCTCTTGCGCTTACGGGCCATGGCTATAGCGTGGAAGAAGACCCTGGCTAGACTTCGCAACAAGAAAGAGGAAGCTGGGGTTTGGAGAAGAAGAACGGATTGGAGCGGGAGTGCTGTCAGTGTGGTTGGAACGATGGGCAAACATTCGGGCACGGATGTGACCGTGCGTGTTGAAGGACCAGTCATATGTCAGCCCGGGCGGAGCGGTTTCCTTCTCCGCGCGGAAACGTGCCCAGTTCGGGCGTCCAGGTGCATGCTGTACAGTGTGAGATTTCGACACGCGTGCGATTTTCGGGATGTGACGGGGCTTCGTGTAACTCGTCCGCGACACAAGCGCAATTCACGCCAACCAATGTAAAATACAGTGGGACTCGCATTAGCGTGATCCGCTTTTGTGACAGGGCACGGTATATGCTGTTTTTAGATGTCACAAAGTGATTGAGACACAAGTGTCCCCGCAGGAATGTACCCTTACTGCAACTCGCCTCAGCCCATCATCCCATGCCATGCTCGTAGAGAAACCTGTTCCCGTCATGTTTTTTTTCAAGGCCTTGAATTGAAAAGGTACAATCAAAAGTATTAGGAACATGCCTCTATGTACCCTTCTGACACTTTTAGTGTCATTACATTTTGGAAGATCTTGCATTGCAGAAACAACAGTACATATTGTGCATTTGAGATGGATATCTCCAACAGTCGCGAAGTATCATGCTTGCATACAACACACAAGAAACAGGTGGTGGTACGGTGTAAAGCATTGACTAGCTGCGCCTCAGCTTGCTCCTCTGCTTCCCCACTAAAAATAAGGGGAGTGGCATAGGCAGAAAGAATATGTGGGTGGGAACATGGGTTAGGGGATGCAAGCAAGCGCACATGATGAAAGCATGTATGGGGTGACATTGATGGGTGCACATGCATGGGAACTAGAGGGCGGAAGGTGATGAGTGAGGGGGAAGGGGAGGGCATGAAAAGGAGGGGAAGGGTGAGAAGGGATGGGGAAGGGAAGGACAGGGCAGGGAAGGAAAGGCAGGGATGGGGAGGGCAGGTGGGGAACAGGGCAGAGGGTGGGGGAAGGAGGGCTGAGAAGCAGGGCGAAGGGTGGTGGGAAGCAGGGTGGAGGGAGGGGGAAAGCAGGACGGACGGAGGGGGGAAGCAGGACGGAGGGTTGGGGGAAGCAAGGAGGAGGTAGGGGGGAAGCAGGGCGGACGGAGGGGGGAAGCAGGGTGGAGGGAGGGGGGAAGCAGGACGGAGGGAGGGGGGAAGCAGGGCGAAGGGAGGGGGGAAGCAGGGCGGACGGAGGGGGGAAGCAGGGTGGAGGGAGGGGGGAAGCAGGGTGGAGGGAGGGGGGAAGCAGGACAGAGGGAGGGGGGAAGCAGGGCGAAGGGAGGGGGGAAGCAGGGTGGAGGGAGGGGGGAAGCAAGACAGAGGGAGGGGGGAAGCAGGGAGGAAGGAGGGGGGAAGCAGGGCGGACGGAGGGGGGAAGCAGGGTGGAGGGAGGGGGGAAGCAGGACGGAGGGAGGGGGGAAGAAGGGTGGAGGGAGGGGGGAAGCAGGACGGATGGAGGGGGGAAGCAGGGAGGAGGGAGGGGGGAAGCAAGGCGGGCGGAGAGGGGAAGCAGGGTGGAGGGAGGGGGGAAGCAGGACGGAGGGAGGGGGGAAGCAGGGCGGAGGGAGGGGGGAAGCAGGACGGAGGGTTGGGGGAAGCAGGGAGGAGGTAGGGGGGAAAGCAGGGGAGGGGACGAGGGGAAGCAGGGAAGGGGATGAGGGGAAGCAGGGAAGGGGATGGGGGGAAGTAGGGAAGGGGATGGGGGGAAGCAGGGAAGGGGATGGGGGGAAGCAGGGCAGGGGATACGGGGTAAGAGGGGATAGGATGGGGGGAAGCACGGCAGGGGATACAGGAAACAGGGAAGAGGATGGGGGGAACGGGGGCAAATGCCGGGGAGAGAGCTGGGGGGAGGATGGTGGGTAGCAGAGAGGGAATCAAAACGCTGTTCGATTGTGGTGGTGGAAGCGACCACCTCTGTTTCTCCCCATCTGTTCCTCCCCATCTGTCCCACCCCTTCGGAAGGAATGAGGGAGGAAGGATGGGCTGGAGATGGTGAGATGGGGAGAGGGGAAGAGCGGATGGAAACGCGGATGACGAGGGGAAGCGCGAGTGAGTGGGAGGCAAGCCCGACGACGGGACGCGCGGGCGACGAGGGGAGGCGAGGGCGGCGAGGGTCGGCACGGGTGATGAGGGGAAGCGCGAGCGACGAGAGGGAATGTCGGTGACCTAGGGAGGTGAGGGCGGCGAGGATCGGTATGGGTCGACGAGGGTGATGAGGGGAGCGCGGGTGACGATCTGAAGCGCGGTATGTTTACTACTAGCAATTGCGACGAGGGGATGTGTGGTTAACGAGGGAGAGCGTGGGCAACTACGGGAACATATGCGACCAGAGGGTCGGGGAGGGTAATGAGGGAAAGCGCGGGCGACGAGGAAAGCGGTCTGACGTGGGCAAGAGCGGCCGACGAGGAGGAACATGTGCGACTAACGGCTGAGTGCGTTACGCGAACCAGTACGGCATTCGCGTGAGCGACCCGTGCCTAAAACGGTACGATCGTGACACGAGGCTGAATGGCAGCAAGTGTGACAAGATCCTGCGTGTGCGACGCGAGCTTGAATGCAAGACTCGAGTAACGCGAATCTCGTTTACTAACGTAAGTGCCGTGGGTGTACGGGTTGTAACACGAGACCGGTTCCGCACAAAAAAAAACACCTATCAACGACTCGTTTTTGCCAACTAGCGCTAGCTTTTGCCTTGGAGCCTCCTAGCCTATGGTAAGTTCAAATGGTAAGCAAGTTATGTGAGTGGTGAATAGTACAATTGGTTGGCGATCATCGCGTCAGTTCTGGTTTTGGGCACTCGAGTTCCGTTGTAGTAGGACGATTGCCTGGGGTCGCGAGAATTTTCTGAAAACAAGTAGGGTTACACTGCTACTGGCGACTTCAAGTTCAAGAATCTTGAACTTAATATAGCCATGCTGTACTCGGGCTTTAATAACCAAGTAGCGGCTTGTTTGGTTTATACAATGTGGTAAGTAAGATAATTTATCTACACATCATACAGTGACTACGAATCTGCTGATGTTAGAAGCAAACAGTGAGACTATCCAGTACATCATAACATGAAATCTAACAGCTGAATACAGTACAACTTTCACTCCACATAGATAGAAAGCGTGATCTTCCCTCTCTCTACACTCGTAGCAACTCGTTCTTGGCAATGCGCATAGCAAACGGCTCTCCGTCGGGCCCGATATCAGCCAGAGCCGTATCACCCTCCTCAAACGCTCCCCCCACCACTGACACGCTGCCGCCCGCCACCAGCCCTCCGCCGCTATTGGCCGACAGCACCGCCTCGCTGATCGGGTCCTCCACCAATCGCGTGACGGCGCGGCGCAGTGGTCGTGCGCCGTAGGATCGGTCGTAGCCCTCGTCACAGATGCGCTGGATGAGCGCCTCTGAGACCTCCAGTCGGATGTTCTTCTCTGAGAGGCGGATAGACGTTTCCTTTATCATCATGTCCACGATTGCCCGCACCTGGAGTGAGGGGTGAGGAATGGGGGACGAGGGAAGTGAGGAGATGTGAGAGAGGAGATTGCGGCCTTACATGCATCATCATCCACTGGGGAGGAGAGGGGGGTGTGGGGGAAGAGAAAGCAGGGGGCGTGCGCCTCAAAAGGCAGATCTATGCGCATTCAGTGTGAGGGTAGGTAGGGAGTGGCAGGCGCAGCAGGTGTGCCGCGCCCCGTAGGAGACTGTGTGTGGATGATGTTGAATTCCTCCAGGCGGATGTTTTGACTGCGGATGTTGCAGACCCAAAGGGGGCAAAAGGGAATGAAGGAAATGAGCGCATGGGAGAGAGGGAAGGTGTGCAGCTCTATGCGCACTTGGTCATGGGGAGGGTAGCATAGGTACCATACGTGGGTGAAAGGGGAAGGGGAGTCTAGAGGAGGAGGGGGGGGTGAGGGGGGCAGGGAGGTCGAGGGGGTGGGGTGAAAGCAATGGGGCATTGCACCTCCCCTGAATTTGGATGCACCCATTGCAACCCCCTCCCCCCCCCCCCCTCCCCATTTTCCGCCCTCCCCTCTCACCCGGTCCTCCTCGAGCGACCGGAACACCCCGGACTTGGTCAATCCGGTCTCGTCTGCCCCTGGCAGCAGAAACCCCACCCTGTTCCCTCCAAATAAGCCTTTCTCCCCTCCCCTCCACCCGTTCCCCTACCCTCCCTCTCCTCTCACCTGGTCCTTCTCCAACGATCGGAACACAACGACTTCGTCGATGCGGTTGAGCAGCTCGGGGCGGAAGTGGCTCTTCAGCTCATCCATCACCAACGACTTCAGCCCCGCGTACCGCCCGCCGTCTGCCTCGTCCGCCCCTGGCAGCAGGAACCCCACTCTGTTGCCGCCGCCACGCGCGATCGCCTGTGACCCGACGTTGCTGGTCATGATGATGAGCGTGTTCTTGAACGACACGTGCCGGCCCTGGGAGTCCGTCAGCCTGCCGTCTTCAAAGATCTGGAACAGGAGATTAGAGATACCGGGGTGCGACAGGAGTAGACAAGAGAGACTTAGCATAATCATAAGGCCCCAATTTCCAATCAACTAGTAAGCTGGTGCTTATAAAGGCAAACGCAACAACAAGAAACCTGAAAGCCTAGCAAGACGAGACAAACCTGCAGCAGCAGATTGAAGACGTCGGGGTGCGCCTTCTCAATCTCGTCCAGCAGCAGCAGCGAGAACGGGCGGCGTCGCACAGCCTCGGTGAGCTTGCCGCCCTCCCCGAACCCCACATAGCCTGGAGGCGCGCCGATGAGCTTGCTGACTGCATGGCGCTCCATGTACTCACTCATGTCTAGGCGGATCATGGCTTCCTCCTGGATAAAAATGGGAGGTGATGGTGGAAGGAGAGACAGTGGCAAAAGAGGAATTGAGCCCATGTGTCCACCTAGCCTGCTGACAGCATGGCGCTCCAGGTAGTATCGTTGTCTAGCCGGGAACATTCCTTCCTCCTGTAAAGAAACGGGAGGAGGTCGTGGATGATGGTGGAAGGAGGGATGATGTCGCAACAGCATGGTGTTTCATGCACTCGCTCATCCTCCTGAGAAAGGGGTAACGGTGGGTGCAGGAGCTGACAGCCTCGTCCTGCCCCACCCACCCCCCATTCCCTGCCCTCTCCTGTCCCTCCCTGCGGCTGACTCACCGAGCCAAAGTAGTGCTGCGCGAGCGCCTTGCTGAGCTCCGTCTTGCCAACTCCCGTCGGCCCGCAGAACAGCATGGCCGCCGTGGGCCGCTTGGGGTCCTTGAGCCCCACTCTGGCTCGCCTCACGGCCCGGGCGATGGCGCTGACGGCCTCGTGCTGCCCCACCACCCGCGAGTGCAGCGCGGGCTCGAGAGCAGTGAGGTGGCGCTGCTCGTCTGCTGTCAGCTGCTGCAGGGGGATGCCCGTCCACTGGGACGCCACCGCTGCTATGTCCTCTGGCCCTATGGATAGTCTGGGGTGGGGGAGGAACGGGGATGGAGGGAGGGCAGGGGACAGAAGAGAGGGGGCGTTAGGGTCGGGGAAAAAAGCACCAGGTCAGTGAAGCGCCTTTGGTGGAGCCCACTCAGGAGGCGCTGCTCGTCTGCTGTGAGCTGCTGCAGGGGGGCGCCCGTCCAGCGCTGAAATGCCTCTGCTGCTATGTCCTCTGGCCCAACGGACAGACTGGAGTGGGGGAGGAGGGCGGGAGAGGAGGGCGGGAGAGGGACGGGGGACGGAAGGGGCGAGAGGGATGGTGGTGACGAGATTGAAGGCGTAGACGCGTGGAAGCATTGGTGTGAACGCAGCCGGCGTGCAGATTTCGAGTCATGCATTGCAAGATTCAGTGTGCACTCTCAGCTGCCCACCTTGACAGTACTTCCTTGTGTTTCAAGAGGCAGGCTTGCGTGGCATCAAACCTATCTACACTTGGCCCAAGGCACCTTGTGTAAGAAGTAAAGGGAGGGGAAACACAGCAGCGTACCTATCGCCATCGCCAGCAGGGGACCAGGAAGGGGCGGCAGCAGGCGCAGCAGAGGGCTTAGGATCGTCTGATAGGAACGCTGATGGGCCGCCTGCTGACCCCAGTGGCGACTGCACCTCCTCCACCTGCCGAGAAGAGAACAAGGCCCACCGGGAGAGAGTGACAGACAAGATCGATACGTTGAAGGCCTGGATTCCGCTCTTTGCTCTACATCCGCTCTGCTCGTCGCAGCGCATCCCCCCCTTGCTGCCCCCATGGGAAGCCGCACCTCCTCCACAGTTCCTGGGCCAGACAGAAGGCGTTTGTTGAGAAATCTAAAAAAACGCTCACAGTTGCTGGGCCAACCCCTTGGTCGCTACCTACCCTTCACAAGGCTCACTCACGCCCACCAGTGCACCTCCCTTCCCCAGGGTGGCTTGTTAGGCTCACACCAAGAGGTGGCACCAGAGTTGACTCAAAGAATCGCACTCGCCTGTACCATCCCGTATCGCACCCCAGCGTTCCGCCATTCCTCAAACGCCACTCCATTCTGCGAAGGATAGCACACACACATACTTTTGAGTCGACTCGAAAGTCACCTAAACACCACCCCATTCTGCCAAGGATAGTACACACACCAAGCCCACCCTGTCCCCCACCCACCTGACTTCCTTGCACGCATGTTTCCTGCCTTACCTGCTCTGATCGCCCGGCTCGATTCCTCCGCCCCCCTCCCCATACGGCACCCTCGCATCTCCAGTTCAACCCCTCTCCCAGTTCCTTTGATACTCCCACTCACATCACCTCACTGCATTTTGCCCCATCCCTTCTCACCGCATTGATCGCCGCCTGAGCCGCTCTGATCGCCCGCCAGTACTCCTCCGGTCCGCGGTGCAGCACGCTCGTCTCGCGCTGCCGGTTCCGCCTGAATCCGTCAATCACGGCGCGGCTCGCGGCCTCGTCCACCAGGTCGATCGCCTTGTCCGGCAGGAAGCGGTCCGGGATGTAGCGCGCCGACAGCTGGACGGCCGCGATGAGCGCGTCGTCGCTGACGTGGCACTTGTGGTGGCGCTCGTAGAGGCGGCGCAGGCCGTGCAGGATGAGCAGCGCGTCGTCCTGCGACGGCTCTGCGACGTCCACCGGCTGGAAGCGCCGCGCGAGCGCCTTGTCCTTCTCCACGTGCTTGCGGTACTCGCCTATGGTGGTCGCGCCCATGCACTGATGCGCGGAGGGGGGGGGCGACGGCGGGAGAAAAGAGGGGAGGGTAAGGAAGGGGTGAAGGTGGGGAGTGGGGGATAGGGATGTCCAGGAGGACAGGACCACCAACAGGCTTACAGTGTGGTCAGATTATAATCAGACTTTCATACAGTCACACCCACCTGCAGCTGCCCCCACGCGAGGCTCGGCCTTGAGTGCGATATCCAGCCCACCACCTCCCCTCGCCCGTTCCCCTTGAAGCACACCTTCGTGCACCTTTCAGAAACACAAATTCATGCAGAGCAGTCATCCCCATAAACATGGGGGTAAGTAACGGTACCTGCAGCTGGCCACGCGCGAGAGCCGGCTTGAGCAGGTTCGCGATGTCCAGCCCGCCACCTCCCCCTCCCCCCGCGCCGCGGCCGCGCGACACGGCGCCGGACCCGACAACGGTGTGGATTTCGTCTATAAAGAGGATGACGTCGCCTGCGCTAGTGGCCTCCGAGACGAGCCCCGTGACGCGCGCCTCGAGCTCGCCGCGCTCCTTAGCGCCCGCGATCAGTCGCCCCATGTCCAGCGCCATCACTCTCTTACCCTGTTGGAAATAATAATAATAATAAAAAAAAACATTACATATAAATCTCGGATGGAAACGACAATAGACACATGAACAAACGAACAGTTTTCCCCCAAACCTGCAGGAACACCTGCAGGAGCACCGTACCTGCAGGAACACCGGGACGTCGTTCTCGGCGATGCGCAGCGCGAGGCCCTCGGCGATGGCGGTCTTGCCGACGCCCGGCTCGCCGAGCAGCAGCGGGTTGTTCTTGGTGCGGCGCGCGAGGATCTGCACGACGCGCGCCACCTCGTGGTCGCGCCCGATCACCGGATCGATGTCGCCCGTCATTGCCATAACGGTCAGATCCATGCAGAAATCCTCGAGCGCGCTCTTCTCTGCTAATGGGGCGAGGGGGAGATGGAGGTGGGAGAGAGAGGGGTGGGGGGGGGGGGGAGGTGAGTGGAACGGGAAGCAGGGGTGAACAGGAGCGCGCCAGCTCGTGGTCCCCCGTCATCGCCATAACGGTCAGATCCATGCAGAAATCCTCGGGCGCGCTCTTGTCTGCGAGGGAGGGCAGGGGGAAGGAGGGGGAAAGGGGTGAATACGGAGGAGGGGTGCCTCGGGATCTGCACCGCGCGCGCCACCTCGTGGTTGCGCCCGATCACCGGATCGATATCGCCCGCCATTGCCATCACCATTAGGTCCACGCAAAAATCCTCCAGCGCGCTCTTGTCTGCGAGAGGAGCGAGGGGCGAGCAACGGGAGAGCAAGGGAATGAGTGAACACGGAGGGGAGAGGACGGTTGTCAGGACCCGTCCCGAGTCGCGGCCATGACTGATAATCCATGCAGAAATCCTGAAAGGGCGATCTTTTCTGGCTCCTGCCGAAACGATCTGGTGTACTGAACACCCACGCTCGGAATCTGCTGAGCCTCCGAACCTCCATCCTCCTTCTGCTTTTAAAGGATTTTCAATGACAGGTAGCCTTTAACCGAACGCGTATTCCCCGTTTCAAACATCCCCGCTTTGCGCTTCCTCGCTTCTAGCTTCCCCGCTTACCCTTCTTGGAGCCCTTCTTGCTGTAGCTGGAGGACGACGAGAGCGCGGCGGCCCTGGCGGGGTCGGGGGAAGATTTGGCGGAGGCGGCGGAGGGCTTGGCGGAGAGCGAGATGGAGTCGGTGGAGCGCCCCTCCGTCGCCAGCTCGCCCTTCAGCCGCGCCACCGCCTCCGCACGCACGCGCTCCTTGGTCACGCCCAGCCTGCGCGGAACCGACGGGGGGAAAACGGAGATTAGCTCGCGCACAACGCTCGTTACGTACGTCCAGACTGCCGCGACTAACTGACCGTAACTCACTTAGTTCAGAAAGGAAAGAGCTCCAAAACGCAAGGCGTTAAGCTACAACACTTCTTGGTTCAACTTCGCCGTTCGCATCTCCCATTCACGGTTGAAACCACACGGCTGAGCGTCTGAAACAATCCCAGACTCACATCCGCGTTACAAGCGCACCTTTCGAGAAGTTTCCCGGCGGCGTCGAACTCGACGCTCAGCACCGCCATCACCAGATGCTCCGGCGCGATGAAATTGTGCCGAAGCTTCCGAGACTCTTCCAGAGCCGCCTCGAACACCCGCTTGCTCCCCGCCGAGAACGGCACCTCCGACGCGGGCTTTTCCGACCCCTCGGATGGCGAAAGCGTGCCGTCGCGAATCATTTCGCGAACGGCTTCGCGAGCGCCGTCGATGGTTACACCGGTGTTGAGGTAACCCTTCGCGCTGGCGGTGCCGCTGCTGGCGCGGTCTTCCATGATAAGACCCAGGAGGAGATGCTCTGTCGCCACCTCCTTTCGCCCGAGCGCCTTCGCCTCGCGCTGACCCAGCATCACGGATTTAATCGCGCGCTCCGTGAACCGGTCGAAGACGGCGGATACCGTCGCGCGATGAGCGGAGGATGACGAGGCGGGAGCGAGCTGACGGGTGACGTTGGTAGTGAACGCGTCGGCGTGAGATACGGTGGAGGTTGACGGGAAAGTTGACGTTTGACGGAATCCGTCGTATTCGGCGGCGAGGGAGTGGGTGGCACGCGTGGCCGTGGAGCGAGGTTGGCCGGATAGTTGGTTGGTGATTCGGGAGAGCTCCAGGCGGCACGGTGGTGCGGTGCTGCTCGCAACGGACAGTGCGAAGGCCGCCATAGTTAATGAATATTCACAAGAGGTAATACAACGCAATGAAAGCGGGTGTATCTACACGCAGGAACGGAAGTATGTACTAATATGTACAAAATACACGGGTGTGAACCGGCCGGGCAGGAAGCCCTGTCAGCCACCTAAGAATTGGACAACACTAGCCGATATGGATTCAGAGAAACGGAGATTGAATGCAGGAATGACCGCATTGAGTGGAATATGTATCCATGGAGGTCTGCTGAAGGTGGTTGTTGAACAACGGTGAATGACGGGGAAGAAACAAGGCGAGGCGAGGCAGGGGTCGGGGGAAAAGAAGAGCGGGTGGGGGATATGGGGGGAGGGGAACGCGGGAGCATGGGGAAGTGGTGCAGTTTTGGGGAGACTTGGGCTGGGCGTTTTGCGTGAGGGGGAAGGCAAGCAAACCGATACGCTCGGCTAGGTACGGAGAACGGGGGAAGCGGGGGATGGATGAATTTAGAAGGCCGCGCGGAGGAGACGCGGGGTAAAATGGTCTGGAAAGGGATGGAGAAAGGTTGATAGTATGGGTGTGGTGTGGTGAATTCTGAACAACAGAGAGAAGTGCACGCAACGGTTTGAGGGCCAGAAGAACTTGCAGCGGAAACACGCAGACCTGACTTTCTGGGGAATGGTGGAAAGTTTGGGGAAAGGCTTCGGGCGGGAATCGGTATCACTGGAAGAAGTAGAAGCGGTTCGACGTGTACGAGATTCTGATTGGCTGGAAACTTGGTGGAATGACGCGGAGACACGTATGATATGGTTCAGACACTGCACCAATGTTCCAGCCAAACAGCTTGACCTTCTTTGTGATACCAGACCGTGAAGTGCAGTGAAAGATTTCACGATGTGGTTATATTGTTTTTGATCAATATAATGTGGCGAAGAACTACCTTCTAAGACTTCCTGGATCCCTGGTATTCACAATGAGTTCATATTTTTTCCTGCCCAGAAAATACTTCGCTATGCCGCGTGGCAATGATTCTGGAATGAAAGAACAACCAATGAGTGCATACCCCGCCACAGACCAAATTACTTTAACCAACCACAAGCGCACTCATACAAGCTTCATGTTTTGATTGGTGAAATTTCACGTGTGAGAGATCCACGTGAGGAAGAGGCACGGTACTCACCAGGCACCACAGCACCTGGACCCGATACCGACTATTTCGCTCATTGCAAGATCATTCGACAAAAACGAATCATATAATTCACGAAAACACGGAAGTATTGATGTCGCATTGTGGGCGCGGTACACCTCTGCAGCAACTAGTATCGAGTTCCCAAATCGCGTATCCTCCATGGCTTCAGAATCCTAGGCTGATCGCGTCAAGAAGCTACTATCAGGTGGCCCTTGCTGCTGTCAGGTAGTCATGTCTTGCCTAGATCTTTTCAGGAAACTACTTCCTCTCCTCAACTTCCTCGCGTTACTTACTTCGTCCGCCTGAGTGTCATCCGCTTACAGCTTTTTTCTAGCAGACTATCCCAGTACTAGGATTTGTTTCCCAATCCATAATGGCGACGTTGTCCACGTGGCGCGTCGTCATTAGCCTGCCAAAGGCCTTCCCGCGTACGATTACCCACAAATCCTCCTGTCTCCGTGAGCAATGGCAGCTGCTACTATCGCAGCGGGCCGTCATCTCGTCAACGGCTCATTTTCCCGCCGCTCGGTCGCAATGTCACGCGCAACAGTCCGAATTTCAAGCTCCCGCCGCTCTCTGCTCCATGCACGCGTCTGGCTCGTCGCCCTACGATCCCTCGCAGCAGCAGCAGCCGTCGTTCCAACCGCGCGGCATTGCCTGGGGCACCAGCGTCGCGCGACTGACGGACCACGTCAGGTGCGATTTCAACTCAAACTGGTCTCTTTTGTGGCAGCACCTTATCCTCGCCATTTCTGAACTCCCCTGTCCTTCCCACCGCTCCCCACTCCTCCCCACCCTTCCCAGCGTCCATTTTTCTGATTCCCACGACTTCCCCGCGGTGTACGTGCCATTGTAGCAACACATTGCACATCCGTCCTTTCCATGACCCAGCTTCTGAGTCGACTCAAAAGCTTCCCCCCGTGGTGTACGTGCCATTGTAGCAACACATTGCACATCCGTCCTTTCCATGACCCAGCTTCTGAGTCGACTCAAAAGCTTCCCCCCGTGGTGTGCGTGCCATTGTAGCAACACATTGCACATCCGTCCTTTCCATGACTCACCCACCACACCTCTCTCCGCGCCCCTCCCCCATTAACACCAACCCTCTCTTCCGTTGCAGTCACAGCCAGTGTCTGGTCGCCTGTAACGCGTCCCCCAGCAGCGACTTTTGAGCCGCCTCAAGAAACACACCTCTCCCCCCCATCAACACCACCCCCCTCTTCCGTTACAGTCACAGCCAGTGTCTGTTGGCCTGTAACGAGATGACTTTTGAGTCGACTCAAAAGTCTCTGGTCGCCTGTAACGAGATGACTTTTGAGTCGACTCAAAAGTCTCTGGTCGCCTGTAACGCGTTCCCCCCCCTCTTCCGTTGCAGTCACAGCGAGTGTCTGGTGGCCTGTAACGCGTCCCCCAGCAGCGAGTACTCCACCAGCAGCGGCTCCGACTCGGAGGATGACGTCAGCAGGGGCGGCAAGGCGCGGCTGCCAGCGCGGATGGCGGTGAAGGCGGAGTTTCTGCAGGCGAGGGAGGCGGAGGCTGCTGTGGAGGAGGATGGGCCCATCCCGCGCATCACTGAAGGTGAGCTTGTGCAGTGTGGTGCGGTGTGGTCTGGTCTGGTCTGATCTGGTCTGGTCTCTGGGGATGAAGGCAGTGAGAGTGCACAGTGCGGTCACTCAGGAGGTCCTGAGGCGAGGATGGATAGTGGTGAAGGCGGAGTTTGTGCTGGCGAGGGACTCAGAGGCTGCCGTGGCGGACAACGGGCCGGGCCTATCCTGCGTCGCTTTTGAGAATTCTCAAAAGCGAGTTTCTGCAGGCGAGGGAGTCAGAGGCTGCTGTGGCGGACAACGGGCCGGGCCTATCCTGCGGATCACTGTAAGGTTAGACTTTGAAGGTGGGTTAGTATGGTCAGTAAGATGATACGGAGGGTGAGGTTCAGTTCATGGGATGGGAAGGTGGTGATGGAGTAACGCGGGTGTTTGCAGGCGATGGAGGCGGAGGCGACTGTGAAATTGAGGCTCAGAAGTTGAGGCTTGGCGGGTGAGGCTCGGAGGGTGAGGCTCGGAGGGTGAGGCTCGGAGGGTGAGGCTTGGAGGGTGAGGTTAGGAGCTTGAAAAGTGAGGTGTATTCTTCCCAGTCCACCCTTCCCACCCCACCCTTCCCACTCCTCCCACTCCCCCCACCGCCCCCACCCAGACAAGGTAACGCTCAGCTTCGCACGCAGCGGAGGGCCCGGAGGGCAGAACGTCAATAAGTGTGAGTCTTCATCTCGTATCGAGTACACCAAACCCGTGCTTTCTCCGTGAACCATGCTCCAGGCGCTGTTCCATCCTTGCAAGCCCCCTTATGCCAAGCCATGCACCCCCTCTGTGCGGCATATTTTCTCTGAATATACCCGACCACTTCCCATCGCCACGAGCACCCTACGCTTTCTCCCACTCTCCCTCGCCCTCCTGGTCCTTACCACATGCTTGATCCGTCAACCTCCTTACTCTACCCTCACTCTCTCCCATCGCTTTCCTCGCTCTATCTCCTCACTTCCCCCTCACTTCCTCTTCCGTCTACCCTCTCCCGCTTACCCCTCTCATGGCAGTGAACACAAAGGTGGACATGCGATTCAATGTGCTCGATGCTGATTGGCTGCCTGAGCGGATAAGATGGAAGATTCTGGAGCAGGTAAGTGCTGCTCGTGACTGGTTCCTGTAGCACTCTAAATCCAATGCCACGTGACCATTATTTTGGTTTGAGATCATGATTCCATGCGCTATCATCCCATGCCATGTGCGAACAACCCATGCCATGCCAGGTCATAACATGCTATGTGCCATCATCCCATCCAGCCATCAGCATTCCCTTCACTTCTTTTCCATCTAGTGCTTCATTTTCAGCAGCTCTTTTCACTCCCGCTCCAATCGATCAACATGCATGTGCTTCTGCAATGGCAGGAGAAGAATCGGGTCAACAGCGATGGGGAGATTGTGGTGTCGTCCACACGCACACGAACACAGAAGTATGTCGCCTGCCCATTGGTGTGTCCGTTTGAATTTGTGCATTGCTCATACGCGCATCGGTGCGACTTTTGAGAATTCTCAAATGTGCATTGCTCGGACGTGCATCTTTCCCACTGCTCACTCTGTCTGCGTCCTCTTCTTCTCCGCCCCATTCTTCTCGATCCTTCCGGTTTTCTGCTCCAACCAGGGGCAACATTGAAGATGCGCTTGCAAAGCTTCAGGTATGAAGAGCAGGTGCTCAGGTGAAGAAACAGTAGTTTCAGGTGATTCAAGACAGCTACCTATCAGGTCAGGCAGCTTCTTTGCTCGTTTCCCTCACCTTTTCTCTGTTCATCCTACTACTGTGCTCTCTCATTAAATCCGTTCATTTCAACTCACGTTTTCAGCAGTTCACGTCACCATCACCAAGTTTGCTGCTGCCGTTGCCATACTCTGTCCATATGTGGCAGAAAATCATCGATGCAGCGGCCTACGTCCCTCCACCACCATCCGAGGAGAAAAAGGCTCGCATAAAGAAGCTGTGAGTGTCCAATATGGCATGTGCTTCAAGCATGATTGTGCTTAAACAAAAACGGGTCATTATTGTGTGAATTCACATACTCTGTTGACCTGGGCTTCTGCCTGCTGTGTGCCTGGGTCCATCTCTCTCCCTCCGGCTGGGTGCCTGCAGAGCCAAGGCAGAGAATGAGAGGCGGCTGCAGGACAAGAAGCTCAAGTCAAATAAGAAGTCAGACAGACGCAACAAAGGCAGCTGGGATTGAGGGCGGAGGACAGGATACAGCTGAATTCTGATATGCAGCGACATGGAGAAGGTTCACTTTTTAGTCAGTGTGTGTTTGACATCCATGCTTGGATGGTTCTTAGCTCCTTTGTTCAAGTAGGTCTGGCATGTAGGAAACCATTTTTTTGGTCAAAATTTTAATATGTACAACAGCTAGATAAGTGACATCAAATCAAAACCGAAGGCCAGTCAGTAGCATGCATGCACGCATATACCCCTCAGCCTCACTAATGATCCTCAATAATGATACTTTAGTCTTGAGAGGCAGAAACGCCAACCATGCCCTTTCATCTGGTAGGGTAACCGACGAGGCAGAAGCACTCCGCACCTGTGACAGCCCCACAGCTCATGGGTCATGCATCCATAAGCAGCTTCGCAGCTTGAGCTGACTAGCTTCCATTGGGACGGAATGAACGACCCTGGGAAAGAGTTCTCCTTTTCTTGGCTCATTGGGCAACGAAGCGTGCACAGGCTGCTTCAATCTGCTCCAGAATCCACTGAGGCACCTCTGCGTCACTCAAGCTGCCACTGCTGCTCATGCTGCTCAGGCTGCTGTGGCGGCTTCCGTTGGTACCCCACTCATCCTCGCTATCAGAATCTGACTCGCTAGCATATGAGGCGCTCTCGGAGAAGCTCTCAACTGAACCGCCCGCAGGAGCAGCGGTGAGGTCCCGGAACCGCCACGCGGCGCCCTGCCATAGGCTCACGCCGTGGACGACGCTTCTGATAAGTCGCACGAACGAGGAAACCGCGACTCGTTCCGACGCCAGCTGCAACCTCTTCGCTTCCTTCTCAACCTTCGCCGCCATCTGAACGAAAGCCGCCTCGAGAGTGTCCAGAAGCAATGAACCGGTTTCGGCGTCGAATAGGAGCGATGCTGGTAGCGACGCGGATTCCTGCAGCCGGCGCCGGCGCTCCAGAAGCGAGTCGCCTTTCAGAGCGGAAAACGCGGAGCCGACGAAGAGGAGCGGGAGGACGAGTGACTCGAGCGTGCTGTCAGACACAAAAGGGAGGTTGCGAGACGCCGCGGCTAGAAACGCGGCGGGAGTTGCGGGGGAGGTGGCGGCGCGATACATGAGATAGTCATCAAGAGAAGGGCTATCGCCGGCTGCTGCCTGCCGCTCAACCGTCTGGTGAAGCGGCAAGCCGACGAGCGCGTACTGCTGCAGACTGCGTAGATACCTTTCCAGCCAGAACTTGCTGGAACCCGCGCCTTCCTTCCGAAGAGCAGATAGCGAGTCGCAGAAGGCCTTCTTCTTCAGAGGAAACTTCGCGTCTAGCCTCCTCGGAAACGCCAGCAAATCGCCGCCAACCGCCGCTTGCTGTTCGTCGCCAACCAGCCTCTCCTGAGCGCCAAACACGGACGCTAAGGCGCTAAACTCGTCTGGAGAGCCGTGGCGCTTCATCCAGTCGTCCCAGAGCAGCAGCGAGTGCAGCTGGCGGGAGATTAAGTTGCACGCCGCGCCGGACGGCGGCTGTACTGCGAGCATGGCGAGGAGCGACGGAGCCCAACCTGCGTCCGCGCAGCGGAGGGTCTGTAGCTTTGCTACGTCAGAAGAATCAGCTGCAGCTACTGCGCCGTGAGACCAGAAGCTGTGGTCGAACGGAACTGGCAGCTCCCAGGATTGCCACGTGGCGATCGAATCGACCATTTGAGATTTCCACGTGGCGGAAAGGATTCGTGCGGACGGGACTCGGGAGATCCTGTCGGCGAGGTCGGGATTAGAGAGGACTCGTGTGGGAGAGGGAGGCCTGGAAAAAAGCGTTTTGCGCGTCGCCGAGAACACTGGGACGTCGGACTCGGAATCGAAACGAGAGGTGGTGGCAACGTCGACCTGACGCGCGAGAGCGGCCATCCTTCAATCGAAAAATAAACGAGTCACAGTCTAAGACTTAGAAGCCGAAGAAGCTGGCCCACGAGGAGCCGTACTGGGCCCTTGAAACCGCGAGTAAATCCTCTACTGGCGAGCTGGAAGCAAAAAATGGTCAGTTCTGATAAAGCAGTTGCACAAATCTGCCAAGATGATATACAGGGAAAGAACGATGTTCTTGGAACTGGAGCAGCGTCAGAGGCTGTGAATCAGTGGCTCAGTTCGAATCTGTCAAATTCGGAACGACGTTCGGCCAGCGCAGCAAGGAGAACAACCGCAGCCTAGAGATAAGGATGACCTGTCTAGCAGAAGCGGCAACTCCCAATGAGAATGGCTCTTGGCGCAAACTCGAGAATGAAAATGAAAATGAGCTCTCCAGGTCAGGGTTTTATGCTAGGAGAGCAACGGGCAGCCGTGAAGTGCAGTGTGGTGCAAAGGTTGCGCGTCAAGAAGTGAGCTAATTGGGCAGCTGAGAGGTTGACGGGGCACCCTTGGGAATGGTTTCGAGTGGATGAGTGTGTTTACCGCAGTGTTTGCTCTTTATAGGGATTGGTCCGGCGTGGTAGGTTCAGGAGAGCTGGTCGCGGGAAACGGATGCGATTCATCTGGCTGTGGTTTGCTGGAGACATGCGGTTGTGCAAAGTGCGCTGCTCGTGTGATGAAATGGCGAAGTTCTTTTAACAGAGCTAGTGCGCTCCGATTGGTGGGTTACCAGAAGCGCTGTCCATGCGACGACGGCGAACGGGTTGATTGGTGCCACCTCCTACGTTTTTGCACTGTAACGAAACTGAAACAATAGATATTTTTGCGTGTCGCCAATCACCACGAGCAAAGCTTCGTCGTGTCTCGCACGTCTCCGGATACCCTACAGCCCTGTCAGTGTTGTTTGATTCAGTGAATTTGGAGGCTGAAGCACTGTGACTCGATTCACTGCATCAAGAGAAGGACTCGATCGACATGCACAGCACCTGGACACTAACAGTGAATTCTGAGCCTGTGTTTTCCAGCATGTGTACATTCGAAGTTCGCAATATGTACAATAATAATAATAGCGCAAAATCCTAAAAAACATCAAAGAAAAGCATATTCCTCCTTGTGCTGATGTGGTCTACCTTTTACACATACTTTCATGCTAAGCGCTAAATCACCAGCATGTTTCATAAACAAGTATGCACAACGCAAGGAGACACTAAGACGAACAAGGTTCTAGATTCTGCCTTGCGTATGCACAAACGTGCTGCTTCTAAATGACACACCATTCAGCTCCTCCACCACTCCTTTCAGCTCCACCATGTCTGCTGCCTTGAACCTAGCACTAGCCTGCAGCCAGTCAGCAACCTGTTTCCGCTCCCCAACCATTTGCACATCACCGTCTCGCATTCCATTTTTGTGCAGTGTCCCCTCGGACAGCTGCTTCCACCATGCGGACCATCCAGCTGTGCCCTGAGTCAAGACTCTTGAGGACTCTGAGGAGCCATTGGCCACAGCTTCTCCAGTAGTGGCGGTATTATTAGTCTTCTCAGCATCCCTGGCTTCAGCACTGTCACCTTGTGTGGAATATTTGAGACTGGAATCTATTGGAGGAGGAGGTTCGGCATCATCAGTCGATGAATTTGTGGTCATTTGACATACGAAGAAAGGACTGTCATGCAGGGCTTGTGCGAGGAACAACGAGGTGCGTCCAGAGCCAAGCACCTGGGGGCAAATGTGGCGGCAAAATGTAAAAAAAAAAAACAAAAAAAAAGAATTGGAAAACGTTGGCATGGAAGTGAGGGTAGTGGCTGCAATAAGGAAAATAATGTTAGCACTCACCACAAGGACTTGTGATGGCTTCAGATTCCACTTCTTGCATGTCTCAACGAAGTCATCCACCCTGCAACCAAAATTGCATTCAGAGCGAAGGCACATGTGAGACATTGCCCACCCCAGTGTTGAAAGAAGAAAGAAGTTTGAGCTTAAATTTCACAAAAATCTACAGCATTACAATACCTCTTTCTGGCAGCTTCCAGTGAGTCGATGCCTGGCACTGCTGCTGGGGGCGACCTTAGTGCCTCGTTTGGTAATGTGCCTCCTGGTTCTGCTGACACTCCATATGAAGACGCAGCTGTTAGTGACGGCCCTGGTGCTGATGTGGCTGACGCTGTTTGCGATGCATCTGAGGGTGAACAGGACTCAGATGGAGGGGTTGATGAGGTAGGCGTATAAGAGGAGGCAGCAGAGGCCGAAGGAGCAGCAGGAGCAGCGCCGGCAGTGACGTTGATGTGAGAGTCAAAGGAGAAGTTGCCGAGCTGGTCGTTGAGAAGCAGCACGTCAAGGCGTGGGTGGGTGGTTACCAGCGCCTGCTTCAGAGTGCGCGACTGCAGCCGTGAAGGAACACAGATGCAGGAAACAAAAAAAACGCATGCACATTGAGAGATTATCACTCTGGAAATGACACGAAATAGCCATCATTTTGGGGATACGAGAGCTGTCAGATTCAGAGATATGGCCGCATCAACATCATCCCGTGCTTAAGTCTCAGTGCACCTCCTGCAGCATCTACCTTATGTGATGAGCCCCTCCCCACCAACATCCCTCTAAAACCTCACCTGGAAATGTCGGAGCAGTCTTGCAGACCCAGGAGCCACCACCCATCCCCTTCCCCTTTCAACCCCGCCAATCCCAGGCAACGCCCCTTCTCCCGTTCCCCCCAGAAGCCCCCCATCTCCACCTCCCTTCTCCGCTCTCAACCTCGCCACACGAGCGGCAGCAGCAGCAGTGCTGGCAGCAGCGGCAGCAGAGGCGACAGCAGCAGCCGCCCGGCCGAACCCTCCTCCCTGCTGCTCCCTGCGGGCCTCAGCAAGCATTTTCTTCTCCTGCAGTCGTGCAGCATACTTGGCACGCACACCCCCCCCTGTTCCCCCCGCCAACAGCTCCTCCAGCCGCTGATCTCCGCTGCTGCCTCCCTTGCCGCCCGTTCTGGGGCTCGCACCTCCTCTGAACTGCAGAGGAGCAACGCCCAGAGGAGCGGGAGTTGCTGGCTGGGGGTTCCTTGGGCTGCTGCTGCTGCTGCTGCTGTTGCTGATGCTGGCGCTGATGCTGCTGATGCTGTCTCGGGTGCCGTTGCTGCTGCTGCTGCTGTCACTGGTGCTGTGCTTGAGGCTGGTTCGCGCAGATGTGGGAAGCCCCATGCTCTCCGCCATCTCCTCCAATGAAATTCCCTGCGTGACAGCTGAAGAGGATGGCATGCCTGCCGCTGCTGACCGACCAGCACCAGCACCTGCAGAACCGGCAATACCAGAAGCTTGATGAGCACCACTGCTAGTCGCAGTGGGACTGCTGTCATTCACCCCAGGAATGTGTCGTCGTCTCCTGGGGCTACTCAGGAGAAATTTCTCCCAGTCGCGTGCAGCCAACGCAGCTCGTTCGAGCTTCTCTTGCTCGAAGTCGGATAAGCCTTGCCTCGCATCTTCGCCTGAAGCAACATTTCCACCATTAGACGCGGCGTTTTCCACGCGCCTTTGCACACCTGCTGCACTGTCTCTCGGATTTCTACTCCCAAGGTCTTGATCGAACACCATTAAAGCGGACATGTCGTAAATGATCCCACGAATCAAGAAGCGGTTCATGCCAACTCCTCTCCCGTCCCACCTGCCTTGAAGGTGATCGGCAGAACCTTGACTGCCACCAACCGAACGAGCACCCGATGGCCTCTGTCCGTACAGCTCGTCCACATGCCAGCTGGCGCGTCGCCATTGGTTCCTGATTTCCTCGAACAGACTGGGGACGTGGCGTCGGCGACGGGAACGCCGACGAGCATCGGAGCTGGAGCTGGATGAATTCGCGGGAGGTTCCGGCAGAATAAAGTCTGCCAACAGATTGACGAATGTGTGGTGGAGGCCTCTTAGCGAGATCGCGCTCCAATCGACTTCAAACGAGGATGGATCGATGTGAGACGCAACCGACGATGATGACAACTTATGGACGCGTGGGCTCGACGACGGCCGTCTGTCTCGGAGACTACCATGTCCGTCAACGGACTGGCCTCCGACCCGCTCTGATTCTTGGTAGCTGTTTCGTGAAGCAACGTCAGTAGCGCTAACGGGAGCTGTGAGGAGATGTCGTTGCAAAGGCGTCCGTGCGATCAGAGAAGTTGACGCAGAGGGATCGACGCTTCTCTGCAAGCAGCGATCGGGACGCAGAGCTCGCCTCGCGTGCCTGGCGATTCGCGACAGACCTTGAATGGACATGAGCAGAGGTTCCAGCTGCGTGCGGAGAGAGTTATCGATAGCTGGAAGTCTAGTTGTGCTTCAAAACGACAAGTGATATTGTGAAAGAGTGACAACGCGTGAAGAGCACGATACTTGAAGAAACTTTAGGTTGGAAACTGTTGGTTGCGATGCAATGCGATAGCTGCTTCAGAAGTGACAGTTGATATGCCAAGTATACTTCAGGAGCACATACTATATATCTGTAATGATCAGTTCAATCATGCCTATTGTGAGCTATGATTTGAATGTTCAAGAGTCAGATACATAGCTTCTCCAAAGCTGCATTCTCATCTCCTCCACACTTCTCCAAAGCCGACCTAGCAGACGCCTCTGGAAAGCCCATCTCTACCAGCTTCTTCACCTGCAAGAACCGGTTTAGAACAGGTTAAGCTCCCATAGATTATTCAGATAACATGCAACATGATGCAGAACCGGAATCCGGCATGATGTGAGCCACCTGAAAAGGCAACTGAGACTGACCTTGTCATCTAGAGCCAAGGATGGTCTTTTGGCAAACGCCTCTGTCCAGTACCGTGCAGTGTTGACAAACGTCTGATAATCCTTCAAATACTGCAAGAGGATAGCAGAGAGTTTCCTGTCAGATACCTCCAATCCGAGCCGCACCTACCAGATGCAAGTAACACCATCCCCCCAGTTACCCGTCCCACTTCCTCTTCCCCTTCAGAAAATTAACACGACTACCTGTTGAGCGACGATTGCATCTTGAGGGTCATCAGGTTCAGGCGATGATAACAGCGCTTGGAGTGATAATAGAGCCGTTTTGAGCGTCAAGGCAGGAGTCCACTGGTCTTTCAAGATATCCAGGCAGATCGCACCGTTTTGGCTGCTGACATTAGGGTGCCTGCCAAGCGAAAGCTCTGCCATTCCTTCAGTTTCCACTACTGCATGAAGAGATTACGACGAGAATCTTTGATTTTGGTACGCACCAGACCTTGGTAATGAAAGTCATCTTTGGAGGCTTGAACGGGTACGAGTCTGAACAGAGCCAAGTGAGTCAGAAATACAGGTATGTGAGTGAAACGAAATAGGTGTCGCGAATCGTTGTACGAGCGGAGTACGCCGTACCTGTGAGTACTATGTCCACCAGAAACGTTCCTCCTTCGTAAGGCGTTCCGACAGGCCCCATTATAGTCCCGCTCATTCGAGCGAGATCATCTCCTGGGACATCTACAGTCACCCCCGACTCAGGATCCCGTCTAATTTCCACGAGCTCTCGTTGCACCCTGGTTCGATCCAACATCTTGGCCTAAGCGAGGTCAACGAGGTTCTGAGTGAAAACAACTATACCCCTCGTTGCAATTAAGGTAACTATGTGGAGGTGACGCGATACGAGCTCTAGCCAGTCCTAGAATGGTCGAGGAGCGGAATTCCAGCTAGATGAGGAAACGAAAGAACTGAAGCTTCCGACCGCGCCCGAACACACCAACCCTGCCCTGACAACCGCCACTGGAATTTCCCCAGAAGCTACCTGCATCATCTGCCAAGAAAACTAGTGAGCTGTTTGTACTCGTTTCAAGTGCTCAAAAGCATATCTATAATCCCAAACCATGCAGAATCAGATATTGAAGATAGAAAAAGCTGAGACCATGTGTTGGCATTGATCACTTTGGCTGCTGTAAATTCACACTGGTATTCCTCGTACAATACACGCTGCTGTAAACAAGACTGGATAAAGCCATGTTATTAATGAAAACCAAAAAGCGAAACCAGAACATTCAAACTCCACACACTTATAAATCAGTCCATGTTCTGGGTTCGGTTCTTGGCTGATACCAGGGATCCTCTTAACCAAATCGAGTCCCATTCTAATTCACACTGCATGCGGTTGTTCCAACTGCCATGGCAAGCCCCAAACACCACAGACTATGAAGGTAGTTCAGGCCTTGCGTCGGCACTTGGAACAACTTTGGAAGAGAAAAAAAAAGGCCAGAAAGAAAAGAAACACTCTCCCTCCCACGTCCCCACACAACTAACAGCCAATCAAAGGCTGGGAAAGGGCAGTGTAACGCCAGCTACAGTGACTGGGGGAGGCAGAGAATGGGTCCAGGTGCAGAGTGGTTGTGCCGGCCCTCATACGTGGTTACCACCATGGACGGGTCATGCTTGGAGCGCTCCACCTGCTTGCGCACACGGCAGTCCCCACTCGTGCACCGATAGTAGCTCCTGCGATACAAGCACATGACAGGAACAACCACGAACACACAGCAATGAGTTGGACACACTAAAGTCAGAGACAAAGCCAGGACACACAGAAGGACAGAGTCACGACAAGGGGAGGCGGAGCGCGGGGAAAGGGGGTTGTGGTGGATGGTGTGGAAGGACAGGAGAGGGGAGGAGGTTGTACCTGGCGAAGGTGTTACCGCCGACCAGCTTGTCCCCGTATTTGCGCAAGTGGTAACCATCAACCACCACATCAGCATCGCTGCGCACCGCCACCACCACCACCCTCGTAGAGCGAAAGGACAAAAAAAAAAAAAATTACCTGGGGAAGGTGTTGCCTCCGACCAGCTTGTGGCCGTACTTGCGCCAGTGGTAACCATCATCCACCACGTCTGCATCGCTGCGCACCGCCACCACCACCCTCGGCTCCTCCACCACCTGCTGCGCACACACCATGCGCACACCTGACGGACTGCCTGGTGCAGCACCTGAAGAAACGCCTGGAGATCCGCCTGGAGTGACACGAGGAGAGAAAGCTGCTGCTCGGCCTGAGATGGTAGCTGTCCTTTGAGTAGGGCTGGTTGGGCCAGAAGTGGTACGACTGGAAAGGATAGGAGGGGAACAGAAAGGAGGAAAATAAAGGAAGGGAGGGGGGCATGAGAAGTGTGGTAGGTGAGAAAGGAGGATAAGAAAGGAAGCAAGTACGCTCCCATTGGTTCATCTTCGAGTCGAGTCCGTTTCACACAGAAGGGAGAAAGCAAGAGCACAGATGAATACAGCCACGATGGTGAAAGCACAAGATCAAGAGCACAGGACCACGTACTGCTGCTTGACTGATGCTGGCGCCTCATTTGTGCAGCACGCCCATGCATCCAAGGGCCCCTCCTCCCCTCCGTCTGCTCCCCTACACGGTGACCCCTTCCTCTTATGCTCTGCCTTGCCATGGACCAACCTGCTGCTGCCATTTGGACTTGCTGGGCGGCAGACAGGTGATGAACAGTGCTGATGTGAACAGTGCACTTGTGAACAGTGCGTTGGGTGTGGGCGTGGTTGCGGTGAGTTAAAAAGCGCATCCATGCCCACAGCCAATGCCCCATTCGTTACTGTCACACTGCTTGCAGCAACTCCTCCAGTAAAGCCACGTTCGTCATCAGTCACTACGGCCTTCTCAGCGCCCTGACTGATTTCCTGGAACACCCCGTCCCATCCATACTCGTTATTGCTAGCCTCAACATCGCTCATCAGCAGCGACTCAATCATAGCAAGCGAGCAGCTGGGGCTGCTCAGCCGCCCTTCGTTACGGTCACCAGTAGCTACCCCCCAACTCGCTTCACCAGACACCGTCAGGGAGAGCCCTTCCTCAGATAAAGTCTCCTCAGACACACCTCCCCCAAATTCCTCAGCAGGGAGCCAGATTTTGTTGTTGATGGTGTGGTTGCTGCAATCACAATCAGTCGGGGCGTCATTTAGGAACGCATCGGAGAGCGAGAGATCAAAGAGTCCTTCAACGTCGCTGCCCATTCCAAACATTCCCCACGCCTGCTGCCCCTGCTCCTCCTTTTCCTGCTCTGCCTCATGCTCCTGCTCGTGCTGCTGCTGCTGCTGCTGCTGCTGCTGCTGCTGCTGCTGCTGCAGCCAGTTCTCCAGCTCCCCCCCATGCTGCTTTTGGTCCTCGTCCACCTGCACGCGCTCGTGCCAGCCGTCTCCCATCATCCCCCACTGCTCCTGCCGGGCCTCTCCCTGCTCATCCAGTTTGGAGCACATCCCCCCCATCTGCTGGTCCAGCTCACCCCGCACAGCTGCAGCGTCTGCGTCCAGCTCACCCCGCACAGCTGCAGCGTCTGCAGCAGCCGCAGCAGGAGGGGAAGGAGTAGGAGGATTATGATTGTGCAAACTCAGATACTTCCTCCCAAGAACCTTTCCATCTGCTGCCCGATCCTCGGTTTTCCTTGCCAGGCAGCCGGGCTGCCTGCAGCGAAAGTACAGCCTGGGCCGTGAGGAGGCTCGGATGAGCTTCTGCCCGTACTTGCGCCAGGTGAAGCCATCGTCTTCAGGGACCATCAGCACTCGGGTGCTAGCATCACACATAGAGGCAGGAGCTGGGGCAGAGGCAGAGGCGGAGAGGGGGTTACAGCTGGCAGCAGGAACGGGAGCAACAGCTGCAGCAGCAGCAGAAGCAGATGAAGCAGCAGGAGTGGGTTTGACAGCAGTAAGCGCGGTGAGAAGGCTGAGGGCGGGTATCCTAAGGAGTGGTGCTCGGTGGAGGGAGGAATGGGAGGAGGGAGACGCAGGCGACGGCAGAGACAAGGGAGCGGCAGGAGAATGAGTAGGGGAAGCAGGAGGCGGAGGAAGAAAGGTGCCCTCCTTGCTCCCTGCGCTCTCTGCACTGCACGGCTCCACAGCAGGCGTGGGGATGAAATCACCAATAGAGTCCGAGTCTGAGCCTTCCAGCATGAGGGCACGGGCAGTTACATGTGCCATGGGAGCAGCAAGGGAGGCCTGGGAGAGGGCACTGGCTCCAGAGATATTGGCACCCAGGGGTGAAGCATCAGGGGCAGCAGCAGGAGTGAGAGTACAAAGGGTGGCAGCAGAGGAAGGGGCGAGGGTGTACTTGAGCAAGGCCATGTTGCTCAGGCTGAGACCCCCCGAGCTCTGCCTTTCGATACAGTCACACTGCGTCCTGCTCTTGCAATCACCCGTCATTTCCGCGGAAGGCTTCTGAACTGCTAGGGTATGATGACTGCTGTAGTCATTCCCTGCATCCGTGTCACTGCCCTGCTCCTCCTGTGACGCCCCCTTCAGAATAGTCACATCTCCTCTTGCAAAAGTTTCTCCGCCACTGCAGATTGGGCGATGGTGTTTGCTGATTGGTCCACCCACAGAGCCCACCGTCACATCCACGTCTTCTGCAAGTTTCTTTAGCCGCGCCGAGAATTGAACCCGCGCCTCCGGGCTGAAATGAGCTGGCGTTATTGAAAGTCGCTGCAGCTGTTGTGGGCTGCTCGCCACGCGGGTTGAGACACCTGACGATCGAGGCGAATCTGGCAACGAATCCGCTGCCGCCATGTCAGCAATTGACACTCAGTTCTGGTTGAGACGTAATCCGACTTCCGAATGTTAACCTATCAGCTTCAAGTAACTGTTTCCGTTTGAAAGGACAGATGGACCGACACTAAAGTCTCTGAATTGAAGCAGATAAGTTGGCGGCAGAAACGGCGGCAACGCGTCCAGTCGCGGTCTTCGCGCAACGAGCCGGATTCTTAGTCAGGAGCCAATCGTCGACTAGCAATGATGTGATTATGTCGGAGAGGTCTGCAGCGGGGAAATCCATCGTCTGTATTCAAGGCCGGAACGCCAACCGTAGCAGGCGCTCCTTAAGGAACAAACCCGAAAAAGCGTCGAACACGGAACGGCGACAGGAAGGACTAGCAGGAGTGTATGAAAGATGAGATACCTTTCAAAAACACCCTGCGAGAAGGAATGGAATCAAGCGGTTGGTGGAACGTTGTCCTACGCAGCGGCTGCGCAGTCACGGCCTTAATTTCATATTGAAGGAGCTTGCTGCCATGCTATCCGGCGCCGGGAGAACCACATCGGGCTAGGCGATACTAATAGAATGGCTCTTTGAGCTGCTATAGAACAGGACCAGCTGACAATAGTATCCTTCAGAAAATGGAAAGGGAGACGAAATGGTCGCATCTTGGAAGCGAGCCCGGAGAGAGAGAGAGACGCCATTTCCAGTGGGGAAGGAAATTGAGGCGGAGGGAATGCGATGCGAATCCGCTCCTCGTCGGGCGAGACCATCGGTCACGTGGATCACCAGGTATCACGGTTGACTCGACTCGACCGGCCCGTCCTGTGTGGGTGGGGGCCACTCTGCCGCGTCGCCCACAGGTACAGCACGGTACATCCTGGTTCAATTAGGTGCAGCCGTTTACGGAAACACAGCAGTGCATACGCGAGTGAGCGTGCGTGACCCAACAGATGGGCCTTTCAGAAAAAACCTTCCCAGCGTCGCCTGTCTGCCAGTGAGGAGGAATGACTGACGTCAGTTGCGGCAATGCGGGAAGGGCATTCAAAGCGCTGCGCGATTGCTCGCAACGCTAGCCGCAATTTTTTCCGCCCACTAAAAGCGGCGGAGAAATGAGGAGGCGGCGGAGCGGAGAGGGTCCTCTTATCCTGGCTGGAGAGGAGGGAGCGCAGACAGACATGTTTCAAGCTTCCAGTGGAAGCCGGCGGCGGGGGAAGGTGGCAAGGAGGGCGCAAGAAAGAAGCCGCAGGGAACGCAGTTGCGCGCTCTGTTTCGTCTTTGCGTGTCGCGACGCGATACATGACTGGATTGAGGGGGTAGGCAAGGCAACGAGGTGGCTGTCTTGCGTCAGGAGCATCAAGAAAGAGGAGTGAGCTTGTGATAGAAGCCTGTAGTGCATGCCTGTCACATTTCATTCACCATCAGGGCTGTCGCTTGCAGGGCGTTTGCCCTGCTGGACCTTGAATTCCAGGGCTGGGTTGCCCCTGAAAACTGAAATTGATGGGTTGGAAATATTCTGGCCCTGATTCTTTACAGGGCTGATTTCGGGCTCAGGCTTGGTGTGTAAAGGGCAGATTTTAGGCGAGCCCTGGAACAAAATATCTCGAGACCCCCCTTCCACTCCCCTCCCCCCCCCCAACACTCCTCCCTCTCCTTCCCCTTCGTTTCTAACCTGATTGCATCCAACAAGGCAATTTCGAGTTGCTCGGTTGGGCCACAAATTCAACTCAGCCTAGAACTTGTGCTTAAACCAATCACAGCTCGCTCTCTGTGGAGTGGGTGACGGTTAAGGTTGGGTAGAAGTGCACAAGAACTACCCTGAAGGTTGGGTAGTAAAGATGTGCAGACGATCATCGGTTCTGCAAAGACTAGGAAGCCTGCAAAGCGTGCGTAGTGATATGACGCTAACTATTTCTCTTCTTGTCGTGTTTGCTTGCTTGTCGTTGATCTCAAACGTAGTTGTAAGCTTGGTAGTTGAAATGAGGCTCCCGATTTTTTCGCGCCAAACCTGATTCAAGGGAGGAAAATTTTCTAGCCCTGAAGCCTAAAGGGCCGAGATTCGCCCCAACCCTGCTAAATACAGGGTCATACATGCCGGGCCCCCTGATTTGTCCGGGGGGCCCAAAACGAAACAACAGGCCTGTTCACCATTCACGAGGCAAGCACAACAGATTTCTCCATGGCAACGCTAACGCTGTGCTGTACAGCACTGCATAGCAGTGATCAATACAACCGCTGCCAACCAGCAGCGCAGGGCCCAAGCAGCTCAACAGTGTTGGTCGGTGCGATGCGATGACGCTGGGAGGGGGAGGGTGGTCGTGCTCTCCTGCTGGTAGGGAATTTCGCGAGACACTTCTGGTTGTCCAGGGCTGACGAAGAGTTGCGACTGTAAACGAACAGTTACCACCGGTAAGTTTGAAATAAGTCTTATCTCAATCGTTCCAGCCATATAACTAGAAAAGGGGCATGTTGGTTGAGCTGACTTCACATGGAAAAGTAGCTTGAATGGTTTGAAAGACAACTTTATGCATGCAGAAAATGAAGCCCTTTGTAGCGATAAGCGGTTTCATTACACAATTAGAACTTATTTCTCCCAACCCTCATTAAGATAAGAATGTCCAATACATGGTTCTTAAGATGAACCTGGGAGCTCATGTGAATACATTTCCGTAGAACCCTTCAATGAAAGTGCAGATGGAGACAGTTCTTAGCGGAGTATCTGATGGATTTCAGGAGCATGCAATGATACCACCTTGTAATCTTCGCACACCGTAGTGGGATCCTCGACGCGCCTCGTCATATGTATAAATGCCATCTGCGGTATGACACCGCTTATCTATGAAGACTTCTCGCGTGAAGTGCTTAGTTGACCCAACCTCATATTATTCAAGTCATGACCCGTCACAGGGCTATTCATATAGCATGAGGACCATTGTACCTTATACTGCTCCCTATTCACTCCCATCATGCACTGCAAGTGCGCCTTAATCTGCATGTGCTCCCTCTTTCCAGTAGACGCATCGCGTCGTTGTGTTGAAAATAAAGCCTTGCTTTTCTCTGGCCGTGCCAAGACCAGTTTCGCGGTTCTTGCCGACTCTTCGCCTAGTCAGCGTCTTTTCGCTTTCAAAAACCAGGTGGACACAGGCTGTCAGCACGCCATGATTCTTTATAAGGTTGCGCCTCGTGGCCTGTCAGTCGAATGCGTTGTAAATAGATTATGGTCTGGCAGACGAGCCTGGAAGGAAGGGTCCAGGAATCTATTTTTGACAGCACCTGCAGCAGTGATGCCTGACGGCAGCGTGTCGCGGCAACGTCACGTGCTGACGTATCTACGGATGATGCCTGATCGGCCGAGTTCCAGCCAAGGATACTTGAGGAATGCACGCTCAGGCGCAGACGCTGAGCTTATGACACGTGGCACAACGCCAATATTTCCAGTCCATCACATGTTCAACCCCACAAGTGACTTAATATTGAAGTGTACGTTTGGAAGGGGGAAAACGATGCGGCAGAAACAGAAGAGCAGCAGGAGACACGTACATATTAGAGCGTTTCATCACATGTCGACTGGAGACGTCACGAAATCGCTGTTCCACGTCAGCAGCAACAGCCCTGACGTGTGGTGGTCCCTCCCCGACGGCATCTCCGAAAGACTGCCCTTGCCTCCTGGCCGCTGGCAGAAAATCGAGGTGCGCCGGGAGGGTTGGGAGTCCGTGGAGGTGCGGGTGGGGGTAAGTGTTGTGGGAAATGAGGGAGTACGTAGTGGGAGAGCACATTTGAGGCGTTACAAAAAGGTCGGTGCTGTGTGGGGAAAAGGGAGCGGTATGTATGGCGCTAGCTTATCCTTGAGTTAGAAGGTTCCACACATCCTGCTTCTCCTGACCTGTTGTGTTCCCATGGTCCACTGGCCGCCCCCACCATCCGCCATGCTCATCTGGTTCCCCTGGCGTTCCGTCCTTCCTGTGCTTTTCCCTGTTATGCTCTCACTCTCTAGCTCCCTCCCTGCCTCACGCTGCCCCTCCCTCCCTTGCTGTCGTTCTCGGTGCTGCTGCTGTGTTGCTTGGTCCATCCTGCCAGGAGCTATCTCATCGAATGGGGGTCCACCTATCCCCTGACCTGCTGCTGCGATGCCTGGTCAGTGCTGCTGCGTTTCCGTTCTTTTCTCCGTTTACAATTTCATTTCCTTTAGACCGAAGAGCTCATAAACTAATCCCCCTCTTGCTTCATCCCGCTCCTCTCGTCCCTCTCCCCATCCCGCTCGCCTCCCCCCATCGCACCTGCCTCTCCCCATCCCGCCCGCTTCCAACATCGCTCACCTGCTCATGCCTGGCGCTAGGAGCTCAGAACTAAACCACCACTTGCTCCATCCCGCTCGTCTCTTCCCTCTCCCCATCCCTCTCCTCTCGTCCCTCCCCCCATCCCGCCCGCCTCCCATCGCGCCAGACCCAGGACATGTACTTTTACCTGCTCATGCCCGGAGCCCAATGTACTCTCAATCATCAGCAGCAGGACGGCAGGGAGGACGGCAGCAGGGAGGACGGCAGCAGGGAGGACGAAGGCAAGAGGAGCAGTGCATCTGGTCCATCTAAATCCGACGACGAGCCCATTACGTACTTCACAGCCCACAGCCGGGTGAGGTGGAGTAAGGGCGGGATGAGGAAAGGGCGCAGGGGGGTGGTGATGGGAGGGCAAAATGGGGGTTAAGGATGGGAAGGGGGGTTTCGGGGAGGGGAGGGTGGGATTGATGGGAGGGCGATAATGGAAATGGGGAAGTAGGGAAAGGGGAGGTTGGGGAGGAAATTGCATGATGTACCTTCCTTACCTGCCTTCTCGTCTTTTCATCGCTCACCTCCTACTTAACTACCTCCTATCCTCGCCCCCCCTTGTCCCCCCTCCTTATCCCAAGCTTCTTGTACCCATTTGTTTCCGGTTCCACTGTCTGCCGGTGCTTTTCGCTGCCTTCGCACTTTCTGTTCCAATTAGCCTTCTATCCGATTTCTTCTATCGCCCGTCCTTTCTCCCCCTCCCCTCAATCCCTGCATCTGATTTCTTCTATCCTATCCTATTTCTATCCAATTTCTTCTATCGTCCATCCATTCCCCCTCTCCCCTCAATCCCTGCATCTGATTTTTTTTCTCTCCGATTTCTATCCGATTTCTTCTTTCGTCCATCCATTCCCCCTCTCCCCTCAATCCCTGCATCTGATTTTTTCTATCCTATTTCTATCCGATTTCAGCTGCGATCGCATCTTGAGGCGGTGGGGGACTCGGTGCTAGCACTCACGTGTGTGCTGCACCTCGTGCGCCAGCAACCACCCCTGTCCATGGTGTGTGTGTGTGTCTGTGTGCTTGCTGCGCCCCATCCTGTCCTTGGTGCTGCTGCCATGTAAATCTTCCAACTCATGTCGTCGTCCCCTACCCCCTTTCGTCTCGTCTCGTCTCGTCTCGTCTCGTCTCGTCTCGTCTCGTCTCGTCTCACTTCACAGTTCTCACTTGTTCCTGTTTGGGGCGTTTTTTTCTTTTTTATTGTTTCGTTTTTCCTGCAGGGATCAACTGCCTCTCGTAACTCACTCCCTTGCTCCCGTCCTACTCCCCCCGGCCTACGCTAAACTGAAATCACTTTTGAGAATTCTCAGAATTGATTTCTTAACTCACTCCCTTGCTCCCATCCTACTCCCCCCGCCCGCCCCACGCTAAACTCTCCAGGGTGATCTCACATCACGCAAGGACAAGCTTGTAAGTCCCTCCATCCACACGCCTTTTTTCATGCCCCTCTCCTCGATACCGTTTCTTCATTCCCCTCTTTTCAAAACCCTCCCTTCACGCACCTTTTCCCATTCCCTCCCTTCAGTTTCCTTTCTTTGTTTCCCTCTCTATCGTCCCCTCTCTACTTTCATGCGTGCGTGCACATCATTCCCAACCCCCTTCCCTTTCCCTGCCTCCTGCCCGCCTCTCTCCCTCCCTTCCCCGACCTCCACTCCTCGTTTGTGTCATGAGATCTCCCTGCTGCTACACTAGGTTTGTTTCTGAGCATTCTTGAAACCCCTTTCTGCTCGCCTCCCTCCCTCCCTCCCTCCCTCCCTCCCTCCCTCCCTCCCTCCCTCCCTCCCTCCCTCCCTCCCTCCCTCCCTCCCTCCCTCCCTCCCTCCCACTCTCCCGCCTCCCTGCCCCCCATGTCCACTCCTCATCCGATCCGTGTTCAGCATTTCTCCGCTCCGCATTCCTCCGCCACCCCATTCCACTTCTGCATCTCCATCTCTCTCAAACTCTCCTCCCCTATGCACTCTACCTCATTATACGAGTCCTGATTTTACTTTCCTCCTCCCATTCCTCTTTCGCAATCTTGTATCTCTTCTTCCCCCTCTTGCTCATCTTCTCTTTTTTGTCCCGCTTTCCCTCCTGCTCCCCTTCTCCCCCCCGTTTCCTTCGCGCCCTTTCCCCCCTCCTGTCTCCATTCCGCCTCCTGTTCTTCCATCCTCACAGCGTTCCCCTTCCAACACCCCTGTCCATCCCCTCTCCTCCCCTCCCCTCCCCTCCCCTCCCCTCCCCTCCCCTCCCCTCCCCTCCCCTCCCCTCCCCTCCCCTCCCCTCCCCTCCCCTCCCTTCCCCACTCCCCACCCCGCCTCGCCCCTCTCCCCCCCGGCAGGTGAGCAACAGGAGTCTGGCGGGCATAGGAGGGGGGGCGCTGGGCCTGCCGGCAGCCATGCTGAGCTTCTCAGATGCGCTGCTCATGCAGGGCAAGCGCGCCATGCTTAAAGGGGGGGACACGGTGGAGGTATGCTCTGGGGTGGGGGTGGGGTTGGAGGAGGGGGTGGGTGGGGGTGGGGGTGTGGGAGGGGGTGGGTGTGCGGGTGCGGGTGCGGGTGTGGGTGGAGGTGAGGATGGGGGTGCGGGTGCGGGTGTGGGCATGTGATGATACCATGACAGGCGACTGTCTGGTGTTATGTGGTGTTACTCTGGAATAGTGGTAGCGTGTGATGTGACCAAGCAGACGTGCCTTAGAGAAGAACACTAATGATTCTTTCACCGTTTCATCTCTCTGTCTGCTTTGTGTCTGCGCATGATCCGATTTTGTATCCTTTACTGCAGTCTTCATTAGTTGCGTGCACAATGGAGGCACTTGTTGGTGCGGTTTATGCAGAAAAGGTTAGTATAACCTCGCACAATCCTCACACAATCCTCACACAATCCTCACACAATCCTCACACAATCCTCACACAATCCTCACACAATCCTCACACAATCCTCACACAATCCTCACACAATCCTCGCACTACCCGCACACCACCCTCAAACCTGCCTCAGCAAGAACTCCTTTTAAGCTGGCAACACCGCTTGCTTATCCCCGCTTGCTTATCCCCACTTGCTTATCACCACTGATAGTACATCATGAGTATGCCGGCCAGTTCATTTGCCATCATTTGCCGTTTCGTTTGCCATTCATTTAACTTATTGCATACCTGCCCGTCACTTCCACACTTGTTCGGCCCATTCAATGCACATGCCGTCCCATCCCATCCCCATCCCCATCCAACCCCCTTTCCACTCTCCCATTCCTCCCTGTCCGCTTCCTCCTCCTCCGTCCCCTTCCCTCTCCCCGTCCCATTACCCCCACCCCGTTCCTCTCCCCCTCCCCCCATTCCCTTCCATCGCCCATTCCCCTCCACCACTTCATTCCCCTCTCCCCCCGTTCCTCTCCCCCTCCCCATTCCCTTCCCCCCCGCGTCCCCCTCCTCCTCCCCATTCCCTCCGCCCTTCCCATCCGCTGCCCCCATCAGGGCCTGGAAGCAGCGTCAGCCTTTGTAACCCGCCTGCTGCCCTCGCTAGTGGACTCCCGCGCCACTCTTCCCCACGCACAGAAGCTGGAGTTTGGCCATCAGTATTGGCAACAACTCGGGCATGAGCATGGGCATCAGCAGCAGCAGCGTATTCAGCCGGGCGGAGAGGGAAGTGTGACGGTGGGCGAAGCAGCAGCAGAGCAGAGCAGTAGAGTTCAGTCTGCAGCAGAGCGGAGCGACCCTCGAGTCCCAGTTGACCCCGTGGCTCGATTGCAGCAGATGTCTCTCCAGCAACTGGGGCTCATCCCACAATACCGGTGCGTGTGTGTGATGCGAACAGACTGCCGCATGTGGGCAGTGTGACAGTGGGCGAAGCAGCAGCAGTGAGGAGAGTGCAGTCTGCAGCTGAGCAGAGTGGTCCTTCAGACCCCGTGAGCAGCAGTGAGGAGAGTGCAGTCTGCAGCTGAGCAGAGTGGTCCTTCAGACCCCGTGAGCAGCAGTGAAGAGAGTGACCCTTCAGACCCCATGACCCCGTGAGCTGACTTTTGAGTCGACTCAAAAGTCAACCCCGTGACCCCGTGAGCAGCGAAGCAGCAGCAGTGAGGAGAGTGCAGTCTCCAGCTGAGCAGAGTGACCCTTCAGACCCCGTGACCCTCCAGCAGCAGTCAGCAGTCCCTGTGAGCTGACTTTTGCAATCCCCGTGACTCGATTGCAAGACCCGTCTCTCCAGCAACTGGGCCTCGCGCCGCAGTACTGGTGCGTGTGTGTGAATGCACCGCTGTGTGTGAATGCACCGCTGTGTGTGAATGCACCGCTGTGTGTGAATGCACCGCTGTGTGTGAATGCACCGCTGTGTGTGAATGCACCGCTGTGTGTGAATGCACCGCTGTGTGTGAATGCACCGCTGTGTGTGAATGCACCGCTGTGTGTGAATGCACCGCTGTGTGTGAATGCACCGCTGTGTGTGAATGCACCGCTGTGTGTGAATGCACCGCTGTGTGTGAATGCACCGCTGTGTGTGAATGCACCGCTGTGTGTGAATGCACCGCTGTGTGTGAATGCACCGCTGTGTGTGAATGCACCGCTGTGTGTGAATGCACCGCTGTGTGTGAATGCACCGCTGTGTGTGAATGCACCGCTGTGTGTGAATGCACCGCTGTGTGTGAATGCACCGCTGCACGTGGGCAGTGTAAGGATGGGATGACGATGCAGCAGCAGTGGGGAGGACAGACTGTCCGGGTGAGGGTGACCCTGTGACTCGTGTGCAATAGATGTCTCTCGTGAAAAAAGAAGAGTTTTGAGACGTCTCAAAGCACATTTGGGAATCATCCTTGAGACGAGTCACAGGGTCACCCTGTGAGTACTAATGAGCCATTTCCACACATCTGTAGCTGCACCTCTCTCTGTCTGCACTTCACCCCTTGCGATGGCAGTACCATTCCTGCTCCGTGCATGTGACACAGGGCTGAGGGCGGGCGCTCAATCCTCCTCAAGCACGCCCTCTCATTCTCCCTCAGGCTCACGCATTTGAATGCGCTGATTACACACACCCCCCTCGACTGCTTTGAGACGTCTCAAAATTCTCCCTCAAGCCCAGGCGTTTGAATCGGCACACACACACACACACACACACACACACACACCCCTCAACTGATTTTCTACTCACCCCCTTCCCCACGCCCGTCCCACCTTGTCCCAGCACCCTCTTTCGCCCTGGCCCCATTACCATGTGAACACCTTTAAGGCGAGGAGGCACACAGGGGAAGGGCAACCCGCAGACACTGAGGTGATCTTTGAGACGCCTCACAACTCGCCCCCCCACCCCACGCCCGTCCCACCTCGTCCCCTCGCCCTCGTTCGCCCTGGCCCTGTCACCATATGAACACCCTTAAGGCGAGGAGGCACACAGGGGAAGGACAACCCGCAGACACCCCACGTGACGGAGCGAGTGCGAGTGTATACAGCATGGAGAAGGATGGGCACAGGCATGGGGGCCTCCCTGCTCGAGAGTCCTCATTCCTCCTCTATCGCGCCCTCTCCCTGTCTCTAAGTCAGTGTTGTTTGAGCCGCCTACCCCCCCTTTCCCCCCTCGCCCCCTCCCTCGCCCCCTCACATTAACACCTTTTCGCACCCAAACAGGCATACAGGGACGGACAACCCAGGGACAGCACACATGACTGAGCGAGTGCGAGTGTATGCGGCAGGAAGAAGGATGGGCACAGGCATGGGGGCAACAGTGGAGGAGGCGAAGAGAGACGGAGCAGCCAAGGCACTGCTAGCATGGGGTAAGGTGTGGTTTGGGGAGGGGGGGAGTGAGGATGCGGAGGAAGGGATGAATTGAGGGGAGAGAGAAGAGGGCGTTACACTTTGCGAGATGGAGGTGCCTTTTGAGGCGCCTCAGAAGTCGTGCGAGATGGAAGTGCTTTGCGGTAAGGTACTGTAGTTGATATCATGCTGTGGCTATTTTTGGATCTGCCTTGTGTCCAGCCCATGTGCTGCGAGATTCATGAGCGTCAAAGTGAGTTACATTCGGCACTGTAAACATGTTTACCGGGTAAACTGGGTATGATGCGAGTCCAAAATTGATTGCGAGTTACGGATAGGGTGGAGGAGTGCAATGCAAAGAGCATCCGGAAGATGGAAGATGTGTGTGGATGGAAGATGTGTGTGGATGGAAGATGTGTGTGGATGGAAGATGTGTGTGGATGTAAGATGTGTGTGGATGGAAGATGTGTGTGGATGGAAGATGTGTGTGGATGGAAGATGTGTGTGGATGGAAGATGTGTGTGGATGGAAGATGTGTGTGGATGGAAGGCGTAACCATAAGGTGGCTGGGAGGCATTAGCATGATGTGAAAGGCTGAGGTGAGCTGGATCACGGAAGGCATTAGCATAATATTCCGCACATAGGGATGGGAGGGACAGTACAACAGGCTGACGCTATTGCCATCATCCCAGAGAGACACAAGCACATATGGCTGATGCAGCAAAGCTGTTTCCACTCCATGCAACATGCAAATTACAACTACCCTAAAACAGGACGTGACTACCACCGATATGTTTAGAATCATCAAGCCATCTAATCATAAGACCATTCATGGTAACTTGGCGGTAGGTTGGAGCCTGTTATGAATGAACTTGCAGAGTGCGCAGTAAAGCGAATATCGAGAATGATTGAGTACTGAATTACTGAATGACGATACAATGAGAAGGGTACGACTAAAAAGGGGAAGTCCTAGCTAGGCGGAGAGGTTGGGCTAGGATGGCTCGGTGATGGTTGCGATTGGAGCGGAGGCGACTCGGGAGTGGTTCGGTGCGACGAAATAGGAAGGACAGGTTCGTCGCGTGACCCTCGGGATGGCCTCGCTAACGAGTGCCTCAGTAAGGATTCCGTAAATCCTTACACTCTCCCACCTTCTAAATAAGGCAGTCCTGTACTGAAACGAACCCCACACTAGCAAGGATGCCGAAGATCTCCCCTTCAGCTGAATCCGACGGCCGAAAAGCCTTCGATTATATTTTTGAAAAGGTTGGAAGGTACACCGTCGATGTAGTCCGATTTCGATCTGACGGTCGACGAGGAACTAGCCCAAAATGAAGTTGAAGTTGGAATGTGGGCCGTTGATGAAGCAGATGTGGATCTGACGGTCGAAGACTGACGCGAGATTGGAGGGAACCTGCTGACGCGAGATTCAAACGCGATGTTGCAGAAACCGTTGATCGTGAAGCAGCGATCGCAGTCGTCCGTCGTGCTGCTGCATTCTGACAAAGTCAGAAATTGAGCCGAGAAAACGCCGAGGAAAGAAATAGTGCAAAGCACTTTCTCCCCCCCTCCAAGAAAGCACACCAGAAAATGTTTCACAGCTGCGCCAAGATGAAAACCAACAAAAATCCAGGTGTTCAGTCCCACTGAAGCGAATGTCGAGCGTAGAAAGCCAGGTGAAGACTCGTCGGTGTGGAAAGTCGATTGCGGAACCGGGTAGTACGTGCCCCAAAAAGTCTTCAAGGGCGAACCCGCGTAAGTAGACCAGAAACCGCGGCAGAAATTATGCGTTGCTCGAACTGAACCTGTTTTTGTCTTCACACGCCAGAATCAGGCAGTATCTTCAGCAGATGCAGCTGGCACCACCTGACGTGTTTGAAATCAATGCAGTTGTCGTGGGCGGGTCGAGTGGATGGATTTGTCGCTAGTAGAGTTGGTGCGGCTGTATCCCGAAATCCTCTGGCCTGAGAAGTCGGGGTTGGTACGAAAATGTCGTCGGTGAAGGCGATCCGTCGTAAAGTCAAAGATCGAATGTCACTCCGAAATTGATGTCGAGCACGATCTAGGGTCAGATGATGTCAGCACCTCCAGCGGTTTTGTCCAGACTCGCCGAGCCATTTGTCGTAGTGCGCCGAGGGCTCCTGGGCAGGGATGCAAAAATGCAGCTGTCTCTCCCACCCCTTCACTGTTGATGCCGCCTTCTTCAGTTCGTCGTAAGTCGTTCGTACCCTTGAAAACTCCGTGTAGCTCACGCGTTATTTCCCAACGTCCATTTCGCGCGCGTTAACCAAACGCCGAATGCTCCTCCGAAGTTGTCGGCGCTCCTTGCCTTAAAACCTGTAAGTCTCCACGTAAACACTCCGAAATTGTCGCTCGAATCAGACCCCGTAAATCCGCAGTTGCAGTTGTCAAACATTATATATGTTGTTGTTGTTGTTTATGCTACAGTGGGTTAGCCTATAGGGGGTACACATTCCTAGGTTTTGATACTTGTACTCATTTCACTCTTAGTTCATTCATTCTTCTTCAACATGGTATCAGAGCAGGTCCTGTCCTAGCCTTCGATACTGAGGGCCGCCCAGTGAAGTTCGACACCTGGCTTGATGACCTATACCTCTTCCTACAGCTCACTGCCAAGGAAGACATCTCGCTGTACGATCATGCCTTAGGCCACGCTACTGCTCCTGCTGCTACTGCTGACAGCACTGCCCGCTCACAGTGGCAGACTCGTGACGCCCATACTCGCTTCGCTATTCGCAACTCTCTGCCGATAGATGAGCGCGAGCACTTTGGGCAGCACAAGACTGCACAGGCACTGTACACTGCTGTCGTTGCCCGAAACTCCTCGCCGGCCTCTGCCGCTCTAGGCCGTCTCTCTCTTCCCTACCTGTTCCCCGACCTAGCTTCCTTCCACACTGTCGCTGATCTCATTACCCACCTCCGCACTAGTGAGGCTCGCTTCCGCGCCGCTATGCCTGATGAGTTCCTTGCCAAGAACCCACCCCCGCTCTGGCTCACTCTCTACCACCTAGTCACGCGCCTCCATGACACTCTGCGCTCAGTCAGGGACCACTTTCTAGCTCGCTGCCCCAACGAGCTCACCATTGCCCTCCTCGAGAAGGAACTGCTTGCAGCTGAGGCTAGCATAGTCGCTGTAGGTGCCTCTCGCGGTGACCCCCGTACCCCGTTCTTTGAGGGGTGTTCTCCCTCCCCCCTTCTTCCCTCTGTCGCCTCTGCTGCTGCTGTCGACCTCCTTGGTGCTGAGAAGGTCGGGATTGCGTCTGCTTCGAGTGGGCGCCGCAGCGGCAAGGGCAAGGGGGGCAAGGGCGGTGGTGGTGACAGCGGGGGTGGCGGTGGTGGGGGAGGTGGTGGTGGCGGGGGGGGTGGCGCGGGTGGGGGAGGTGGCAGCAGTGGGGGGGGGGTGGCGGCAGCGGCGGGGGAGGTGGCCGGGGCGGAGGAGGTGGTGGGGGTGGCGGTGGACGAGGCAGCGGCCGGGGTTGGGGTGGTCGAGGAGGTGGTAGCGGCGGTGGTGGTCGTGGAGGCGCTGGCGGTGGCCAGGGCCAGCAGCACACTCCGTCGCCCCAGGAGGTTCGTGAGTGGTACTCTCAGCACGGGGGGGGGGGGGGGGTGGCCTTAGCTACACGTACGTCATTCGCACTGGTGACCGCACTGGCCAGCCGTGTGGGGGACCGCACGCCACACAGCGTTGCTTCGCTCGTCTGAACGACGCTTGGCGTGTTCAGTTCCCTCAGGCCACTGAGTTGCCCCGCTGGGTTGATCTTCTGAAGAAGGGGATTGATATTTATGCTCTAGACTTTGATGCTATTCTCACTGCCATGTATGTGATGTCTACTAGTGGAGAGGGTGCTGAGTACCTGAGTGTCCCGCCCGACCCGGGCATTAGGACTATTGCGTCTGCCGCTCCAGGTACTCGCGTGTCCGCTACCCTAGGTGCTGGTGAGGCTGCTGCTCTAGGTGCGTGTACGTCTGCCCCCCCTAGTACTGTGTCGACTGCAGCACTGCACACCTTCACACTGGATTCAGGTGCCTCTCGCTGTCTCTTTCGTGACCGCACTGCCCTTGAGCCCCTTGCTCGGCCAGTTGCTGTCTCCCTCGCTGACCCCTCTGGGGGTCCGGTCCTTGCGACCTCCTCCACTGTCCTTCCCTGTCCTGCGGTCCCGTCGGGCACACTGTCAGGTCTCCACCTCCCCTCGTTCTCTACAAACTTGGTGGCAGGTTGTGCACTACAGGACGCGGGTGTTCACCAGTTCACCCCTGCCTACGAGCGTGTCACACACTGCACGTGTGCCCGTACAGGCCGCCACTTGGCTACCTTCACTCGGCAGCCGGGGTCGGATCTGTACACACTGACTACTGCCCCCCCTCAGGTCGCTGCGTCTGCGTCCGCGTCAGGTCAGCTGTCCGCCCCCTGCTCGTGTCGCTCTCTAGCGCACGAGACTGTCCTCTGGCACCACCGACTGGGCCACCCGTTTGTGCAGCGCCTTCGTGCCATGCACTCCCGGTACCTTGTCTCTGGTCTTCCCAGGGTCCTCCCTCCCCTCCCACCCTCGCCTGCTCCTCCCTGTCTTCCCTGTGTCGAGGGGCGGCAGCGCGCCGCTCCTCACTCCTCCTCGTTTCCCCCGACGACTGCTCCTTTGCAGACGCTCCACATGGACGTGTGGGGCCCAGCCCGCGTCCGTGGTCAGGGTCAGGAGAGGTACTTCCTGATCGTTGTTGACGACTACTCGCGCTACACCAGGGTCTTCCCCTTGCGAGCCAAGGGTGAGG